CGAGATCATTTTTACTTGCCAATCACGTTGAAGGGAAAAAACAAAAAAGCAGAATTGGAAGCTCTAGTAGACTGCGGAGCAACGAACTTATTTCTCAGCCAAAAGTTCATAGAAAAGAATGAAGTCAAAACCAAGCAGTTACTGCGAGCACTGCCCGTCCGCAATATCGATGGAACTAAAAACTCCGCCGGACCAATCAAAAGCTACGCAGATTTGACTCTGAAGATAGGAGAGCATGAGGAAGAAGTAGCCTTTCTGATCACAGATCTAGGAACCGATGATGTTATCATTGGAGTAGATTGGCTACGATATCATAATCCAAACATAGATTGGAATGCGGGAAAAATGACGTTGAACCGCTGCCCAGTCAAATGCGAGGATGCCAAGGTTAGGAGGAGAAAGATCAAGGCAAAAAAGCAGAAGGATACATTACCTGCTTTATTACCCATGGAAGAAGATGACGATGAAGTCACCATGGAAACTTCGATCCCTGCAGCCAAAGTACAGCTGTCAGATTCGAGTGCTCCTAAGAAAGTAGAGATAGAGGATATCAAAGATGAAGATTCACCACGAAACGTGTGGATCAAGTACAAAAGCTCAGTCGCTTCAGAGTTAGCTCAACAAGAGGAAAAGAAGAAGGAAAAGAAGTCCGTTGAAGAGATGGTCCCAGAATGGCTCTATGATTATCTCAAGGTCTTCTCCGAAGAAGAATCTACTAGATTCCCTGAACCCAAGAAGTGGGATCATAAGGTAGACTTCAAGGATCCTAATGATCTTCCTCCAAATTCGAAAGCATATCCCCTTTCGCCCGCAGAACACGACGCATGTGAGAAGTGGCTCAAACAAGAATATGAATTAGGAAGACTGCGAGATTCAGAATCCCCAGTAGCAGCTCCTTTCTTCTTTGTTGCCAAAAAAGACGGAAAACTTAGACCCGTCATGGACTAGAATTCCTCGGTCTGATTATTAAAGATGGACATGTCTCTATGGATCCAGTCAAGGTTAAGGGAGTACAAGAATGGCCCACTCCTACCTGTGTCAAGGACATCCAACGGTTCATGGGATTCGCAAACTTTTACCGTCGTTTCGTTCTCGGATTCTCGAACATTGCCAAACCCATGAACGATCTCATCAGGAAGGATGTACTATGGGAATGGATGGACAAACAGGAAAAAGCTTTCCAGACCCTTAAGGACAATTTCACATCCACACCAGTATTAGCAATGCCAGATGCCACAAAAAAGAAAAGAATCGAAACAGATGCATCTGACTATGCTACGGGTGGCGTATTGTCTCAAAAGGAAAATGATGGACTATGGCACCCTGTTGCCTTTTTCAGTAAATCTATGCAAGACGCAGAACGAAATTATGATATTCACGACAAGGAACTCTTAGCTATTATTCGCGCATTGGAAGAGTGGAGGCATTATGTGCAAGGTGCACCAGAACCGGTGGAGATTTGGACGGACCACAAAAACCTTGAATACTTCATGACAAGTCAGAAGTTAACTCATAGACAAGCAAGGTGGTCTTTGTTCCTCGCAGAGTATGAATTCACACTGCACCACAAACCGGGGAAGGTCAACGACACTGCTGACGCTCTGTCCAGGAGGCCAGACCACAGAGGGGGGGTAGAAAACGACAATTTGGATCGCGTGCTTTTGAAACCCGAGTTTTTCCAGATCAAAGCAGCAAAACGAGGTCAAGTTCTGATACAGGGAGAGCAAACATTACTCAAACAAATCAGGAACTGTACAGATCTAGATCCAGAAGTCCGAAATGCTATCGAAACCCTGAAAAAAGCCCCAGTACAACTGCGAAAAGGACTAGAAGAATGGAACACAGAAGATGGACTCATCCTTTTCAGAGGATTAGTTTACATACCCAACAACAAAGACATTCGTCGCTCGGTGTTAGAAATCTTTCATGATTCACCCGCAGCAGGACATATGGGACGTGCTAAAACTCTCGAACTCGTTTCTCGTAACTATTGGTGGCCGCAGATGCAGAAGTGGGTCAATGACTATGTAGATGGATGCAACAGATGCAAACAAACGAAGGTGTTACCATCTAAACCCCATGGTCCCTTAAAGCCTAATGAAATTCCCGAAGGTCCATGGCAAACAATTAGCTGTGACCTGATTACCAATCTCCCTAAATCAGAAGGCAAAGACAGTATCCTCATAGTAGTCGATCGCTTCACCAAGCAAGCCCATCTCGCACCAACCACCAATGACGTTACTTTGAAAGGAATTGCGGACATGTTTCTTAAATATGTATGGAAGTTGCACGGAACACCAAAGAAGGTGATCTCCGATCGTGGAACACAATTCGTATCTAAATTCATGCAAGAAGTCTCAAAAAGACTGGGAACCAAATGGTCTATGTCGACTGCATATCACCCACAGACAGACAGACAGACAGAATGAGTAAACCAAGAAGTGGAACAATACCTTCGAGCATTTACGTCTTACCGTCAGAACGACTGGGCATCATGGCTTCCCATTGCAGAATTCACACATAACAACTCCATTACCATAACCGGACACTCCCCTTTCAAATACCTCTACAGCTATAATCCCGAATTCATCATCTCCCCTAAGTCCTCCAACACCGTTCCATTAGCTGATCAAAGAGTAGCAGAAATGAAAGAGGCACAAGATGAAGCAAAGGCAACACTAGAAATCGCCAATGATCGGATGAAACACTTTTATGATCGAGGAGTGAAAGACGCACCAATTTTCGAAGTAGGACAAAAGGTTTGGCTAGACACCAGAAATATCAGACAACAACGACCGAGTCAGAAATTGTCGGATCGCCGCCTTGGTCCATTCGAAATACTCGAACAAGTAGGCGAATTGAACCACAAATTGAAATTACCGGAATCCTATCAAATTCATCCAGTTTTCCATGTAGAACTACTCACCGCTCATAAAACCTCGTCATTAACAACTCGCACCACACCAGAGCGTCCACCTCCCGAAATAGTGGAAGGAATGAAAGAATACGAAGTAGAAGCAGTAATAGCCAGCAGAGTGTGGCGAAACCGGTTGCAATTCTTATCAAAGTGGAAAGGATATCCACTAGAGGAAGCAACATGGGAAAACGAAGAAAACCTAAAAAACTCTCCCAGATTAGTCAGCAAGTTTTATGCAGCAAATCCCGATGCACCCAAATCGCATCGAATTGCAAGCGCAATCATTCCAGTCTTACAGACTCCTGGTTTCTTAGAATGGAGACAGAAGAATATTCGACCATCCTATGTTCGCGAGGACGCTCACCTTAAAGAGGGGGTAATATCACGAATTCCTAACACGAATCATTTTTCATTTCTCGGTTTTCCTTCGGCTATGTCCCATACCTGAACCGGTCACATGACACCACTACCTTTCACATTATCACATCATCACCATGTCACACCTTCACCACTTCACATTTCACCAGTCACATCTCCGATCGGATCCCCTACGCCCAGGGCTAGAACCATATGTCTTCCTATCACTTAATCTCCATCTTTGACATCATTGCTTATATATCACGACGTCATACTACGTCATCCGCAGTATCGTACGATTCTTTTTCATTGGCTGATTACTTACAGACTCAGATATCTCCGACTCAATGTTATGTATATAGGTAGGATAGTTAGCATAGTTTCTCTTTAGACTTAACCTCTTCGTTCCTACCCAGTGTAGACTCAGACGTTCACTCTCAATATCATCTCTGTTCTCTTATCTTGACGAGTCCTAGTGGTTGTGTGAAACCTTTGCCAATCAGTGAACGTTGATCATAACACACGGTCAATTTCATTTCTCACATCCTGCTGAAACTCAATCAAGAGGTCCCCCTTGATGCCGCAGTCGGTAGCTGCCTCACCACGGCCTTTTATTCCATTGCGAGGGTTGGGGAATTCACAGTTCCCAACCTCACAACCTTCGACCCTTCGGCCCACGTGAAACACTCGGACGTTCGCCAGGACACAGATCGCAATGGACTGCAAATGATGGTTTTCCACCTACCACACACAAAGTCTGCACCAGCCGGTGAAGATCTCTTTTGGGGCAAGCAGAATGGCCCAACAGACCCAGAGGCAGCGCTAGCCAATCACTTCCGCGTTAATGATCCTCCCATCAACGGCGCTCTCTTCACCTACAAATACGGTAACACACACCGGCCCCTCACCAAATCCAAATTCATCTCAAGGCTTGCCAAGGCCGCCAAGGACGTGGGGCTAGACCCATTGCAAGGCCACGGCATAAGGATTGGTGCCACGCTAGAATACTTACTGCAGAACATTCCATTTGACGTAGTAAAGACCATGGGCCGCTGGGCCAGTGAGGCCTTCCAGCTATACCTCCGCAAACATGCTCAAATCTTGGCACCATACCTACAGGCCACACCAGCCCTTCAAGACGAGTTCCTTCGGTACACGATGCCGCGAGTACGTTAAACACTCAACGTGAGTACTCATTCTCCTCCTACTATCCTGGGTCCCGAGTTTCGCTCGATGCGTCGTTGAACTCCTTCTGTTCTGGGATTCGCAGCTCACCTTTTCTATCACAGGATACATGACTCTTCTCTTCTCAGATAGCATCTACAGCGACTCGCAAAGATTGTCATTCTACTACGTAACAAGGCACGAGCGGAGGAATAGAATTTGGTCTTTGCACAAGCGACAGATGCAGTACCCTCCTTCTTGTTCTCGTACCGCATCTGTCAATCTCATCAGCTCAGTCGTCCACAACAATTCTCTTCCTCCTCTTTTCTTTTCCCCACCCGCCGCTCCCTTTTCACCCGTGACATCTTCAATACAGAGGTCAGATATCACTTCTCGCACACATTCTTCAGTGATTCGGACTGCGTCCATTGCCTGTTCACTTAGGCCTGCGAGGGTTCTGTTCCCACCCACCCTTTGCAGCTCACCTTTTCTATCACAGGATACGCAGATCGGGATCGGAAAGCGCTGCGCGCTTTTGCCCAAGTTGCTCAGGTAGTTCACATCATAGTAGTCTAGCCATAATGTCTTTAGAGTAGCAATGATACTCTTCTCCTCTCAGATAGCATCTACAGCGACTCGCAAAGACGAATATATCTGTATACTCGCCAGCTCTTCGAGGTTTTGAATGCCACTCGTCAAGGACAGCTTCAACTCCCAGTATTTTGAGCATTGACTTGATTTGTTCTGATAAAGCAAGGTACAGATACTTGATGACCGGTATCTTCTTAGCGCGCTGAATTCTGTGTCTAGTTTGACCTGGGAGAAATAGTGAAATATTGCAGGTGATGCATGTATCCTGGGCATGCAACGAGCCAGTGGGAGGAAAAACATCACGGCATCCAGGGCAAACAGGAAGAGTTTGAATGACAGGATCAACGCCAAGGACCCGAGTGCAAGATTGGAGTGTGACAAATGGTCTGTCGATCATTGGAGAGATAACGAGCAGCATACATGCGAAAATCGCAAGTAGCGCATTACATGCTACGCGAGGCAGATGAAATTGAAGGTGTAACCATGACACAACCACATATGTCATTAAGAGATGCGGAGGGACACCTTGGTGATTCACGTAATCATCCGCGGTAGTGCCTTCTTCAGGCATGAAAGGGTCAGGAGTATCTTCCTCTGGTTCTACTATGATGAGGACCTCAGTGTCTTCATCATCATGTTCGGAGCATGCATCAACATCAATATCTGCATCCTCATCTTCATCGGCATGTGTATCTGCACATTTTTCCTCCTCCTGGAGCTGCTTGTACGCATGCTCGAATTCGCATTGCATTGCACGCAGCTCTGGGTCATTGGGGAGGTTGTGAGCAAGGTGGGACGTGAGTGGATGAGAATCTGCTGCAGTGCGTGTGTTGTAGTCCTCGAAATGATTGACAGCATCTAACATGGCTTCTGGACTATGAAAGTTTGGCCCAAGGTTAGGTAACTCGCTGCCATGGGTCATGATGTCAAGATCTTCTCCGGTGAGGAATCTGTAATCGAGCATCTCTTGCTTGACTGGTGATTCCGACATTTGAGGAGGATCCGGGAACTCAAATCTTGGCAACAGGAGTGGTACAGGCTCATGCTGAAAGATAGGTAGATTTTGAATGAGTCCAGGCATCCTTTCACGTGGTGGAACTTGAGCACAGGCTTGCTCAGTGACAGTTCGGTTTTTGAGGTCTGCGCGTTCATGATTTCATTTTGTATGTGCAGGAACTAGGGCTCCTGCACATTTGTTGGTCGTACACGAGCAGCGAAGCAACATATTGCGTGATGGATGATGTGGATGCTTGGATCTTGGACGTGTTGGGACTCAGGAGGCTTGCATGTCCAGGGTCACGTGAGTGTATTACAGCGGTACTACCAACCCTACTACGCAAACTATCTGCGACTCTGAAAGGACGGTTGATTGTCAGCCTCATACCAAGTAGTAAATTCTACTGGTGTCTGAGCCTCGGGTTCTGACTCTGGTTCCGTCTTGTTGTCATCAGGCACAGGTCCAGCACTGACAGGAAGGTCAGTCCAGGATGGGCATACGGGGCGAGAGAATAATTGACATCATACAAAATGACTTACCACTTGGCTGGAACATTTTGCAGATGTATGAGACCTTTAGTCCCCGGTCCTGCTTTGCCGTCCTTGACTAGCTGCCCGGTACCACTAACCAGCGCTTGAGCAGCACACCTCTAAAATAGATGTTCTATTCAACAATACAAATGATTAAAACAGAGAAAACTCACAAGATTTTCTGCAGCTGGTTCTGATTGCAGTTCCGTTTTGCTATCTTTCACTGCCCAAGCTTCCGAGTTGAGAGGCTCTCGCATATATATATTGACAGCCTACATGCATATGGTAGTAGAAAATTATAGTTAGTTTGAATAAATAGGACTTACCATAGGACCTGGTGTCCTGCATTCAAAGGTGAACTTGAATGATCTCACCCACACGGGCAGCTCGAGCCTGATGGTGTTGTGGTCTGCCATAGCGTAGTTAGTACTTAGGTGACGTGAACTTAGACGAAATTTTGAAAATTTACCTTGTTGCAAGTCTACGTTAAACCAACGCTGAAATGTTGGATTTTCAGATCTGAATAGCCATAGAATAGTAGACATTTGCAAGGTGTAAGCATGGGTCAGGAAAAATGACAGCGCAAAGTCGGAAAACGGTCTGCTGACAATTGTGCTCTTCCCAGAATCTCTCAAATTTCGCAGCACATCGGGTTTTGGTGGGGTTTACTGTTTGGCGCAGGTTTGGGTACGATTATACAAGTTATCTATCTAGGAATACGGTACAACTATTTTCTCGTTTCTGCAAGCGTGCGTCGAACCTGTCGTTCAGCTCAACACTAATGCCTACTCTCGGATGTTTTCCCTTGACATACACTGACTTCCTCTGGCACTACCCTCAAGGTTCATCCAGCTTTACATCCCTCCCATGACCCACCCCAGCCTTGTCTTTGTCAACTCACATGAGTGGCAGTTGCATGAACCTCCCCTATGTCAAGTCTTACCATGACTAGAATTCGCCTCCCTCGACCAGTGTTTATTCTCACTCTGAAGCGTTGTTTGTTTCGTCATACGCCATTCCTCGAAACTTCCTCCTGAATCCGACCCACCACCACCTTTTCTTCATTCCCCATGAGCAGCCGAGTACGAACCAACCGCTGCTACATCTAGTCCTGCCACGACTGGAACACCAATAGTCACATTATGATGTGATACTTACATGACAAATACGAATGTGTGAGTCGTCTGTTACCATCTTTTCTGCATTTCTGTTCACATAGAACATCGGCTTGACACCTCTAGGTATCCACTTACTTCCGCCCCCACCAACACCTACCTCACCTGCCACTAGGCCCCGTCGTCTGTTCCATCCTCCTCGTGTCATGCTTCTTCTGTGCACGTTGCTGCAGGACATACGAGTTCGACCGGAACTTTCACCCCAATTGTGTAATCTGGCATTGGTACACTCCCACAGGTCGACCACGTGTTACCATCTCAATCATGGTGGAAGCGCCAGTACCGAGAGTACCAGCTGATGGTGCAGGTATCAGTGTTGGCTGCGTCATTTCCTCTCAGCTCCCCCTCACATCAATCTGCAAATGCCTTGTCCTATGACTCCGATGCTGCAGGCTCGCGCTCCCAACAACCAGTTGGACGCATCCATAACTTAATACCGCCTTTCCATTTTTACCAAACTTGGCAGCCAGTGTATGAACTGGGAACCTTGTCCTCCTGACCAACATGTACTGTATACAATTTATAGCTTGATGTATTGATTCGAATTACAATCATATTTCTATGATATGTATCTGTCCAACGTGTCACCACCTTGAGATACATGCGCGACCAAATAACACTCCCAGCGTGATCGTACCCAGATCATTGATCGCATATTTTTCAGGCGCCTAAAACATCTTGCGGACAACTAACTGGCTATAAGTAATGAACGTTACATCAGGGCAGAGAGAATAGGGTGCTCGAAGGTCCACGAATTGATCCAGCGTCACAACAGAAGCCTTACATGTTGAGATAACGACGAAGGAGAAGCAGACTCTGTACTTGAAACAACATCCTATGGCAATCGCAGAGAAACGCATGCCCAAACTGTCGTAGGTTCAGAGTGACATACTTGTCACGTGCAGAGTGCCAGGCCAGAAATCCTGCAAACACAATATCACTTGCACTTTCTGTCGCTAGCACAGGTAGGCAGGCCTCCGAGATTTCAAACTAAAAAATAGTAGATCATATATTCAATGATAATCCCCAATCCGCCAGGAAGAGTGTGCTTAATTCGTCGTAGCGACTTCAGACAAACCTCACTTTTATCTCGTCCACACGGTGCATGAGGCCTGCATGTGCGAAAGCCTTTTCATGAATCCAGGCCATGTCTTCATCGCCATCGAACATACTGAGGAAGAAGTTGTGAGTACAGGATCGCTGTCATTATCACTGTAAAATAACCGGCACTTTCTTTGAGAGCATGCTGACAAGAATTTTGTGAGTTGAGGATTATGCATGAAAGAAAAAAAGTTATACGCACATGTCTGGTCTGAAAGGTATCAGTTGGAAATATGAACATTGACTGTCGAATATTATGGGTAGGTTGATTGTTAACACAAGAGTAATGGACCATTCACAAAATGTGTAGAAAAGGACTGCACTCGAAAGACGTTGTCGGATGCCAAGGTGGTATTTTGAACCATTCCTGAGATTTCTGATGCCTTTGAGACTTGCATTGGTATTCGCGAGTGTTCGGGTCACATCGTGGTTCAGCCTGGTGATGTATGTCAGCACAGTATCAAAAGAGAGAAACAATGATGCTCCAAACTGCATGTCAAATGCACCTTCGCAATGCCCAAATTGGAAGCCTGGTCAGGGCTTTCTTCGGAGATGAGCGGTGGAGGATCCTGCAGCAGTTATGAACAATCATTGCACACAGGACATTCCAAGAGCAGAAAGTGCACCTACCTGGCTTGTCTGAACAGATAGGAGACCCCGTGCACTGGAACTTCCAGCCGTGGGTTCAGGGCTCGGAGACTGTCGAGCACTTCAATCAGAACAGTTGATCGCATTGTCTGAGAACTTGTGTATCAACTCCATGGATCCTCTATGAGATCCAGTCTGCGAAGGTGTGAGGACAACTAGAACAAAATCACTACAAATAATCAGTAATTTAAAGCAATCTCAATCACCCTGTGTGTTTTTGCTGTGGATTGTCTTCGTTCATAGACACGGATTGAAACCACGCTGAGTGCGAGTCCAAATAGGCTTATGGAATATGAAGGAACGACTGCCTTGTGCCGAACGGTCTGTCTCGAAGAGACTACATCTTGGGGTGCAAGATAGACAAGAACAATGATAAAAATGATGGATTGCACTTCAGATAGCCAAGACGATGCGGTGCAGAGCGATTTGTATAAGGAACATTCGTTTGCAAACGCCCATATCGCGATGGACTTTGGCACTGAACCTTATGGAGGGTCTGCAGTTACAGAAGTAAGGTGGTGGAGTGACAATACTCACAGGTAAAAGCATTCAGGGCAGGTGACCCTCACATTGGTGTCTGGCATTGCACTGGCGATCCGAGTCAGCCACGAACTTGGGGAAACGAAATTGACTCACCAGCGTGATTGGCTGATGAATCGGATTGATGACATTCCAAGCAATGCTGAAGCTTGAAGGGCCGATGCACACAGAACTAGGTGAGTGAACGATAAAGATTCAAATAGTGTTTCAAACTTTCTACTGGACGTCGGAGACCTACAGTGATGCATACAGATTCCAGAAATATGCCGTTTCAAGTGACCGCCGTATCTCTCCACCATGGGATCACTCACTTCGGCGTTAAAGAAGCTGTAAGCATGAACATAAGTAAGTAGTAGAAGCAGCAACCTCATAATTATTGAAGATGGAATTTGAAATCCAGTCCTGATGCCCTGCGTTGGCCACCCCCCCTTCCCCCCATTGCCCCCATGGTCGCGAGATTTGTCGTGGCGAGTGCAAGAGCCATCGTGCGATTGATAACTCCATTGGATGTGAGGAGGAACTGGGATTGGTGTTAGGGGAAATATGACATGAAAAGCAGTCCAAAAAAACGCACCCAACCAACTTTGAAACGTGTGTTGCACACATTGTACTCGTCAACAACACCAATAGCTACATTGACGCCAGCTTTCAATGCGAGCATCGCTTAATCCCAAATTAAACAAAGGGGGAAGATAGACAGAGAAAAGGAAGGTGAAGAGGGCGAGGGGCACTCACATTCTCCGCTGCTCCCAGGTCCATGGGAATGGCTTACTTTGCGTGACAATCACGCTCACACCTGCCTTCACAATCTCATGAGCAAGGATGTGCGCCTCGGTGGCTCTTGCAAAGGTCAAACAAAGCACCCTCCCCGAATGACCTTCATACTCATCCTTGAGTCGGAGGAGCGTCACCATGATGTCTGCGTTCTCAATGTTCACCACAAGCGTTGATTTACCCTTGATTCTAGATATCAATGTTCATTCAATGTGGGAGGGGCAAATATGCCAACCTTTCTAACACTCCTCAACACGTGATCTCCGCCCTCTCCAAACAACATGTTCCTAAGTGCTCCCACCTGCATGCTCACACCGACCCTTGAATACATGCTGACAGCAACATGCAACGTGACCTCATCAACAACACTCGCATTTTCCACTCGAGCATGCGCAGCTCCAGGCAAGAATGCGGTAGATATGCCCTGCAGGAACGTTCCAGAGGGCGCTGTGATAGCGGTCGTGATGCCACCATGATAGGCTAGTCTGCAATCCAAAAGTTTGGTTCAGGATAAATGCACCGATAGATAGGGTATTAAACATGAAACGGACACCTACAACAAATTCTGGCCACCAAACATGAGCCTGTCCTGTGCTCTCACTGCTTTGCCACCCAATATGGCAGGCAGATCCCCATCGAGGGGATTATGAACAGCTCCATTGTTCGTACTCGGCTCAAGCCTTATCTCCACGAGCCCCAATGGTGCACCGAAGCTTGTCAGTCCAGGGGTAATTGTGCTGCCTTCAAGATCAACAATATCGACGTCCCCATTTGCGAAATCCGAGCATTGACCAATGCACACTACTCATCCATCTTCCATGCCGACTGATCCTGCCTGCTTGGAAACACACACTACTCCACTCAAGCCATCACCTCTCATATAAAGCCCTGAGACATTTACGAACGCGGGTGGGAGGACCAAATCACGATATCTAGATCCGATCAGACTCTCCTTATAAATCTATTAATTGCCAGGAGGGCGTACCAGCATCATATCCTACAATCCAAGTTCCAACCGAGACTTAATTCCATCGAACTTAAATATTGGTCTCACGTACCTTGTTTCAACATCCCATGGCCCATCCCCATGGCTGTGGCAGGAGTATACGTGACAGAGAGGAGGGCGAGTGCAGGGTCAAGGCCATAGTAGTGCGCTTGGGCGGCTTCGTGCAGGAGGTAACGAGAGTTAACAACAGGGTGGTCAGACTGGAAGTACGAGGTTAGTTGGATGCACGATAAAGATGATGCAAATTAGTTAGTGGGAGACATGCGTTGGGAAGGCTGGAAGATCATCATCAAATATGTAGACATTCGAAATTTTCGTGGCTCCAACATGAGCACAGCAATATAAAAAGATGTGTTGTCGCAGCATGAAGTAAAGAAGCGAAGAAGCAAGGTAACACTTACCTTCATTACAACATCAATCCCATGCTCCACCAACACACGGGGAGAAAACTCCGATCCTCAATACACTTCGCGTTTCTTGCTTCATCCGAGACCAACAGCATAAGCCCACATTACAAAAGATATACAATGTATACCTACCGGAAGTTGGATGCGAAGAGTGCAATGGCAGGTGTGCCCCCCTGGTTACGGAGTGTTTAGAAGTTGTGAAGGGACAATGAGGAAGAGAAGACCCACCCATGTCTTCTTCAACAACTCTGGAACGAGGTACGTCTCCCCAGCATGGTGAAACGACGCCACTGGGAACTCAAACTCATTTGTAAGCTGTCCAAGCACATACATGAAGCAATTACACCCAAGTGAAATCAAAAGAACGTACACGGACGATCCCATTGAGATCAACTGCCTTGTAGCAGTGTACGGCAAGCTTGACGCATCCGCAGAGAACATTGACGAGAGATTCCCATTGAAGGTCTTCAGGGAATGTCTTCCCCGCGAGGTCATCCCAGTGATTAGACTCTGCTTTGGCACAGAACGAGTCTTGAGCATCACGAATCTTTTGGGCGCTGTTGTAGGCGGCGCAGAAGTTCCATCTGGAGTCAAGGTGTGTTATGCCATAGACACTGGAAGGGTTTTCACCTCATGGGTGAGTAAGCACTGAGCGAGGAAGATGAGAATATGTTTTTCGGAACATACCACATGCATGCCTGTTAGGTATTGTTGATGAATAAAAGACAAGTAAGAGGAGTTCGAGAGAGTGAAACGACATACTTCATGTGTCACCAGTGTGGTGTGAGAGAGTGGACGAAGTGGGAGCCATTGAAGGTGTAGGGAGGCTCAAGGAGCATCAAAGAAGGTGAACACTCAGCTGTAGGACGGATTTCATTATGAATGCCTGGCCGCCTGATAGAGAAGGTTAGGATCAGAAATCAGACGAAGGAGATAGTGCTAACCAATATTATTTGTGCTCCCAGGGAGAATCTGCGCGGTGGTGACGCCTCCAGCCATAGCGAGTTCATATGACGCATCATGGGTGTTTAGCCCGTCGATACTGCACAACCAGGGCAAGATGGGAGCCTTGAAAGAGTTCGTGTTGGACGCACCTGCAGGCCATGAAACCCTTTGACTAAGTGGAATAGTAAGGAAACTCACCATCTAGCTCAGGCGCACTGCCAATGCCAATATGAGAGTGTAGGTCCACAATACCAGGGGTCACCCATGCTCCATGAGCATTGACAACCTCCAAGTTCATATTCTTCAACTCGAGCTGCTGAATGAGGGAAAGAGGGATATCGCCGATTGCTTTGATGAGACCGCGTTGCATGAGCAGGTCACCAGTGATAACTTTGTGCCCATCATTAGCGGCTGTCCAGATGGTTGCGTTATGCACGAGAACAGGTGCCACCCTTGGCAGCACTTTTCGGTAACTATAAAGGTCTAAGAGACCTGGTTTCTATGTTATGGGAAACTAGTCTCTGAGACCCACCCTCCCGCCATCTAATTATAGTTCATGCCCTCACATTTCCTCGCGGGCCTCCTGCACCTCCCTCGCAGGCCTCCTGCACCTCCCTGCGTGCCTCTATTAGTACCCTCCCACCTCTAGCACACCATCTAATTATAGTTCATGTTCTCGCATTAATTCCCTCGCAGGATTCCATGGTTACATATGTTTCCTATTGTCCGAAAATGGTAATTTTTAGTACTACCTTCAAAAACATGACCCAAATTCATCAGGAAATTCACACATTACTTAATGTACTTATTAGCTACTTGTTGCAAAATTTGATTATTGTTTTCACTTGTATTCACTTGCTTACTTGTACCATAGACAGTACAAGGATGAAAAAGCTGGCAATTAAATACGTAGTGCAAAAGGACAAAAAGCAAGTACAGTAGATATGGGAACTTGCGGGACTGGGAGCGGGTGATTATGATGCTATCTCGAAGGCATGGTGATCTGCAAATTTGTTGACATAGTATGAGCAGAAAGCATCATAAGAATGAAAGTACTGGATGTTATTAGGAATGAAATTGCATTCATAGACAGGGATTAAGTGCACTTCTCGGTAGACTGTCTTGAGATGAATAACAGCGAAGTTTGGGGTGCCATCGTCATGAACGCTTGGACGGACTATCCACATGCTGGTATCCTCGTCAGCATGGTCACCAACCTTGTCAAACCATTGAACGAGGGCGCATGGATATGTGACCCAATTGAATTTGAATGAAAAAAAAACATTTATTGCAATTTACAAATATAATGAAACTCACCTAAAAAGAAAAAAGTTTCAAACGAGTGTGGCTGAGTAGTACTCTAAGTAGTACCCGACGCGCGTTACACAACAACATTCAACTGAGTATATGCGTGACTATGAGTCAACTCGGGTCCGACGATGATACTCGTGACGACGCTAGAGTCCATGGCAATGGTTTCAATGAAAATGGTATGTTTTTATCGCAGTACTGAACAGTGAACACCAGGGACCTTATGTTGTCATTATAGAACCTTTGGAGAGCGCATATAACAATGGCAAGGGTATCGCAGTCTCCGTGACATTTACCCCACTTCTACCACCTCCAGCAACTGGAGAAAAACGCCGCAAGAATGCTAAATCACCACCCATAAACCGTGCCTTCTTCATCCACGAAGATTCAACCCTCCGCGACCTTCTCGATACAACATTCAAACACTATGACGTCTCCGAGAAAATGATGTACGGTATTGGGAATCGATCAGGTCTTCTCTCGGCTACCAACTTCACGATCACGTACACAATCCTTCACACGAACTATAAGAATATTGTTCTCGCAAACCTCAGTGATTTCGACACAATCATGGAGGAAGTCAAAGAACACCGGTCACCAGCCTTCAAATTGACTATCATCGAGACCAAGGTATGTATTTTGGGTGTTTGTATGTGATTTGCAGTAAGCTAAATACATGGTAGTATGATGATGGCGAAGAAGCTGAAGAAGATGAAGAAGCTGAAGCCGAACCTGCGGGTAAGAGGGTGAGATATATGTGTTTCGATTGTCTTCTTGTCACTCATGTTGCGAAGGCTGCAACAGGTCCAACTGACGAGGAGATAGAGCAAAACGAGGCAATTGCAAATCTGACTCGTCAGTATACCTGCGAAGACCGAGCATGTGGTTTCCGTATCTGCTGGCCAGCTCCACCAGACGCCAAACACGTCAACCTGACACCATTACATCTCAACACGTGGGCTGCTGCGATGGTCTGCGTGATGTTCTGAAGTATGTAATCTGCATGTGTCACTAACAGGGTTATTACACAATAGGTTGGTCCGAACAAGCAGCCAGGTGTCGACTTAGACAATCCGCCAAACACGAAGATTTTTGATGTTACATACGCAGACCCGACTGATATTGCTACTCTCTCACGTCGACGTCTCAATACAGTTACCCAAACCCAATCCTCCGCACCAAGTATTGTCATCAACAATGACTTCAAGGATATTGTGGGCCTCCTGCATGGCAAACGTGGACCCGATCACGCTGCCAACATCCCACAGCCTGCTGCTCTTCGTCCGAAGTTGAGTTTGATTGATTTTTGTGAATGCTTCAACCTATCGCTATGGCTACGTGAGAAGTTGGACAACATTGACGTGACAGGCCCACACTGTCTTCGGTTCCTTCAGAATGCTGACTTGCTTGGTGCTGGACTGTCTCTTGGTGAGCTTGCAGATATTCGCGATGCCGAGGAACGGTGGATGCTTGATGCTTAGTTTGTATGGCTCCGAGCTTTCAAAGTGTATTTTTCGGCTGCAGTATTCACAGACACCCATTCATAATATTATGCTACTGTATTGTAACAATGCTATGGTCAAGCAAGATAACCCGAGTGACGAAAGAAGCCCCAAGTCATCTCGGGTGTTATGACAGAACATGCAGTGTACAGCTCATAGTAAGGAGCCTTAGGCCCATAGAACCCTAACCCTTGGCAACGGAGATGTGACTTGATTGCGGAGAATGCTTGCTCAATAGGATTGAGATCCGGGGAATATGGTGGTAAGTATTCAATGCGGCACCCTGACAAAATAGTGAGACAACTCCGTATCACAAGCTTTATTATACTGACCATAAGCATGAACAAGCTCTTCGATTTCCTCCGCATGGTGAATACGAGCATTGTCCATAACCAACACACTCCGTGGCCCTGGAAATGGAGTCGTGATAGGAAGCTAATAATAACAGGTTACTGATACATCACAACGACACTGACAGTTTGAAAACGAACCACATCATTTTGCAAAAAATCGATGAAAGTCTTGCGATTGAATGATCCTTCAACAACTTTTGCAGCAATGATGCCCTCATTGAGAGCCAATCCTGCTACCATTGAAAACCGACGTTTCCGAACAAATGGTTGATGCTGCTCAGCATGTGCACCTCGCGGAGCACGTCCCCAGCGACGCGAGTATGTACGGTCATCTTTTGAAACTTCATCCAAACAGAGTAATGAAGCTGGCGAGTATTGCGAGACACGACGAACGAAGTCTGCGCGACATAGAGAGTCACGTTCAGCTGCAATCTTCTCAATGTGCTTGAGATTGATGCCAGCACGCTCAAAAGATCGGTGAATGGTGGATAGTGATGTCTGTAGAAACCGGCCATCCTGAAGTCTCAGCTGGTATTCATTGAGGAATAGGGTGGGGTTATGGCGAGCAAGCCGAATGAGGAACTGGATATCATGCTGGGTGAAAGTACGAGGCCTGCCCCTGCCAATTGCCTGAATTTTGGCTACACTGCCAGTGGCTCGTTTACGACGTTGTGTGCGGTAGATGGTTGACTTTGAGATCTGTGTGATGGAGAGGATTTCTTTGGTTGCATATCCTTTGTTCGCCATTCGCAATGCAGCATCTTTGAGGTCGTCGCTGATCCGTCTATTGCCCATCGTGGAGAAGAGTAATGTGTGACTCACGAGATGCTGGCTGAGGCTGTACGCTGCTGTATGCCACACGCAACAGGTGACCAATTCCGAAAATATATATTTTTACACATTCGAAGAGTGTCATTGTTTATGAAAATCGCAATAACCCTGGCGACTTCGAGCCCTTCAATTCCTTCAAGCTCTGGATTGATGTTGACAAATATGCAATTGTTATGTGCGTAGACGTTCCGCCAGAGTGGACATGTGCAAATCTGTTCACGTCGCATGCTGCCAATGCTGCTGGGATCACCGGGGGCATGGAACGTCGCAGCAGCAGAATTAAAGATGAGAAGACTGCCATCATGTCGAGGGCAGTTGGCGGCAGGGACATCTTCAGGGTTGCGGGGGTCATCAGGGAAGAGTTGAGAGAAAAGGAAGTAATGGATAAGGCGTCGCAGGTGTGGTACACAAACTTCTTCTGCCAGTGCTGCTACCATCCATGCCCGTTTTTGTTCTGTCAAATGTCGTGAAGGTATTGAGACAGACCATATTACAACACCACTTACGAGGAGTCCTTGCAAGCTGTACAAAAGCGAGAACTGTCGGACCGTCAACAACTTCGCCGTCATCAATATCGTCTTCTGCTTGAGGTGCAACAACAGGGGCATTTGGTTCATCTTCATGCCCATTAAGTATGCAAGACGACGAAGTTAGATATAGAAAAACTTACAGAGAGCAGCCACAGCTCTTGATAATACTGAACCAACAAGCATGCCTCGTGTAGTGAAGTCAATGCGAGATGCCACAAGCTTGTCGAGGTGTTGGTTGGTCAAAAGCATCTGACCGAGGGCGTTGTTCCTGCTAGACCACCACCAAGGATCCTTCACCGCTTTGATGTGCTTCAATTCAGTGATTGATGAGCACAATCCATTTGGGGCGCCAAAGAGTCGGATCATGTCTGCATAGTGGGCCTGTTAGGTACCGTGCCGACTCAGGAAGCAGAGGGGTCAGGGCTTGGCTTCAGCTCTTGTGCTGCGCCCTTAGCCAAGTACGTGCCCTGAATTTGGAGCGGGTCCAATGTTGTCCGACGGTAGGACAAGTGGACCGCTTGGGTCCGCTTTGAGGGTTGGGGGGTAAGAGCTACTAGCGGCGGACCGACTAGGAGCGGAGCAGAGAAGGCGGGGAGTGATGCAGAGGGTGGATAGGAATAGGGGGAATGTTTGGTAGGAGCGGATGAATAAGGGGAGGACTTAGAGCATGGCTCTAAGTTGGAGCAAAGGGTCGGAGGGTTGGAGGCGACAACAAGTTGAGACTTGTGTCCAGAGGAGGCAAGGTCCTACTGAGAATTCTCACAAGAGGTAACTGCGAGAAGACAAGTAATATTAAGACTGAGGAAAATATCTAAGTACAGGATATGTTATATACTTCTATGTATGAGGCAGTGACCAGGATAACTATGTTGTAAAGCTATGTACCAAGGATATAATTTGTAAGTATTTTACATAGGAAAGACATAAGTCGGGGCAGATATCAATATGTACACATCGGATCAGTGATCGAGCGGTAATAGGAATTACCGGTGATCCAGAAGTAAGGGTCTATGTACCAAAGGGGGAAGTATATATCTAAAAGGGGAAAGAGGTCCAGTTGAATGGAGAGGTTATGGAAGGGGACCGGTTGAGCGGTTGAGTGGAAGTGTAGGGCGGGATGTGGACTTGTGATTGGGCGGAGTGGAGGATGAATAGAGCAGAGGGGGTCGGAAAGCGGAGCAGATATTGATATTAGGGCGGTCGGATCAGGTATATGACAGGGTCATTGAATGCTGGTGAGGGTACGAAAAGTGAGGTTTTGTACCCGTGGTTTTAAATATCTGGCAGTAGCGGTGGAACCAAGTAAGCGCATCTTGAAGTTCATTCAAGGAGGCCTCACTAATGACATTGCACTGCGCAATGTAACAAAATTCCAAAAACACACGAAATGCATGCACCATATCTTGAGGTATGTGGCCTTCGATAGCTGGAAGGAAGACCTTCATAAGGGCTGTTGAATCATTCCCGGTCCATTGTTTGAAATCACGGCCGTCAGCAAATCAACATAGACCAGTGAATGATGCTACAGCAGCAATTCTAAGGTATTGTTAGAGGATGTTGTTCGATTAATAAGTGAGGTCACATACCTGTGATCTATGTCACTCATGATCTCGTCTCCTCGTTTGGTCCCATGCGTAAGTCTAAGGTACTCTACTACCCAATCCACAAGATGGTCTTTAAAGGCACCTTTGACCAGCTGGTGGAGAAGATCGAAAGATAGCAATTGATAGATATCAGCTCGGGGGAAGTCATTTGTGAATGGCTATGCAAAACAATTAGTATATAATTCAAAAGCGGGTGATTGCACTCACAACAAGAATACTGATGATACCAAATTCATCCCACAAAGCATCCGAATCTATGATTTCGTGTATCAATAGATCTGTGTGCTCCTGACAGTGGTATGGACCACCACCGTCAAGGTCGGTTCAAATTGCAAGACATCTATGATATTGTCCATTAATGTCAATGCTGATTGTGAGTCGAAATACTCACTTTGGGCACCAGTTTCTCACAATACAGGATAACAACACTTGCTCCTCGTAGTCTGCAATGTAGGGTCCTAATCCATATATAACGCGTCGAAAATGACCATCTGCGCAACATAGGACCTCATACTCGGTCATTGCAGGCTTCAGGCTGTCGAGAATCACAGAGAGCGAGTGGTGAAACAGCTGGCAACGAAATATGTGGAATGACTCGGTTTTAGCATTCTTTTTATCAGCTGGACCATGGCTCAGACGAGTGGTACAATTTAAAAGATCAATACATATACTTTTGGGTATAGAGAGGAAACCGATGATAACGAGAGCATCGCGATGAGCATGCCACATGTTGTTGTGCACATTTCTGATCGAGGCATACAGAGGGTAATATTTGTTGTTACCTGTGCCCATGGAGACAGTGGTCTTGTTGCTGCTGAGGATGATTGGAACAAATGTTGATCCATGTGTGTTCAGATCCTCTGATATCTCATCCTAAACAAATGTTAGTTGTGAAGTTATAAGTATACATGAAACACGTACAGCCTGTTGCCATGCCCAGTCTCCGGACATAAAATCTTTCCATCGGCGTGTACTATCCAATGAGTTATACTCTCAAAATGGAGTGAAGTCAATTTCACCCTTGTATGTAGGGTTTGCTAACATATTATGCGCCATCAGACGTGGATCCCTGTACCAGACCTCGTATTCTTTGTCCATCCATGGAGGGGCGTCATGCTCAGGGCGATCTCCCATGTATCGAACCGAGAGACATTGCCAGGGGACATTGCCAAGTTGCATAGTGTCAATCACTTTGTGCAAGTCCTTATGATCGGCGAATGGAGGAGAGTTGTTGTGTTTCAGTAGTTGCGCAGCCATTAAGTCAAATAAAGTGTCCATAGCTGAATTGGACATATGGCGCTGTTTGAATACAAATTCCGCTGTAACGAATTCTATATTGTTGTGATACGGGCTCCAATCACGAGGCGACTTTGGTGGAGGAAGAGTTGGAGGTGTTCCAGGCAGTAAAAACACACCATCTGCTGAGCATGGTAGTCCTAAGAGAGGGTGTAAGTCAAAAGAATGCGAGAAGCACACTTCAACACTTACCATTCAAAAGTGGGTGATATGTACGAAAGTACCGCTCACTTGTGTCTGTGAATTGTGCCTCTGGGAGATTTGGATCTTCGTCAGCAGGTGCTGGACCTGGCAATGACCGAGGTGGTAGTAAATCATCAGCAGGCGCTGGACCTGGTGATGACTGAGGTGGTGGTAAGTTATCTGGAGGAGGAGGCAAGAACTGTGGAGGCTGGTGCAGTTGGGGAAGATCTTGAGTAGGCGCAACCGGATGGCAAGCATGCATGTGTTGAGTGCGGCCCGATGAGTTTCGAAACCAGCGCAGGCAGCCTGGGGACTAGCATGGAAACTGAAGGGCATGGTGAGTAGGGCGATTTCCGGGCATGATGGGTGTCCTAGGTTGACGCCATGTATGGATGACGAAGTCTATCAAAAAATATTCAAGTTTGACAGTTGGGGGGCGCTACTATTGGATCTGCACTCACATATTTTGGTGCCATCCAGCTGAAAATCTGCACTACCCCCAGAAAGGTTTCGCCCCGTCCGGATGAAAATCTGAGCTACCCCCAGATAGGTTTTGGCGAAATGGACAGTTATGTCACCCCACCACCGGAATGGTTTTGGGTGTCACCCCACCAACAGACAGGTTTTAATAAATGTTGAAGAGTGTCAGCACACCACCGGACAGGTTTTGGTAAATGTTCATACTTACCAAGGTGTTTGACTTGACAGGCCATCGGCCTTTTCATTGAACACAGTCTGCCAAAAAGTGCAGGCAAATATTGTGCTCCAGAGGTCTGGAGGCCGTAGTAGGTGGTAGTTGGACTAGTACATCAGGATACTATTAAGCAGGGTCAATAAATTGGCCAGGTTTTTTATGCGACAAAACTCACCTTGAACTTGGTAATCCACCACCTTCAATTTTCTTCAACCACTGAAACCCTCCATCACCACAATGTCTCAGCCTGGCACAGCAACAACGCGCATAGGAACTCAACCTAAGAATGCAACTCAGCATCCCAGACACATTCTGACCGCGGGTGTTGGAAAGAGACGTACTGCCGCTCAAAAGGCTGCTGATGACCAGCATGACAGAGAGGCAAAGGAGGCAAGTAAAAAAGCTCTGCAGGAAATTTATCAGCAGATTGCTACTTTGCAGGCCCAAATGCAGGCAAACCAAGATGCTGTACGCATGGACGCACCTAAGCCTAAGCATCCTTGTCCTTGTGCATGCCCAGTGGGCAAGGCTGCACAGGCCTCGAAGACCTCCAACTCGACTATAGACGGTGGGCATGCAGGGGCCGAAATCATAGCCAACAAGCCTATCGGCACCAAAGGTAAGGGTCGTGAGTGTGGATGTGAAGCTGATGCTAACACCAAACATCCAGAGACCAATGAGGAGCTGGAGGAACCAGTAACTAAAACCAAGAGGAAAAAGGTCAGCAAACAGGTGGTGAGAGATGTGATTCAATTGGTGTTAGACACTGGCATTGTTATCGATGGATCAACAAAAGCACGTGATGGAGACGTTCAGAAGATGTCTGATGTGTAAGTGTTATCTTACCATAGCACCATGAGCGTCCTTTTGACTGAGACTACTCTATTTTTTTTCAACCTTGTGTCTGATAGTACTGCAAGTTCCAGAAAATTTGCACTTGGTGGGCGTATCCCAGGTTGGGTGTCAAACATTCACACCACGACAACTGTCTCACGGCCAACCTCCAAGGTGAATTCTTTTACCGGCGGGACCTCCACCCATCCAAGGACTAGTACTAGCTTTTCTAAGCTCACAAGGGGGAGTACTAACAATAGTGATGTTCCACCTCCGCCCACACCCATTGGCAGTACTACCAATGCTGAAGGCTTCACACAGTCTTACTCAGATCTGTATGCGTCTGATGAGGATGATGATCTCCTCACAAAACCTCTTTCTCGTATTACAAGCACAAAGGCTTTTATGGTGAGTCTGATTATATTAATTTGATATGGCTTTAACCACAGCTGCAGGGCATTGTGATCGCCTCTAAATCCGTTGACGATGAGGTGCCTTCAAATGTTGCACATCACAACACAACCTCAGTACCTGAACAGCCTGATGCGACCAATCACCTCGACGACATGGATGTCTTTAGTGACATCCGCAACCATCTTATGGATCTCAATGGCTCCACCCCTGCTATGCAGCCTGCTCTTGCGGACTATAAGTCTGATTCTGACGCCAGTCACAAGGTAGAGGTCTTGGACCGTGATTCTGATCTTGAGCCTCCACCACTTGCCCAAAAGCCCATGTCTCGCTCCATCTTCCCACCGGACTTTTACTTGTTTGCTGCAAGTCAGAAGCGGAAAATGTCGCCTCTTCTGGGTGACGACGATGACGTGTTGATGCTGTCATCTGAAGACGAAAGTGTGGAGTGCACCAACACAAGTATGGTTGCAGTCAAGACTGAACCTGTTGAACCAGTGTCCATGCGCCGGTTGACGTCTTCAGTATGCTTTAATTTCTTAATTCTATATTTTACTGACTACAGTTATCAGACCGCTGTCGCTGCCACGCTCAAAGCTCCTCCCGTGAAGCGGCTGAAGACTGAGACTTCTGCTACCACCGGAACAGATGCCCCATGTGCCATTGCTGCACCCTCCAAAGCCATCACACGTTCTGCATACAGGAAGAAACATCTCCCCAAGGGTTGCCAGATGGAAAACAAGTGGGCGAGAGAGTTTATCCCTACCGCCATTCGCTGCATCGGCGATATGGACGAAGTGTGGACTCTGGCAGACGACATTCTCTGCCCTATTTTGCAGTCAGTCTGGGACGCAGTCTATAAGGGTAAGATTCCGCACACAGTTGTTGCTGATGGGCCTGCTATTGCCCTCGTACGCTATTTTTTCAGGCACTATTTAAATCTGACTTTTTTTTAGACCCTCCAACAGCTGTCTGAGTGGCACAATACCATAAGTAATGTTGCCCTCATCATACTCACCAACTTCATGGCTTTGCAGGATGATCTAAACACTGATCAGGACCATAAAGATTTCGCAACAGTCTTGGTCGAAAAGTTCGGCTTCTTGTTCAGAGAGATCACGGATGATGGAGCGATGTCCAAGCCATTCCAATCTGACCTCATTGTACAGGTCCTCGTGCAGCACAAGTGTGCCACGTCTGGCGCTGTCAGCCTACCAGGAATCAACAATTCATTGCCAGGGCACTCGAAGGGTGCTCTTGCTCTTGCCACAGCAGCGGTAATCATTTTCTATCTTCTTTCTTCATAGTGCAAACTGATGTTTGCTTGTGTTTCAGATGGAACGCGCCATCTGGCTTTTCACTAATGGACACATGATCCTTTCTGACATCGACACTGCTGGCAATGGTCGAGGCAACAAAACCCCCCTGGATATCAATCCATCCACAGGCAAGGAGAGCAGCATGCCTCTGGCATTTTCCAACACCAATTGGGGCGCGCACACCCGAGCTTACAGTGTCTATCAATCACTTGCTGCACTCGGTCATCCTTCGAAATTTGGAGCTTGCACAGAGTGTCGCCATGAAGAGGCATGGTTTGCGGATGGATGTGGATGAAGAATCCGAGGATGAGTGAGTGCTGATTTGCTAGAGGTGGTATCCTTCATTCTTATAGTTCATCTCTCTCTTGTCGTTATTCACTCGCTGTCTTGCTGTCACCGTTGTCACTGCCGTCACCATCTAATCACTTGTCACCATCCCCCCCGGCTACTATTGCCATTATATTGTCGGCTATATCACACATTTCACCATCTTTTAGCTCATTGTGGCCTCCTTGCTAGTAATTGTTTCTTACTTACTCTCTTTTTTTTATTTCTGTGCTACTTAATCACCTTGTCTGGCTGGAATGCAGTTGTTTTTGCTTGAAACAAGTATGAATTAAGTGCAATTAAGTGTAAAATAAGTGCACAAAATGAGGCAATCAACAATTGAAGTCCAGTTCATGCTCGAACAAGTGGTAAAAAAGCCCAAAGAAGTGCGCAAAAGCCAAAAACAAGAGGAGGGGATCTGCTTTTGAGCTTGTGGGAGCTTGTGACAAGGAGGCATTATGGTTCTTATCAGAAACTTTTCTGATCTTGTGTGGGAAAAACAGTAACAAAAGGGAAGTTAAGTAATGTGAGAATTTCCTGATGTTGGCAGTTCCAAGATATGAATGTTTTCTGGCTATGCCAAACTTCACCCTGCTCTTCCCTGTGTAATAGGCTTGTATATATCATGTGGCTTAGCTAGTATACACCAAATAGAACATATCTGAGAAGGCTTGACCGCTTTTACATCTCTCAGAAAAATACACAAAATCGCTTTTTGTTGTTTTTATGTATTACAACACAGTATACATGAGGCTCTTTGCTTGTCATACTGCACTACACAAGACTTCCTATGGTATAATACACACATTGTATGATATACTGACCTCAGAAATACCATCTACAACAGTCTTGAAGTGTTTCAGGTTGGGTTTGCAGGTATATGTGCAAATTTCACATTTCTTGCATACATGCACATTAGGCTATACAGTGGAGCAGTGATTCACACAAAATTTCGAGTTTTTGGTGTCTAGGCATATATACCACACTGTAACACTTCAAGACTGTTGTAGATGGTATTTCTGAGGTCAGTATATCATACAATGTGTGTATTATACCATAGGAAGTCTTGTGTAGTGCAGTATGACAAGCAAAGAGCCTCATGTATACTGTGTTGTAATACATAAAAACAACAAAAAGCGATTTTGTGTATTTTTCTGAGAGATGTAAAAGCGGTCAAGCCTTCTCAGATATGTTCTATTTGGTGTATACTAGCTAAGCCACATGATATATACAAGCCTATTACACAGGGAAGAGCAGGGTGAAGTTTGGCATAGCCAGAAAACATTCATATCTTGGAACTGCCAACATCAGGAAATTCTCACATTACTTAACTTCCCTTTTGTTACTGTTTTTCCCACACAAGATCAGAAAAGTTTCTGATAAGAACCATAATGCCTCCTTGTCACAAGCTCCCACAAGCTCAAAAGCAGATCCCCTCCTCTTGTTTTTGGCTTTTGCGCACTTCTTTGGGCTTTTTTACCACTTGTTCGAGCATGAACTGGACTTCAATTGTTGATTGCCTCATTTTGTGCACTTATTTTACACTTAATTGCACTTAATTCATACTTGTTTCAAGCAAAAACAACTGCATTCCAGCCAGACAAGGTGATTAAGTAGCACAGAAATAAAAAAAAGAGAGTAAGTAAGAAACAATTACTAGCAAGGAGGCCACAATGAGCTAAAAGATGGTGAAATGTGTGATATAGCCGATAATATCTGCCAATTTGGGTCATGTTTTCGAAGGTAGTACTAAAAATTACCATTTTCGGACAATAGGAAACATATGTAACCATGGAATCCCGCGAGGGAATTAAGAGCCCGTTCAGCAACCGACATTTGAACAAAATTTTACCAACTCGAAAGTTGTCAGTGGCACGAGTGTGACTGAGATGTAAGCTGAGTTTGAAAGCCCTTGGTAAGATTGACCGTTATCGATAACATACTAGCCATGGATCCAGTATTCAGGCAGCCATTGACTAACCCTCTTATTCAACAGAGACCTCTCATAGCCCAGCTGACTTGACCACTAGCAGTACAGACTCACCCCAACCACCACTGCGCTTTTGGTACAGATGATTTGCTTTCATTCTTTCTGGTCATAGACAGGAGTTGAAACTGGGTACAGACAATAAGAACAGCTACAGTTGCAAAGATGCACTTTCACTGCAGAGGATCGTATCGATGGCTAATAGTAGTAGGAATCATCATCATAGTCGGAGGGCAAGTGAATTCAAACTCCAACATGTTGGCTTTCGTGCTGCTCATGCACAATTTCTTTGGTTGGCTAAATTTTGTTCAAATGTCGGTTGCTGAACGGGCTCTAATGCAAGAACATGAACTATAATTAGATGGCGTGCTAGAGGCGGGAGGGTAATAGAGGCATGCAGGGAGGTGCAAGAGGCCTATGAGGGAATGTGAGAGCATGAACTATAATTAGATGGTGTGCTAGAGGCTATTGGGAGGGTTAATAGAGGCGCGCAGGGAGGTTGTAGAAGGCATGCAGGGAGGTGCAGGAGGCCCGTGAGGAAATGTGAGGGCATTAACTATAATTAGATGGCGGGAGGGTGGGTCTCAGAGACTAGTTTCCCATAACATAGAAACCAGGTCTCTTAGACCTTTATAGGCACCGAAAAGTGCTGCCTGAGGTGACAGGTGCCCTGTTCTCTGAATCTGCATAGCAGTCACTTTGAGTGCGAACATGGAAATGGGGTGGAGGCCTGGGTTGGGCATGTGTGAATGCACATTTGGTGAGGATCTGGGAGCGACGGGCGAGCTCATGTGCGCTGGATTGAGATAATGCAGAAGAGATTAAGGTTGAGGAATGGAAAAGGATGAGGAGGAGTCATGTGTAGAAGAGGAAGGAGAACCCAAGCTTGATCGCCCCTCCCTCTGTTCAATATCGTGAGTCCTTCATGGGCAAACCCTCAATGTTGTTGAACTTCCATAGGTGTTGACCTCACATCCATCGGTAACGAGGTTCACTCCTTTGCTCTACACTATTCACCAACCCTCCCTTCTCGCATGAGGACCTCCAGCACTCCCATGGAGGAGATCTCCCAGCTACTAGTACACCAGGAACTTGAGTTCATGCCCCACTGGAAGAAGTTCGAACAAGGAGGAGCTCGAGTCTGCACCCGCTGGTAGGTCTTCCAGCCCCCCTCCACCTGCAACTGAAATCTTACGCCACTTTACATTGATCATGACGACCTTCCTCCCGCGTCTGTCCCTTTACACCACTGCCCTGACAGCATGTGCAATACAATGGACGAAGACAAGGATACATATGATGAGATGTGTCCACCCCACTCTTCACTCACTGTGCTGCGATTCAGAAGACAAGGTGCCAAGAAACGGGTCCCGTCAGCCACGTCGGAAGTGATGGATTGTAGGCAGTGCATGAGGCTTGGGAGGTAGGGACATTAGTGTGTACTGCAAGAGGTGAGGGGCGTGGCAAGTGAAGCCAGTCTTTTGTGTGTTTATCACCTTCGCTAATGCTTCGTTGGTTTGCCACAATATGCTGTAGCCATAGTGCATTAAATCTGGTACTTACCACACAACCGTATTGCATCAACAATGCTTGCTAGCCTGTCTGTAATGCATTAGAACATGCTAGCCATCAGAGCTGCCTCCCTAGTAAGCTCGCACAGTACACTGGCTGTCCGCATATGTATTCCTGTCCTCCGGTAACTATATATTCTTGTTCCTCGGCAACTACATATTTTTATTCCCTGGCAACTAAAATCTGGAGACAGGAGACCATTCATTGCAACAAAACGCTAGGCACAACAGAATATTAATTACACTACAGAAGGTCAACTAGGCACATGAAGCAGGCAGCATGAGGTCGGGGAATTGCATGTCGTCCAGTGAGGGTATGGCGCCTGATATGAGGCTCGAGCTTGGAGGGGATATCTGGGGAAGGTACGGAGCCCACAGCACTCTAAAGCGCGATGCAAGCTGACATTGAATGTGTGCCTGTTTGTTAGCATATGCTATCAAGCCCTTGCATTGAGCCACTGTCTCACAGACAAGTTGGTCCTGCTGCTCGTCCCACCAGTTGGCTTGCCAATCAAAAAACTGTAGCACCCTTTGCATCTCCTCCTGCAACAATTCTATCTCCTCTGCCCAGTGCATTGCTCTTGCTCAGGACTTGCACCATTCCACGCGAACTCCTAGCAAAAGATTCAGAGACCACTGTCGGTAACAGCTCGTAAAGATCAAATAAAAACTAACCATCCACATCACCTCCATCACTACCTGTATCCACACCTGTCATCATCCAGATCCACGTCAGGCGACGGCGACCTTTGGTCTCTCTGCTGAAAGGGTCCACTAATGGTTTCACGTCTTCATCCTTCAGGTCTTGCAGGTGTCCTCGCCATCCCACCTTCTTCAAGAGGGGTGCCAAGGTCTTCAGCGCCTCCCACACAACTCTGTATCTCTTTGTGCATGCCACCTGCCGCGCGTGTACACGAGCAAGTGCATTCTGAGCACGGGTGTTGGTGCCTTGACCACAAACCCACTCCCGCTTGAATGTAAGCATAGAGCAGTGCACATGAAGGCACTGTTGAAGCTCTTCGGGCGCATTGTGGGCCTGTGCATACTGCAAATCCCATTCATGATCTCGAAGTCGGGAATCACATGGTTTGCCTTTCAGATTAGACGGTAACCACAGGTGGATGTTCTCAGCACTCTCAAATGGCTGATGAGGGTTGGGAACCACAGTAGCGGTGAGAATCTGCACTGCAGGCATGTACAGAACCTGTGCACTTCTCCATGTCTCAATTTTACAACGCAGGACATTCCTCATTCGTGTGAGTGTGCCCTTCTGCATATCAGAAATGTGGAGACCCATCCCTTCAGATACTGCTCTCACATGACGTCTGTCCCAGGTGTTAGTTGCCTTCGTCTGGTAGCATTTAGGTAAAGCTACTTACTGCTCCTCCTCGAGGTCGAATCCTGATGTGATAAGAACACTTGGTGAGATGTCGGGGTGCAGAGATAGGTCAATTCCACGAGTGAGTTCTTCAGCTTCCATCTGCGCAAGTTTTAGATGGGCTGCGCCTTGCGTAATTTCTTAATAGATGCTTCAGTAAATATAATTTGAATAGTAAGACAAAACTTACGGATTGACTTGCACTCAAGGGGGTTAGTGAGTGATGTGTCATTCGGGTTTTACTCCCATTTCTCCATCTCGACTGTCCATGCTGACCTGTGGTCAGGGTAAATCGCAGCATTGAACTCCTGGAACGCAGCCTCATGATCAGCCTTCTCAATGACAGCTTCCCGCATTTTATAGATGAGAGATGCACCTGATCCCAAAAACATCAACCAAACAAGAATAATAAGTGAGCGTAAACCACATACCTAAGCTGACAACTTTTTTCCAGTTTCAATCCCCAAAATGATTGTCTAATGTGTCCCTACGACAGCCAGGTCCCATTGCTTTCATGCTTGATGCGACCAGATTTATATTGAACCAGCCACGTTCGGGTGCCTCCCCATCTGTACGGCCCACAAAACGCGCGAAATTGAAAGAGAACAATGTCTGACACTTGTTGATGTGTGCTGGAAGGTGGAAATTGGGGACGAAGAACCGAATAAAAAGACACAAATAAGATATATGGTATGATTCAGATAGTGACTTCATGCAACTCCATAGATTCTTGTGCCATTGACACACGATGTCATATGACACGTTCAGAACGTCGAGATGGCTGTTGTGGAGTGTGGAGAAAAAAAGGTAGTCCATGTTAATGTACCTAAGAATTGAATTAGTCAGAGCAGCTTCACAAGTGATACATGTACTTTTCCCCTTTTTGTAGGTCCCCGACACCATTCGGGCGCTTGAAGTTATGTCACGTGCAATCGACTGTCCCTAATCCAGTAGCTGCAAGGCCCTGTGATAGCTTTGTCTCAGCCATATTCATGGCATTATGGTTCAAGCAGGAACTTTTCTGTGGAGGTGTTGTCAGTGACATCTTGGACCAGGCTGTTTACATACCTCCTGTGTCTCAGACAAATGCTCCTTGAGGTGCGACTTGAACTTCTTCTCTTCCATGAAGTATGACCATCCCTCTGAGAGACTTGGGTCCACTTCATCGCTGGAAATATTCTGTCTCTTCAAGCGAAAATTGGCGTCAATAGCTACAAACAATGAATAAAGCCATCTAAGTGTGATTAATGCATTGCTTCATGTTCGAAAATGACAAGAGACTTACTGTTTGGCTTTTGGCGCTTCTTTCCAGTCAGGGGGTAGATTCTTGCCAGGCTGTGGGCAAGCCGGACAGAGGACGGCGCATTCGCCCTCTTTGGTACCACTCACACCGACTGGATCGTGACCACGGCCAAAATGTTTCAACATTTTTAGGTGTTGCCACTCACGAACCATACACATGAAGGATTCATAGCGGTCCTGAATTAGAGGTACTTTAGTTCATGCAAGATCAACCCAGAAAAATGCCAACCTTCTTAATCAAACCAACATTGTCAGATATACAGACGAGTGAGTGATAGAATTCATACGTGGATGCCTTGGACTCAAAAGACAAAATCTTGTAACAGTGTAATAGTTGGAAGGTTGCCGCTGTCCTTGGATCCACAGTTGTTGAGGGAAACCAACCCATGCACAAGAGCTGTTTGGTATGAGTCTGGGAGGTTTCACAGCCACAGAAGTCAACCACCATCTCGTGTATTCCATTTGTATCAATGAGGACGAAGTTGTCATTGAATGACTTGTGAGGCAGGATACAGCTTTCGCCAGTCGTGTGCCCCAGCTGGATCCTCAGACCAAGCTTCTTGAGCGATGTAGCTATGAAAAATGACCCCGTCCACTCCTAAAGCGAATCAACTCCTGACTCGGCCACTCAGAATTAATACAGACAAACCTTGATGCGATGAGTGGGACACCGCAAATGGTCGTAGACAGTGCAGTCTCCGCAGTATAGCCGCATATCACAACAGTTGTCGCATCAGAACAGGGCAGGAGCAGAGCCACATTTGCAGCAAGTATCCGAAGTATAGTCCCCTCAGCCATCCATCCGAAGCATTTCTGCCAGATAGTCGTCACGACCGCTTAACCACACTAGAAGGGGATTATCCTACAAATAAAATCAGTGAAGCAAAATTATGACCAGCAAACACTTACATCCGTGGTCTGTTTTCGCTTTGATGTAGCCGGGACATCATCAATTGCATCCATGTACCCATCCATGTACCCAAAATCGGCTTCATCTCCAGCCCCTTCAGAAAATGCATCAGATTCAGGGTGAGAATCAGATTGTGATGTGCATAGAATGTGCCGGTGGGAAGCCTTTATTCCACCCTTACAGCATGAGGAGAAAGTTACAGACATGTAGTAGACGGAAGGTAGAGAGCTGGCTTGCAGAATGTACCGATTTAAGTGTGTGCGTTTGCGATGGCCATTATGAAACAGAGGTGGCTGTGGACCCTCAAGAACATTTAGATTCATAATGTCGGGTGGCTGCACTGATTGAAGCCCTCAAAGGGCGATGAGTAGACACTGAAGTTATTGTTTATTTGGAGAATCCAGGAACAGTATAAGTGCGTCATGCAATTATGGAAGCAATACTAGGAGTAGGCACTATGTAGTCGCTACTAGTAGTTGTTTACAATTTCCACTTCTCCCTTCTCAATTGCCAGCCTGACCTTTTCCTCACCGATGGCGATAGTATCAACTTCCTCGTATTTGGCATTATGGATGCCCAGAATGGCATTTAGAGTGTGCTCCCTAGTGTAGATTTATATAAAATCCATCTAATGACCAGAGAGTACTCACCAGCTGGGTAACACACCCACCACATGGCCACGGGTGACACAGTAGAAAGGTGGTTTCCAAGGGGGTTGCTTGCTACATGCCGGGATGTTATAATATACCCCCAGGTAGTGATAGAGAAAACATTTGTCAGCCATTGTGCTGGCAGCAAGAAGGAAACCAGCAGTGTGTTCATGGATGGTGACGATCTCAGGGTATTCTGCAGTGGGAGGTGCATTGTCAACGAATATGACCATAGCCATAGTGGTATACGTACTTAGTCGATGCTGGAGTTGTTATATAGTGGTGAATCACCGGGAAGGTCACCAGAAGCCAAATTCTGCTCGGTGGCTCAAGGGTGATAGCCTAAATAGTCGAGTAGCCTGAAGCTTGAAGAACAAAGCCTGTGATGTGTCTACATGACGGATGAAAGAACATCGCACAAAATAGGGAATTACATTTTGTACTCCGCAGATTATGTACTTGATTCACAAATTGAACTTGCAAGTGTCAGTTATATGTATAATACAGGTGAGTTGCAAGTTTCTAACGCTCAACATACAGGTCCTACTCAACAATGACCTCCTCCGGCACTGATAGTCAAGTGCCTGTGGCGTCCATTGCTAGTCCTTCCAGCAGTGGTGTGTAAATCCATTTGTTATTCTGTCTTTTCTAATGGTTAGTTTAGATTCTTTGATGGCACTCTTTGCTCAACTAAACATCAATGGCAACAACGCGGTCTCATTGACCTCTGCCCTGTTTGTGGTCATACAAAACACAGTCATTGTGGCTATTCAGGAAGTGGCTGCTGCCACTCAAGTAGTCACCATTGCAGCTCCTGCAATATCTGCTATCATTCTACCTGTGACCACTGCACCACCCATCATCAACTCGACGGTCACTGTGGCATCTACTGCAACTAATTCCACCCCACCGGTAACTACCACACCCCCAACCGTTGTTGCTGTTGCTGTAACTCACATGCGGGCTCATCGTGGGGTGGTTTATATCACTCCTGAGCCAAATTCTGCCGGCCCTTTCTACTAGATCAGCTGTGGGCGTCGCATTGGTGTTGTTGCGACTTGGTGAGTTGTATTTTGACTTCCAGAATTTCTACTGATTAGTATTACAGACAGCAGACATCCACCTATGTGACCAGGGTGAGCCATTCATCCTATTCCAGAATTTGCTCTGCTGCCAAGGGGATTAGATTGATTGAGGAAGCAATTGACTGTGGAGACCGAAGTAATTCCTTGAATACATAGATTGCTTGCTCAATTTGCTCTGCTGCTGAGGGGATTAGATTGATTGAGGAAGCGATTGACCATTGGGAGACCGAAGTCCTTGAATACATAGATTGCTTGCTCAATGTGTAGACGTTAGTACTATGTATGAACACTTCTCTCGACTGGTGAATCATTTTGACATTAATGCTGGCTGCTCGCACTGGGATATTGATGCCCCAAAAAACGTTGGAACACTTCAAATATAAACTCCTTGGATGAAACTCCTCCCTGCTTGTCTAAAGGGTTTCCATAATGGATTGACAGTGTTGGGAGAATAGATGAGCACTCAGTTCATAGTAGACAAGATATTGTAGCATATCAGAAATTAATAACAGAAGATGGTGGAGACTGCAGTCTTGACATATCATGGCAGTCATAACATCGAAACCAGTTGCTTGATGGCGATGAAATATCAACCAATATAATGATTTTGTGTGCATACATGAACTCTCAAATAAACGAGCATGTTTTGAGTCACAGTCTAAGGACGTTGCCTGAATCATCTAACCAAAATCCTGTTAAAGTTGTGTTGCGAGCTCAACACACCTCAAAGCTGAGTATCATATGTATGAAGTCTCTGATTGCTGAATGTGACTGGAGCAGTTTGCTGTGTATTTTATTAGAATGACCTCGTTTATATGTCGTATGAGATGTTCTGAACCAAAATCTCCTATAAATACCGTGTTGTGTGAAACCAGCTGTATTCTAGTAGAAAAGACTATAGTTAAATTACTAGGAACAACAATTACTGGGAACAACGATAAGAACAAACTTGAAGCAGCAGACAAAACAGTGAGTGAAGATGTGAGGGGCCAGCAGGATAAATTGAAGTTGCTCATACTGGTGTTTGGCTTGGCATCCAAGTTTGTTTTTCCATAACTCATCGTTGTTGTGCCTCATTTACTATCCAAACATGGTGAACGATGGTGTGTCCCCTCATCTACAACACACCTGAGGAGAAGAAGAAGAAGAAGAAGAAGAAGAAGAAGAAGAAGAAGAAGAAGAAGAAGAAGAAGAAGAAGAAGAAGAATGCAGCTCGAGTTTACAGAAGGACGTATTATGAAAGGTCTGGCATTGCTAATACATCTAAGCTGGGCAGCGCTGACCTGTTTATACAGGAAGAAAGAGGAAATCAGCATCAAAATGGCAGCCAAGTACCGAGCTAAAAAGATGGTCAGCCAAGTCATGGATTCTGGGTGTCAGGTCTCTGGTGCAGGTCCATCTAAGTACATTTTCATGATGTTCTACAAGCTCCCGATCGCAAAAATTAAGCTGATCTAGACCCTCCATATCAATCCTCGGACGACACACGCAAATATCTAGCCCTCCGCATCATAACTCGTCCTCCACATCAGGAGGACACACGCAGATTCCGCCAAAGTGATCGTGAGTTTTAATTACTGTCACTTTCAACAGCTCGCCCACAACTCAACCACATTCTTTTCAGCCACTTAACCATCAAGAAACTTTCTCCTAGTTGTGGTGTCAATGTCACCAAGGCCAGCCTCCTGACTTGTTCAATATTCAACACACTGTACACGTAGATGATTTGGGGCCCCGGGGACCAACAGATTGTCCTCGCAATGCTTTCGGATCATCTGGAAATACTTGAGTCCATTCAGGAATACATACGGTCATCTCATGGGGGGAAGTCTCATTTCTCTGCTGCAATCACAGAGCGTCTCAGTAATCTGGCTCATCAATGCAAATTGGTGACTGCTGCCACCGAAGAGCTCTGGTGTTATGCAGCTTTAAGTGAGATAGATGTGGAGATGCTTACAAAATTCAGCCAAGGATCATTGCTATTCCAATACTTGTGACACCACTTCAAATACAATGGTATTGAGAGTTACTTGTTTCAGTCGCCATCACAATTACTCAAAATGTGAACTTCCTCGAAGCATTTGCCTGAACTGCAATAAATAGGCATTGGGCAGCTTCATGCCCCAACTCATCTCAATCAATGTCTGTGTCAGTAAGTAATGCAGTCCTTGTGCACATTGTTGCTGAATTGAAGGCAAACAGTCCTTACTGACGAAACCTCTTCCCCTCCAATATATCCAGGAGCAATTCCTTCTGTCTCGCTCGGACGAATTCTTCGTGATACGCGATCTGTCTCAATGGAGTTATTTCTTCAGGGCACTCTTTTTGCGTTGGTTTGCATGTTGGCCTGAAGAAAAAGCTCTGTTTCCTGGTACACCATTCCATAAACTTACTCCAATGCAGTCAAGTGCAGTGGGTGTTGCAGTGTGAGAACGTCATAAGGTTTGTGTTCTCCCTGTGGTGTTGACATACATGTACTCACCTGTTCACGCTCACAGAATTTGATGCAATTTTACACCTCAGCGCTGAGACAGTATCCCAGATGTCCCAAGGCCTGCGGTTGATTTTTCTTAGAATAGTGTTCAGGTAATCACAATAGAATACTTCTTGTAATATTGGCAACCTGCAGATCATGCAAAGAACAAGTTAATTTTTTGTGCCTATGATAGAAGAAACTAGAGCGCGATTCCAAGCTTCTTGATAGGGCCACAGCACAGTAAACAACCTTGGCCCCTCGCATCGACCTTAACTTCTGTTACTGTTAACTGCTGCTAGCTCTAATTATCGAATGTAAGTGTTGGCACTACTGAATCACAACGCGTACTCACCAGTGATTAGATGGGCTACAAGTGGACGACAAAAGACCAAAGAGAATTCCTGGAGACGTTCCTCCCTGAGTACCATGAACACATGGTCGACAAAACTTATGATCCAGTGCTGAAAAAAGCCTGGCAGGGATTCTTTGAGCGTTGGCCAGAGCGCAGTGCATCCTTGCGCATGTGCCAGCAGATCAAAGACTGACAAAAGAACAAGAAGAACACTTAAAAGAGGTGGTCAGTAAATGACAAGCGGTAAGCATGCTATACAATACGCGTTGTGGGTACAACAAGTGCAGCAGCGAGAAATCTATCTACTACACAGTTGGGTCTTTGCTACCTGCTGCCTCACTTGAGAACAAGCACGTTCGACCCTAAAGGGGATTGCTACTGGGGAGTACTAGCCTCTGTCTAAACAACCCTAATCAACCCTACCGCAAGTAGGATGAGGATCTGCAAAATGCGGAACAAGCGGAACCCAAGTGGAACTCAAACGGATACAATGCGGATGTTACGGCTGTGCTTATCTTGCTTCTTTTTCCCTTGATCCACGCTTACTACGCATGTCTCTTATCATGCTATATTTAGTTCAGTATTACTCAGATGCCTCATTGCTTACGCATGTGCTTACTGATACATACCTATTATTACATCACACCCTGTACCCAGTATACTATATAAACCCTGGCGAGGTGACACTGATTCTTCAGCTTAACCTACACTGGTTTTCCTCTGAACATCTGACTTGGTTCTAAGTTACCTCTTCGGTACTTAGTCATTACCTGAACTTGGGCGTTCTTTAGACACTTGTCTAGAACGTATCAACAGACTTTTGGTCTTATTGATTATTGTTTGCCTGCATTATACTTCGGCATAACAAAAGGTTAAGCTCTATCACAAGACGATGCTACCCTAGTAGTCGTCACGAAACATCGTGGCTTATCGCAAACAAAGACAATACTCTTCGGAGTCTGAACACGAAGAAGAACACTTTTCCGAACCAGGTTCTCCCATCCAAGAAGACAAGAACGAATACATCGACGGATACGGACCAGATCAACCAGGACCATCTCAGCCACCTTGACCACCTACTCCCCCACCTAGAAAGATGGGCAAAATCAATCTGAACAAACCGGCCATCTTCGATGGATCACAGAAACAGGCTAAAGCCTGGTGGACGTCTGTAACCACCTACATAAATGTCAACGATACCGTTTATGAAAATGATGCAAAATGCGTTGCATTTGCAACGTCATTCATGCAGAAAGGGCATGCTCAACAATGGGCCACGGGATGGCTTACTAAGAAACATGCAACCACACACCCTCTCAGAAAGTGGGACGAATTCTCCACTGAGTTTAAGGCAGTGTTCTTTCCAAAGAATGATACTCTCTCCGCCATAAACATGCTTATGAAAGCCAAGCAAACATCGACCATTTCGGCGTACATCACCTACTTTAAGCGAATTGTGGCAGAAGCCACCTGTGTTGATTCAGATGTCGAAACAACGTGTTTCAGACAAGAACTTAAGAAAGAAGTCCAAGAAGCAATCCTTTTGAGGGAAAAGATGCCCGCTGACATCAAAGAATGGATCGAAGCCGCCAGAGAATACGAATCCAGAAGGCAACTCATGAGTTCCGACCAAGGCTTCTCAAAGAAGAATGATCCATATGCGATGGACATAGACAAAGTTGACATAGATGAAGAAGAAACTACTCAAGTACGCAACACTCAACTCTCTCGGTCTGAACAAGACAGACACCGCAAATTGGGACTCTGTTTCAGATGTGCAAAGAAAGGGCTTATGAAAGATTGCCCAAACCACAGAGACTCCGCGCCAGGATGGCAGAAACCGGCCGGATGACCGGTCCATGAAACCAAGATCGAACAAGACAATCAAGACGCAGAGTATCAGGAATTCCTCGCTTGGAAAGCTTGGAAAGTGTCGAAAGCACCTTCTTCTTCTAAGAAGGATTTCTAAATGGGGAGACCGGACCGGCATCGGAAACCCCTAGTACATCTATCGGACTCATTGTATCTTCTGTAGGCGATTCAAATTCTATGCGCATTCCTATTTCGATCAAATCCTGCAAGTCTGATAAAACCGCCGAAGCTGCTGCCCTAATTGACTCGGGCGCCGCTGGAACATTCATTGACTGGAAATATGTACGAAAGAACAATTTCTCAACTCACAATCTCTCTTCACAAATCGAAGTCCGGAACATGGATGGAACGAAGAACAAAGCAGGAACCATTAACAAGGCCTGCAATTTATTCTTCTCAACAGGAGGCCGAACTATGTTCGCCACCTTTCTTATTACCTCTCTCGGAGGCGAAGACATCATCCTCGGACTTCCCTGGCTCAAGAACGAAAATCCAACCATAGATTGGGCAAAAAGCGAAATCTCGCTAGAAGAAGACCCAATCATGATTCAGACTCTTATCACTGATAGAAACAAACATGCTTCTATGCAACCAAGAATAGAAGAAATCATAGATGAAGAAGCATACGCACCCTCGGAGGAAATTCCCGAGGAACAACCGGAACTTCTACCCAAAGAAGAAGAAGACCAAGAAGAAATAATAGAAGAACCACAAGACGACGAAGTTCTTATCGCTTACGTCAAAGGAGAAGAATTCGTGGGAGTATACGAGAAAATCAACTTTGATTCACCACTCACTCAAGAACATATCCCCACTACTTTCTCTTTCATGTCCCGAACAAACAGAATCTCCAAAATCCCTAACTCCGCTCGATTCATGTTTTTCCCTCTCCCGGTACGAAAGGCTGCCAACATTGCTCAACAATTAGCACAAGAAGCATACGCTAAGGAAAAGCCAAAGACGTTTGAAGAACTTGTACCCGAAGTCTTCCATATGTACAAAGACGTCTTCGACAAAGCAGCCATGGATACGTTACCGCCATCCTGACCCTTTGACCATAAAATAAAACTGAAGCCCGACTTTGAGCTGCGTTCTTGCAAGATCTATCCCCTATCTGCACCAGAAGAGAAAGCGATGAACGAATTCGTAGATGAACATCTGGCAAAAGGAACTATCGTACCATCACAATCTCCTCAAGCATCCCCTTTCTTCTTTGTGGGAAAGAAAGATGGATCTCTCCGACCATGTCAAGATTATAGAAGACTTAACAATGCAACCATAAAAGATGCCTATCCTCTTCCCCGTATTCCTGACCTCATCGACAAGCTGAAAGGCGCGACAATCTTCACAAAAATGGATGTTCGTGCAGGATACAACAACATTAGAATTCATGGTCCAGACAGATGGAAAGCAGCATTCAAAACGTCATGGGGACTCTTTGAACCCACAGTCATGTTTTTCGGTCTCTGCAACACCCCTGCAACGTTCCAAGCAATGATGAACGACATTTTCTCCAACATGATTGACGAAGGATGGATGGTCATTTATATGGATGATATCTTAATCTTCTCCAAAGACCTCGAATCCCATCATCAACGCACAATGCGAGTATTACAACGACTTTGTGATCACCAGCTCTCTCTCAAACCTGAAAAATGTGTTTTCGATACCACCGAAGTCGAATACCTCGGTCTCCTCATCCGTCCTGGACAAATTTGCATGGACAAGGTCAAATTGGACGGAGTAGTCAAATGGGAACAACCAACGACCGTCAAACATGTCCGATCATTCCTTGGATTTGCCAATTTCTATAGACACTTCATTGCTGACTATTCCACCATCACGCGACCACTCATTGATCTCACAAAGAAAGATTCCATCTTTGATTGGTCACCAGCCTGTGACAAAGTGTTCGTAGACTTGAAAAACCGATTCCTTTCCGCCCCTGTGCTTTCCATTCCCGACAAAGATGCCCCCTTTGCCATCGCTGTAGATGCATCCCTTTATGCCACTGGCGGAGTACTTCTCCAAAAAGATTCCAATGGTGACTGGCACCCTTGCTCTTACCTTTCGCAAACCTTTTCTCCTGCAGAACGAAACTATCAGATCTTTGATCGGGAACTGTTAGCCATCATATGAGCCTTAGAAGCTTGGTGTCACTACCTTGAAGGTTCCCCATTCCCAGTTCTTGTCATGACCGACCATAAGAACTTGACTTATTTCTGCCAAGCCCAACAACTTAATCGTCGACAAGCTCGTTGGCTTCTATTCCTATCCCGATTCGATCTACAGCTCCAACACGTACCCGGCAAAGATCTTTCTGTTCCCGACTCTCTCTCTCACAGACCCGATCATATTCCCACTGATGCTATGGACAACTCTGATGTCACTGTCCTGCCAGACAGACTTTTCATTAAACTCATTGATAGCACCATGCATGAAAAGCTTCGCATCTCCTCTTCGATTGACCCTGTAGTTCAGCAAACCATTGACGCCCTTTCTAATCCCACCCTACCCCTCCCTATGAAAACCACGCTTTCTGATTGGACCTTCTCCGATGCTATTCTCACTTTCAAAGGTCAGCAATTATGTCCCCCCTGGTCCTTTACGAAAAGAACTCATTTCCCTCCATCATGACTCCCCGACCGCCAGCCATCCTGGTCGTTTTAAAACTCAAGAACTCCTCTCTCGTGACTATTGGTGGCCTGGTCTTCCCACTTTTGTTTGAAAATATGTTGAAGGTTGTGCTGTTTGCCAACAGAATAAGGTCAACACTCAACCAACAGCACCTCCTCTCTGCCCTATTCCTGCCCCCACTTCATCCCACCCCTTTGCTCAGTGTTCGGTTGACCTCATCGTTGACCTCCCTCCATCCAATGGTTTCGACTCTATCATGGTCGTGGTAGACCATGGGCTTATGAAGGGGGTGGTGCTCACACCTTGCAACAAGATGATCGATGCAGAAGGAGTCGCTGATGTATTCTTTAACCTTGTCTATACACGATTCGGACTCTATGACAAGATCATCTCTGACAGGAAGACTTCTCGGATATAAAATCGCTCTCTCCACTGCGTTCCACCCTCAAACTGATGGAGAAACTGAACGAGTGAATCAAGAACTAGAAGTGTATCTCTGCATCTTCTGTGCGAATGACCAAACCTCATGGTCAGAAAAACTTCCCATGGCGGAATTCGTACACAACTCCCGACATCACTCCACACGCAATGCTTCTCCTTTCTATCTCATGATGGGATATCACCCTCAAGCATTACCATTGGCTACCGAAAAATCGGATCTCCCAGCCGTCGAAGCGAGAATATCAGAACTCCAGAAGGCTCGAGAAGAAGCCTTATCATCACATGAACTCGCTAGACAAACCATGTGGCAAAGAATCACTCGATCGTTCACACCCTTCAAGAAAGGCGATAAGGTTTGGCTAGAAGCAAAGAACCTTCATCTTAATTACCCCAATAGGAAACTAGCACCCAAGAGAGAAGGACCTTTCACTATCTCAGAAGTCCTCGGACCAGTCACATACCGCCTAAAACTCCCGAACCAATGGCATGTTCACCCGGTATTTCACGCAGCGCTTCTCACTCCTTATTGCGAAAATGAAGAACACGGTCCTAATTTCCCATCGCCACCTCCTGACTTAATCAACAGAGAAGAAGAACACGAGGTAGAAGCCATCCTCGGACATAAAGGAACTCTCTCACAATGACGCTTCCTTGTCAAATGGAAGGGTTACCCATCGGCCGATAGTGAATGGTTGTCGGAGTCTGATTTAGCCAACTCTGCTGAAATCTTGAACAGATATAAGCAGGCACATCGACTCATTCCTCTCTCAACTCGAACCATCATCACTAAACCATTCAGACCATGCCCTCTACCGGTGGACGTAACTACATCTCCTCTAATGACGAGGATATAAACCTCGTCATCACGCACAACAGCGCTCCGAATGTTCCTATCCCAAACCTCAGATTTCCCGTCTTCTCCCCACATCCTCACTATATGACCATCAGTCAGAGAAATTCTCCTGAACCCCCTCGTCCGACGTCTCCCACACCCAATTCTGAGTCATCGTCCCCTTATCACATTTTCAACGAACCAGTCATTCCCACATTCATTGATACCCCCGCCAGTCCTACCACTATCAGAACACGTGAGCGTGTTGCAGCTCGTCGACGAGCAGCTCCTTGGAAAATAGCAACTGACCCCTACCTGTCCGATCTTGAAGATCGTAGACTTCGCCGTAGGATTATGTTGTTGTCCAAACTTTTCAAAAATCCCATCAAAGACGCCATCGATACTGAGCCTGCGCTCAATGCCCTCTATGACCTCTATCGTCTTGGAGATCGTCTCGAGAATACCCTGGAAAGGCATAATGCCGAGTACAGAGAAGAAGAACTCTTCTCTCTCGACTATAGCATCCGGGACATCAAAGAAAAGCTTCAACAATTGACTTTGATCCTTATGGAGGAAAGAGGTTTCTTTGAAGCTCTAGATGGGCTCGGAGGAACTGAGGACAATCGGCGTCATGGTCTAGAGTGAAAGTCTGGGACTTTCCACGTAAGAAGGGGGTGATGTTACGGCTGTGCTTATCTTGCTTCTTTTTCCCTTGATCCACGCTTACTACGCATGTCTCTTATCATGCTATATTTAGTTCAGTATTACTCAGATGCCTCATTGCTTATGCATGTGCTTACTGATACATACCTATTATTACATCACACCCTGTACCCAGTATACTATATAAACCCTGGCGAGGTGATGCTGATTCTTCAGCTTAACCTACACTGGTTTTCCTCTGAACATCTGACTTGGTTCTAAGTTACCTCTTCGGTACTTAGTCATTACCTGAACTTGGGCGTTCTTTAGACACTTGTCTAGAACGTATCAACAGACTTTTGGTCTTATTGATTATTGTTTGCCTGCGTTATACTTCGGCGTAACAGCGGAATGTACAGAGTTGTTGGAACTTGCAGATCGGGTTGAGGGAAGTATATCACAAGGTTAGATTGATAGTGGGAATAAGTCAAAACAGTCCTCTGGTAAGGTGAAGGAAAAGTGGGAGAAAAGTCAGAATGTAAAAGATGGGATTCGATAATAAACACCCAAGCCCTGAGTACCACTACTTAAAGGGAAGATTATTTTCAAGGAACACTGAGGTACAGGTAGTAAGTTCCCAGGAAGCGGAAGTGAAGGCAGGCAGTGCACAAGGGCGGAATACTGCATAATAGGGGTCCATGCCATAAGGGCATGTGTCAACGTGATCCGGGTAACGTTAGAAGCAATGGGAAGAGAGGAACAGTGTACCAATGAGCCTGGAAGGATGGGGACAGGACATGCGAAGGTAGCCCGATGATGCGTGGGAATGTCAGATAGTGTGGGCGGGTTCCGAAGGATCCATGGGAATGTGGAACTCATTGGACGATGCGCAGGAAATGCAAATGTGCGGAATACACGGAACTGATATGGGATGGTGCAGAATCAACGGGGTTTTATGCCTACAGTGGGGGAATTCCCCACAGCGTCAAACACAGATTAAACCTCACTCATCACAGCAAATCACGAGTTGGTACCAGTGGCAGAATAATGTGTCACATTTGAGCCGTACCAGTGGGACAAAGGGGGTGCTCAAATTTGACACGTTGCTGGCAGGTGGGGTAGAATTGAGTGGTGCACGTGCCCCCAAGAAGATGCATATCTACTCACATGAGTATTATGTGAAGAAAGTCAAGATCGATGCGGACAAAGCTATTCATGAGGACAAAATTACTCACCATGGCCCTAAGTTGAACAAGCGCCTTGCTATAACTCAAGAAAAGTTCGAGGCAGAAAGTGACGAGGTGAAGGAAGAGGTTGAGAGGAAGTATAGAAAGGCAAAAGCAAAGTTCACTAGAGCTCGTGAGCGCTTGAAGGATGGTAAGATGCCGAAGGTTGATACAAATACGAAAGTCAAGTACATACCTCCTGATTAGTCGTCATTTAAAGAGGTGTTGATCATTGGTCAGGGCCATCCGGGAACTAGGTCCAATGCTGGACCGTGTGTTCCATTACCTGTCTCACACAACCAGTGGCTGGAAGTTTTCGGTCCTCATGGCCGGGCCTGACCCCACAAAGGGTGGAACAGTGGTATATGAGTACGTCTGCTATATGTCAAATCACTTACATCAACTTATACTGCAAATTGAAGCTATCACATAGGCGAACTCAGGAACAGTGCTCAATTCAACACATTTTGTGACAAGTTCGATGGCATCCAGCAAGCATTCTTGGAATTTACTAATAGCGCGCTTGGTAAGTGTCATTTTCTCAACAACAAGCTGCAACTTGAACACTCACCGTATTATATAGCATTTGAAGCTACTCTCCCTCAAGATGACGATGACGATGACGACTCAGAGAGCGACAACAACACCGATAACGAGATGAACAACATTCCAACCAATTCAGTGGAGGACACAGCTGAAGCTGGCAGCAGTGGTGGTGTTGGTGTTGGGGCCTCAAACTTCAACTTTCACATGGACGATCTATACAGGATCTCACCTGATTTGTTCAACAATGAGTCACAAGAGGTAAGTGATGCCTTATTCGTCTTTGCAATACAATGTTACTGATAACGGTTCTTACCGCACATTCAGCTTTCTGCATTAGCCGATAATGCACGCCTGGGTCTCTTGTCACATGAGGTAAGTCATGCATTGCATCTAATGCATTATTACTGATATGATACATCACTTCTGGTTCAGCAGCCGCAGTCTATGTTACCCGATGCATTAGCTGATAATGCACGCCTCAGTTTCTTGTTACATGAGGTGAGTCATGCATTGCATGTAATGCATTAATACTGATATGATACATCACTCCCGGATCAGCAGCAGTCCACGTTACCCAACCAATACTCCAACCTCAATTTCGACTTGGACCCCAATGTACTAGCTTTAATGGCTGGCGGTGATGCTCAGATTCAGTTGCCTCCCCTGGGCCCTTTCACCCCAGGATCTTCAATCACTGCTGACGGCCTTGATGATGATGCCCAGATCCAAGCGCATCACTCAAATCCATTCACCCCGAGCTCTTCAATCTCCGAGCTGCCACTTGTATTACCTCCTCCACCAACTCCCCCGCAAACACCGCAAGTTTGTCTGCCTCCGGCTCCCATCGAGCCCATCCAAGACACGGATCTAGATGTACCTGTGCCTTCTTCCCCTGCTAACCAGCGTCGACGTGCAAGGGCACCCGCAGCACAACAGCAGGTGCAGCTTCAAGAAGACGAACCTCATCCACGCTGTGCACACAATGTTGCCTTCAACAGGCATGAGCTCGACAATGCCATTGACTCTAACTCCAGCGCCAAACAGAAACAAGGCCGTGGCAATGATCTAGACTTGAACAAGTATGTTCAACATCTTTGTTATATTCAATTTGTTCATATATCTTTTCATTCCAGGAGACCCAAGTGAGGGTAAGTATAGCATGTTGGTATTCATGGTGTATTTAGTTTTGATGATTTTGCTAGGGTACTGCACGGGTATGGACATTCCAACCCGTACCCGTACCCAGAGATATACCCATACCTGTGGTGTGGGTACGGGTTTTTTTTACGGGTATTGAAAAAATGGACCTGGGGTATCACCCGTGGGTCACTATGATAAGCATTGTAAAGAATGATACAGATGTAACTATTCAACCTGGATGCTGTCCCAACCCTTATCCAATGCTTCCTCTTCGCCAATGACATCCAGGAGCTTAGACGTGTGAATGATATCCTTGGAATTAACCAGGCCCAACTCGCTCCATAAGCCAACACAAAGCAAAGTGTGCGTCGATTGTGCTGATAAACTATTTCGGACGTGTGACAGGATGAGACACCTGCGACTGAAGAGATGTTCAACATCTACAGAAGTTGCTATAGCCAAAGTAAGTTTACAAGGTATTTTTAAAAAAAATGCCACACACCAGGGATAGTTAGATAGTCAATGGCCATGTGCGACAGGTGGGGGAACGATTTGTGACGTTGGAGCCACCAAGCGATAGGATTGGTGACATGTTCCATGTCCATACTAAGGTAGCGGTCAAGTTCAGAGGCCGAGTTAGTAGGTTTGGGGGCTGCGAGTGCTGGGAGATTGTCAAAAATGTTGTCACTCTAAGATTGAGTCAGTACAAATGCTCAATAAAAAGCAAAAAGAAAAACACCATCGGTATATCACCATTTGACTCCAAGACATCCTCCTCACACCCAAAATCAGAGTCGTCATCAAGCGTCATGTATGAACGTTCAAATTCTTCGCGGACAAGTAGGTCCGCAGTTTGGATCCAGTCGTCTGGCCAGTGTGCTGCCTTGAAGTATGATAGCTTGTGTTGGGGATGTAACACTAGTATAATAATATTAACCGTCAGTAAAAACCAAAAAAAAAAACTAGATTGAATAGAACTTACCCATTGCGATTTGATATGTGTGAGACTTGTCTGTGAGTTGATAGTACCGGTTGAGTGTCTTTTTAGCGAGCCGAACCACTGAACATATTTCTTGTTGCGTGAATAGGACGTGAGTGTCTTGTCGATGTGATCCATTGCTGGGATCACTGTCGCAAGGTTAGGTGTTGCGCGCGAGAAGTAAAGGGTGGCATCCTTTAGAATCTAACAAGAGCAAACAATGCAGTGCATGTTGTCCCCCATTTTTGTATCAACACCTGTGCATCAGGAAAATGTGGTAAGGCTATATAGCCACCCATAGCACTATAGACTGCTATACAGACTCCATAGCCCTATAGCTCATATAGCCAAGTGCCCAATTGTGCAGGCTTACTACACCAGTGTATAGTGCTATATAGCTCTATTAAAGTTGCTATAGCTGGGTGGAACATACCACAACTATTGTAGCTATTGTAGCTCTTATAGCTCAAAACACAAAGCAAAAATTTCTCTTAATAGCTGTTTGTTGCCATGATAGTGTTCTCAAAATTAAAAATTAAAAAAAGCGAAAATTCCAAATTATATTTCAACTGCTACAATACATGTAAACTAATAACTACAAAACAGGCAAAAATGCGAAAATTACAGGAGGAAGAGGCAAGAGAACTAGAAGGAAGAATCAGAGAGGAAAGAACTTACCAAATAGTGAAAATTGCGAAAATTCTTGAGGGAAGAGGAGGGAAGGGAGCTAGAAGGAGAGGATTAGACAGGAGGAAGTGAGAGTCAGAGAAAAGACTTGCCAAATGGTCAAAAATGCGAAAATAGTTGGGGGGAGGAGGAGCAGGAGGGAAGAGAGCTAGAAGGAGAGGGTTAGAAAAAAGATTAGTCAAATAGTCAAAAATGCGAAAATTATGGAGGGAGACTTACCAGAGTTCAAAGCACCAGCACCAGTACCAGCACCAACAACATCAACACCAAGAGAAGGATAGAGAAGCAAGAAGAAGAGAAGAGAGGCAAAAACTCGAAAATTGTAAGAGAAATATGGAAGATAATCTAATGAGGGGGCAGTGGGGGGGAAGGAAAGAATGGGAAAAGACTTGTTGGTTGACCGCATTTTTGCTTCCATAAGCAGTGCCAAACAAAGCCACAACACAAGACTTGGTGAATTTTCGAGTTTTTGCTTATTAGGACTAGGATTATGACAGTAAGAAAAAGACAATGAAATTGACTGTTAGCATTAGGATTTTGAATACACATAAGGTGAATTTTCGCATTTTTGCTTACATAAATAAGGTGTACCTTAACACTTTTGAACCCTTCAATTCCAAGTATTTTCCTTATAACTCACTAAGATCTTGACCTATTGAAGTCATTAGACTATGGATAGACTTCCCTTGACAAGGACTACAACTTTGATTTAATCGAAAAAGGTTCCCACGGTCAAGTTGCTTTCTTGAACCCTTCGATTTCGAGTATTTTCCTTGTAACTCACTAGGATCTTAACCTATTGAAGTCATTAGACTATGGATAGACTTCCCTTGACAAGGACTACAACTTTGGTTTTCATCGAAAAAAGTTCCCACAGTCTACTGGGGTCTATAGTTGTTGAAATGTTTTACTTCTAAATACACTTACCAAACTTTATGGTAATATAGACTTTCATGATGTCTATACTGGTCTATAGCGCTGTGATAGCTTGCGATAGACTGTATAGAGCTGTGGTGTGCTATTGGGGCTATATAGAGGATGGTCCTCTATATAGAGATACAGTTTTTCCTGATGTGGCAGGGGTACAGGTAGGGGTGCAGGTGCCATGACCCCAGACCCATACCCGTACCCCAGGATACCCTTACCCGTGACCCGCGCGGGTTACCTGTACCTGTGCTGTACCCTAGATTTTGCACTCTTAAACGTCTTTATACACAGTATGACGTAGTATTGTTCGTTTACTTTAGTCGCGACATGTCATGGTGAATCTAATAATCTTGACTACATCGAATTGATATATATAAGTGTCCCTTTAACAACCAAATATATATGTTTTACCCTGTTCTAATGGAAGCCGTCGTGCACTGGGACTTCAAAAAATTGACATGTACTGGATGCAACTGGGACTTAGAAAAATTTAGCCCATTTGGTGATTTCCAAGCGCATGGACTTGAACAGATTGTGTCATTGAGTCAAGCACACCTCAGGCATTACTTATCAGTAGCAATATAGACCTTTGAGGTAGGGTTTTTATGTTGTGGAAACTTACCTCTAAGGTGCACCCTCCCGCCATTCTATTAATAACGTGCCTCTTACATTATATCCAGCACCCCCTGGCGTGGCGCTCATGCCACCTGAACCTACCCTCCATTCCTTATCGCGCACCTCCAGCATGCCTCACGTGCCTTGAGCAGGATGCTCTCTATATGCTCTTGGGGCCTTTGTGCCACTGTCAGGAATCCGCTCTCATATCTATATTTTGCCCGCTAAGTTAAGTCTGTGGTGTGCTAGTGAGTGTTAGTTTTGTGCCTCACACTCTCTCTTTCACCATGGTCTCAACCAGCATTCCCGCTCCTACTCGTGGAGCACAATGGGTATCCTCTGAACTAGGTCAACATTTTGTCAGCCCAAAGAAACCCAGGGACAAGAAGAAAACTCAGAAACATGTCGAGTTACCTGGCGTGCAAGCCAAACACCATCAACTGCAAGCTCGTATGCACCAACTGATGGGACCAGAGCCCAAACAGACCGAAGTTCATGCTGCAGTCGAAACCATCTCTCAGGCTGATGCCTTCGCCGACATTCACATTCCTGATCCAGACTTCGAAATCTCATCAGAACCCCCCTTTGACGTACCTGCAGAAGAGTCTCAAACTAAATGTCGCATTTTGCCTGATAAGGCCACTGATTCGTTGTACAGCAGCTGGCAAACACTAATACCCTCCCTTGCCAAACCTCACCTCAAATATTCTGAGCGAACGTTAGCGACAGCACTGGACATCACCCCCAATGTTATCTCTGCATGCGCCACACTTTCGTGCCCTCAAAAGCACACATCAATCACGTGTTTGTTTTTTGACAGTAAGTTTTCTCATTTTCGATTTTATGCTATGTTGATGAATGAACATTTAGGATTTACGTCTATCAACGTCCTCAGCTGCAAATGTTCCACCCTTCCTCAAGTCCTACTTCACCATGGGCTGTTTCTGACTGCTCCCTCCCAGCCTCGTATGGCTGTCTCCGTCGAACTACTATTGTTCTATCGGGCACTTTTTGAACGGTCTTGTGATGCCATTAATGCCTTAGTGTTGGCTCTCAAGACCCACTACTCTTGCAGAGGTTTCGTCATGACAGATGCCTGAGTAAGCATTTCGTGATGGCGTTTGTCTGGGCTGATTTGTTGCGCAACGGGGAAATTATCCAGGATCCTTTTCGTTGAGGCCTGGGCCATGCCATACAATGGTATGACATTCTTCAAGTCCGAATAGAACATCAAGTTGAAGAAACCCTGCAGAATAGCTGTGACCGGGTGGTGGCCCTTCGTTCTCAAACAGAGGATCACGTCTCAACCTCGATACCTTTGTCTACCCTACATAGAGGCCAGTGCGCACCCATACTTATTCAAAGGTGTCCTGCATGTTTCAGTGGGACGATGTTTGGGAAACCTACCACTGAAGGAGGAGATATTCACACTGCCACAGACGGCAACTTCCACCACCGCCATCGGCGTGCAGTGGGGAATTGCCCCCACTTTTATGATCCTACTTATTTCCTTTTGAAAGAGTACGTTGATGGTGTTGGCTGCCGCATCGAGGCTCAACATAAGAGGCCTGCCAAGTCACCTGTACCCCTTGTTCCCGACGAGGCTATCGACCAGTGTGAAACAGCTTACGAAGCAGCCGACAACAAAAAACACAAGGTGGCAATGGATAGTTTTGACGATACTGGTATCATGGCGCTCATATGTCGTCATGACATCCCTCTGTTTTTTGCTAATATTGATTCTCCAGGAGAACAGCAAAAATACTCAATCGCCCTCCTAGAACATTTGTTCTCGTTGATCCCACCTTATGCTATGGTCATAGCATTGTACGATGTCGGATGTGTCCTTGCCCAATCCCTTAGCAAGGTAAGTTCACCTAGTCTACATTAAGGTTTATTCGCTCATCATTTGTAGTACAACATTCTCCCTGGCAGTATCGTTTCACGTTTGTGCTTGGCAACCACTGCCATGCATGCCTATGGGCATGAATGGGCATGTCAGCTAGTGCACAACCCACAAATGTGCATTGGGCTGGGTCTTTCAGATGGAGAAGGGACCGAGAGGCTGTGGTCTCGCTTTGTGTGCCTAATCGGCATTGAAAGGTCATCATTGGTGCGCTTCTTCATTTTCTCCACTGATTCAAGTCTTATGGCATAATGTCAGTGTCAGCGCCATTTGTGGCTCATCGACTGTCAGGCTGTGGCCATAGGATCCAAAATGCAATCCGACTTAGGTGATTGGATACGACAATGCCTGAAGCGTGGTATTCACAACCAAGGAACTGCTGCTCAAGATGTTCTAGATCGGTGCGAACTTTCTGTCGAGGATCTGGAGTCAGAATGGTCTCAACAACGAAGCTTGCAGCTCTCTGTCCACGCACATAAGTGATTTTAGTTTATATTGAATACACTACCAATTAAATTTGTTGATAGACGCCCCTGCTCGCCTTAAAAAGGAGTTAGATACTGTTTTGACCCTGCAGGCTGATCTCAATATCTCTGATACCGCACTACAATCCACCAGGCTCATGCTTGAGAAAGGAGCTGCCTCACAAGACACTCTCAAGGCTCTCAAGAAAGGCCATGAACGCCTTATGGGCAAAGTCGAAGTTTTATATGCATCCCTCAATATTCACGACCAATTCCCTGAACTCGAAGGTATCAATTTGGACTTTGTTCAGCTTCTTCTGATGGCACGTGACTTGAAAATGAACATCCGTAGACGGGCAATCGCGAGTTTTTTTGAGTGGGACAAATTGGACCGTGCGGTCGGTGGTGCTCAGCAGGCGTTAGGTAAATCATTCATACACGTGGTTTGTTATTGACTAATGTCATTCAGGTACAAAACTACATCAACAAACCCGAAAAGCGATTGCGAAACATCAACCAGCCCTGTTGACTGCGCTCAGGCAGTTCAATACTTATTGTGAGCAGTTAGAAGCATTATATGACTCTTCTTGGGGTATTCCTTTACCTAGTCCTCTCCCAACCAAACTCACAGAGCTACGCAGTGATCCCCATCTAATGGAAGACGTCTGGATTACGCCATCAATGGGACAAGTCCCTCGATGGTTAGAAGATGCTGATGTTAGAGACGGCATCCATGCACTTCTGAAACATGTGCACTGCCAAGAAGAACAGAAGCGACTTGGTGTCAAGGTGGATAACCTCTGCCATTTCTTTGGGGAAGAACTTGCTGCACTCAAGCTTGCACTCTGTACACCAGGATGTAGGTTTCTCCTCAGGATTACCATGGGAATTCATTTTCAATGCATAGACAGGCGAACTTATATCTGTCTTGCTGAGACAGCGCCGCAACCAATTACTCAGACTTCAAACCCACTGGGCGAACCCATTAGCCTCTGCGCTTCGCTTTACGTCTCGTGCCAAGGATGCGCTGGAGATTGCCATCACCCTTTCTGGTAGCGCTCAAATGCCGAACATGCATTGGCTCAGCACTACATTACTGGAAGTACCCGATCTTGAGGGAGAAGTCAATGATGCCGCAGAGGTTGCTGAGCCTCATGACCTGCCAGTAGTTGAATCTGAGCATGCCGCTCTGGCAGACATTCTTGAGGGTGATTTGGGCAGAGAGGAGGTTGTATTCAATTCAATGGATTATGTCAATGACACTCATGCTGTCATCGTGTGGGAGGCTCCCGAGGTGCGTCAGTCCGTCTTTAGGAATCGTTTAAATGTTAATCAGTTTTTAGGCTGCACTAATAGATCACACCTATGTCCCACGTGAGGAGGAGCATACCATCATTCCAGGAATAGTTGCCGAAAGGAATTACCCTTCACGAGATGGATACCCTCCTCAAATCTTTGAACTGAAGGACATCACCTTGCTTGCCTCACCAACAGCATGTCTTAACGATACTTGTATCAATGGGTGCACCATTTTGCAGTTTTCTAAACTGAAAAGTGTCGTCACTGGCCATTGCGCTTCGTTGACAACCCACGATCTCCCTCGGATTCGATATAATGCATCAGATGACATTCTGTGGCGTAACATATCATACACATGTTACTGGGAGAAAGATATTTGGATTCTTCCTATCCATTGTCCCTCTAATATTGGCCATTGGGTCTTATGCGTTATTCGCCTCTCCAGCAAAGAATTGCACCTCTTTGATAGTCTAGCTGAGAGAAAACCTTGGAAAAATGATGTCAAGGTAAGTTTACTTATATCGAGGATTTTATGCTAGGCTCATGTACTCCAAGGACGCCATGAAGCTGATTGCTCGTCTCCTTGCCATTGCACGTCAACGGCGTCATCACATCGCAACAGAACTTGACGGATGGACAGCGTGACCATTGAAAGTTAGTAGCGATCTTGAGTCTTTCGGTACATACATCTGAACTCTCTTTCGAGATCACGCCTGTCCAGACCAACAGTTATGACTGTGGAGTATGGGTATTGGCATCAATTGCTGCTGTCTTACGAGGACATCATGTCACAGGACTCCATGAGGATGATATGTGCCACCTTCGGCATCATCTACGAGCTCTCGTTCTTTCTATACCATGCTTCTAGATTATAGCTATACCATGTGTAATATATGTGCACAAACAGCTACATGTATGGATTCTGGCCATGAAGTATCAAGTCTGCCTCCCAATGATAGTTGAAGATCTTCCTCACCTGCCACTGCACATAACACTTTGCCATCACTCTGTGTCTTTTGCAACCCTTCATGTGTGATACGTACGTATTGAGCTCATTCCAGTTACCCATTAAACTTCTCTCCGCCGCCTGAATTTCCTGCAGGATGACTTTGACATTTGCCGCTGCAAACATTTGAGCATAGCATGCCCAGGCCTCTTTTTCCAAACGGCGCTGTCTGCCATGCATGACATCCGCAAGATTGCGAGTAAACCGATCCTCATGTGGGGAGTTTGGAGGAGGAGGGGAATCGTATGGTGGTGGTTTGTCCCACTGGAGTATATCAGACTCATTGATCAACTCCAACCCGGAACATGTCTGATGAAACAGAAACGAGTTGGGGAGGGGAAGTGCTGCTAGTGTGATGAGAGACTGGGGAAGTGGTTTTGAATTACTGAGGGATCCAGCAGTAGTCCTCTTCTGTCCACGGAGTTTGGCATTAGCACGAGCATTTTGAATCCGTCGAGCAGCTTTTCCCCTGTAGTTTGTTAAACAATCAGCACAGTTGAACACAGAAAGATCAGTGGAGGGAGTCACCGTTCTGTCCTCGAGTATGCAGCCTTCTGTTTGCGCAAGGCAGCATTTTTCTCCTCAAGTGTAAAGTATTTTGCTCTGCAACCCATTGATGTTCAGTATAGTAGACGATAAAGCAATGTGAAGTACTTACAACATTGCACATAAATGCTACTGGTTGTCGTGCAGCATCTTCCACTGCCCATACTCCTTGAGTTTCTTATACTGGGCTGACAGGGCACTCCACGGGAGTCATCCGAGCTCGTTTCAAATGATGCTGGAGCACTGTAAGGTGTTGTGTTTGTCTTTCAAAGGTAGCACGAATTGTTTCTGCAATGTGATTGGTTCTAAACACTCTCGGAGGCTCCCGATGTTCAGCGCTGCAGCCATCAACTCATCACCCTCAAGTCATCACCCTTGCGAGCCTCTGATATTCCATTACAGCATTTGTGTGTCGGTCAATTTTTGAATTGTTCCGATATCCTCGGCTTGTTTTGTATGCTAAACCAAAGTAAGTAGTATGACACGTTTGAGCATTGTGATTGGTCTTAAATTTCCTACTCACCTGCAGATCACCGGGTGCTCTGCATATCTTGCCCCCGAGCCACCGTCTGCATTGAAACTTGTCATGGCACTTCTGCCCCCGAGCCACTGTCTGCATGCATCTGTTACAGCATAAGTGCGTCCCTATTTCAAATGTCCGCTGGTATCATTCTGACTTTAGTATGGCATGGCATCTCAATGGAATCATTCCATGCGTGCAGGAATTTAAACTCCTTGCGATAAACTCAAAATATGTGCTCTTAAGGCCGAGGTAGGTTTTGTTTTTCCCCTCTTCACCTTCTTAAAAATTTGACCGAACAATACTGCAGCCATGACTCAATCGTACAATGAATACTCATTCCCCCTTGACCCAAATGCCCCACCCCCTCACACATCGTCCCAATCTATGCGTCTTCCTCCTGGCAGGGATTATATTCAGGAACAATATGGTGGAGGGCGTCGTCCCAAGTCTCCCCCAGCGGTGTTAACTCCTACCAGGCTAAGGAGTCAGATTAAGGCCACGCAGCGTGACGTTGGTATAGTCAAAGAGGCTGCAATACGGCGTCAGGAAAACCCATTCCCCCCAGACGCTCTAACCAGTCCCTCAGCACACCCAGAACCTGCACCTGTACATCCTATTCACGATAACAGTGTCATGGGAGGCAATGCATCGTCCACTCTGCCTCAGGGCAATATTCGACAGCCATCACTGTGTCTCCCTGTCCCTGATCCTCCATGTCCTGTGCATCTGCAGGATATATTTTACAATCCCATGGAGGCACAACCTGATGGGTGGTTGCCCCAGCAATCAGATTCCTTTGGAGTGATGGATGATGCATCGTTCAATGCGCTGCTCATGGAGATGCAGGAACATTTTATGTCTTCTGATGTTGGCCTGGATTTCACTAACAAGCCATCCTCCTCCCATGCACCCTCTCGCGAGCTTCTGGTGCCTCAGAGTGTCACAGGAAGTTCTAGCCAGATGCATGCACCCTCTCGCGAGATTATGGTGCCTCAGAGTGTCGCAGGAAGTTCTAGCCAGATTGCACCTATACTTACCAATGTCATCCCACCAACACCACTGAAGGATGCTGGCAGCAGTTACAGCCTTTCTGGCCCTCCCCCTCGTCCCTCCCCACACGAGCGTGGTGCTTCCATCGACACTGGAAATTTCAATGACTTGTTTTCTGATCCTCAGGACAGCAAAGATGTGCCTGCCTCGATGTCAGGCCAGTCGTTTGTCACTGGACGGAAGCCTGTCGAAACCAGTGCGACTCTTGAAGCTGGTTTCATTGAGATCAAGCAATTGTTCCTTGAGCTCTCAGGGTCGACATCAATTCCTGTGCAGCAAGTCATCAACTGGTTCTTGAAAAGTCGAGGTCGGACCACAGTCAACACTAACTTCTGGAATATATATGCTCACAGTTACTTCAAGGATCATACCGAGCAAGAACTTGCATGAGTTGGTGTTCAAATTCCTGCAGACAGAGGCTCTCCAGGTAAGTTCCGATCCTATATGTTGATGTGGTACTTATGGTTCCATCGTGCATGTTAGGTATGTCGATTCAGACGAAATGCTACAACCTCTTCAAAGCGGCCTTTCCAGACACATACAAAGACATTCTCTCCGTCCATGATGAGGTGAAGATGCTATCCGCCTCCCCTCAAACAGTCTCTCAGCGCGGACAAGAGTTTCAAAAATACTACCGAAGGATGTTTTAGCATTGTAAGTGTACGTCCTTGGCGCTTCGCTGCTTGCTGTTCCCTGACTGTCTTTCATTATAGGCTGATGGTGCTGCCACTAATTTCGGTTTTGAGACCGCGATGGTCATCTGTGGAAAAATTGTCAATCAAGATGCCTCCCTCGGTCAAGTTCACACTACACCAGGCGCTGCAGAGGTAAGTATCTAAAGAGTGATATTCAATACTGAGATTGCTAATGCCAGTCTGCTAGTTCTGGAGTATGCGATGCCGAGCTGATGATGACACCATCATTGGTCACCTCAAAGCTCATGTCTAGTAAGTCTCAATCCGTGTCCTACCATTATCTCTTTCTTATTCATCTTCAAAACAGTAATAAAACTTCACTGGGAGTGGTAGAAGATGATGATGAAGCCTCTTCCAAGGATGCTGACATGATTCCTTCGACTGAAGTTGAGGGTCGTGAAGAATCTCTCTGGTGGTTCAAGAAAGAAATCGCAAAACGAGTCAGTAAGTAGCTATTCTGTTTTTTCTTCGGTTCAGCCTGACGTTCTCATATAGCTGAACTTGGCAGGAAGTTTGCATCTGATAAGAATTTCCCCTGGAAAATGATGCCCAGCGCCTTAGCTGCTGGCGGCCTGAACATCAAAGGGTACCCTGCCCACAAGTGCATCATGCCGGGTGAATCTCATGGTCCGACGTCCAAAAATAACAAGGGGATAGGTGTATTGACGTACAAAGAGGTTGCAGCGCTTGTTGATGCTTACAAGGCTGGCACTATGCGGGTGGTCAAGTCTTCTCATACACACAGTAAGTTTTGTCTCTATTTGGTCGTCTGATTTACACAATGTTTTCATAGTGTCCTTGATTGAATCAAAAAAGCCGGTTATCATCGGGGAGGCTCCTCCATCCACCTGGGAGCACTCATGTGCTCGTCGCATGTTTGCTGATCATCATACTGATTATAGTGGCCCACAGCGTGTGGAGACAAGTGTCACACAGACCAGAGTCAAGAAGGGAAAGAACACCTCAAAAGCTCGTGATCCCGAGCACCAAGAGCCGGTCATGTCTCCTTGCCCTCCTGCGCGTCCCTTTAAGGTCGTTGCTAAGCCCATTGCTAAGCCACAAACTCCCCCTCCTGCTCGTCCCTTTCATGTTGTTGCTAATCCAGCTGTGCCAATAGCTCCTAAGGCTGCCGTGGAGGAGGTCATCGAACTCACTTCAGCTTCAGACAGCTCGAAGGACACAGAGGAGCTGGACACAGAATATGAAGATGACGATTCACGCGGGAAGAAACGGAAATTAAAGTCAGGATGTACTTCTTGGGCGTCCAAGAAGCATGCTTCCTCGGAGGTTATTGCCATCGAACCGAAGAAGGAATGTGTGTGTTCCAAGGCAAAACCGCTGAAGCCATCACCTTCTGATGCCTCTCCATTGAAGGGGGGTCCACTGTCACCGTTCACTGTGGGGTCTTCTTCAGTTGACGAAGAACTCTCATCTGGCAATGAAGGTTTGTGCTACATCTGTGCATCTTTTCCTCACTAACCATCTTATTCAGCTGCCCAGCCAGTTCGACCTGTAATTCGCCTCCGGGACGGTCCTTCCACAGTGCATGCAAAATCCAAGGGTATGCATGTATGTTTTTGGATCTATATATTGTTGACTTGGTTCCTACAGCGCCCCCAAAACTGAAACATGTGACAAAGGAATCCCAGGCAGTCATGCACCACGTACACCAGAGGATGTATGCAGTCGATTCGGAAGAGGAGCAGGATGCTCCAGGTCGAATGCACTTGGAGGCCACAGCAGATGCTGGAAAAGGTGCTGCCATGCTCATAGACAACCCCAAGATCGATGCTGCAGCTCGGTCAGTGAACCCTACCCCAATTGCACCGGCAGCTACTACAGAGGTCGAGTTTTCGCCGCAGGACAATGTGGAAGTCACTCCCAGTGTGGCTTCACAACCTGAGAGCTCTGAGCAACCCCAACCCTCGAACGGTATACTCCAGCCCACGTCTTCTCCTTCCATACCTGGCAATGAGGAGAACGGAAACCCCCAAGCTCGATTCATCAACCGTCCATCTTCACGTCCGGCTCCGCTTCAGATTGATTCTCATATCAAGGGGGCCAACCACTATGCACGTTCTCCACTGCTTCCACACAATGTTCTCATCCCACACGAGGGTCCCATCCTACGTGAGGCTCCTTTACACCGTGACATGCACGAGCTTCCCAGTCATCCTCACAAGCCATCTGTGCCATTGCGAGAGCCTCTGCTTCATTGTGATCCCTCCGTGCACTCTCGTGATCCCTCTGTGCACTCTCATGATCCCTCTGTACACCCTCATGATCCCTCTGTGCACCCTCGTGATCCCTCTGTGCACCCTCACGATCCCTCTATGTACCCTCGCGATCCCTCTATGCACCCTCGCGATCCCTCTATGCACCCTCGCGATCCCTCTATGCACCCTCGCGAGGGACCCTCCTACCCACACAATGTTGCTCACTATCATGATGCGCATGACACACCCTATGATCGGAATGGTCTCCCTCGCACCCATCCTCATCCTACTGGCGTCCTCAATCCCCACGGCCTTTCATGCACCCGTAATCCTGAAGAAGCTCGGTATGGTCATGCACCCATGGGATACAACCATCCAGGTTATCTTTCTCGCTACGACTCACCTGCTGAAGGATACGACGACCACTATGATGACTGCAGGTATCCATCAGACTCCTACTATCAAGATGTGTGCAGTCATGACCGGAGGTACTATGGAGATCCTAGTAGATAGCCAGACTGCCGCTGATACCTTTTTTCATGTGCTTTTTTGGTTTTTTGACTAACATTTCTCTCTCGCCTTTTAATTTTGGTGTCCGTGCCTCTCACCTTTTTAGTGTAGTGACTGTCATTTTGTTACCTCATGCTTCGCCTCAGATTGGATGTAGTGCCTCCTCCTGAATATATTGTGTTGGTGTTTTTGTGTCTGCACCTGATGAATGTTACATGCTGCCTCCTGAGTTTTTGTCCCCAATCTTTGGTTATGTTAAATTGACTGATTAAAATCAATTAAGACACGAAAAAATACTCTATTGAGGAATCAAACTCAAGACCCCAAAGGACCTCACCAATGACACACGACGCCACTACCACATCGCCATAAGCCCTCTGAATGTGCAGAGCACACATATCGTATAATGGCACTTTGCATGCCAATGCTTCTATCGATTATCAGCACACTATCAGCTTCAACGACTTTATTGCTTCTATTGATTATCAATGAGGGCACACCTCATCTCAATGTGTAAGTTATTGATATTTTTCTTCTACACTCCTCCCTCTCACCATATATTTGCTGCATCAATGGATTTCACACAACTTGACTGCATTCTCGAACGTATCACATCGTGGCACAGGGTGCAAGCGCAGGAAGTGTTGGACAAGTGGTTGGAGAGACAACGGATCAGTATTCCTGATGGATGGAGGCTGCTTGATGGTATACCTTGCATTATTGGGGGGCTGACAGGACAGATCACAGGTAGAATAGCTAAATATGTTACAGGACCACTCGAAGGGTGAGGGGGCAACTTTCCCTGGAAAATGTTACCCGCCATCCTAGCCCGTCGTGGCTATATCCTCAAAAACTACCTGGAAAATATACTAATGCCCGGTGAAAGGCATGCAACACTCGCGAAGAGCAAGGGCATACACAACCTCTCTATCCACAAGTGGCGCGTCCTTGCAGATGCCCTCAAGAATAACTCCCTCACCGTCAAAACTGTCGCAACAGACGCCCTTGAAAACCTCATGGCTTCGTGTGTCATCGTCGGAGAAGCGCCCTCCGCAGATTCTCATCACACTCGTGGCCAATAAGGGTTTGCCGATGGACAGATTGATAGGCTTGGATTGAGCCATCTGGGCAACACTACTCCTCCAAAATCTTGTGCTGTGTCATCTAAGCGGTGGAGACTTCGCGTGTTTGTAGAGGTACCACAGGCCCCACCCTCCTGGAGGTTGAAAGTGATATGGCGACACTCACTAGACTTTGAACCCAACAATAGTGACCTTATCCCACAGATTACCGCCATCAGGAATGATGAAGTGGGGGTTGGTGCTATCAAGGATGGTGCTATTGATGATGAAGAAGCTGCCAATGATGCCACCATGTAGGATGAAGAGGAAATTGACGAGCTTTTTGTGTCACAGGAAAGGACGTAATCTGTGTAAGCCTCTCGAGCCTCCACTCAACCCTCACAAACCTCTATTCAACCCTTGCAAGCCTCTCTCTTCAACCCTCACAAACCTCTCTTCAACCCTCGCAACCCTCACAAACATCCATTCAACCTTCATCACATCCTCACGAGCCTCCCTTCCATGGCATGTACTAACCATTAGCATCTGTGCACATGATCTTGTTGATTCGAGCATTGGCGTCACGTGTTGCCTTCTATCTTACTCTTTGTCTCTTTACCACTGTCTGATATGTCTTCCCCCCGCCTCACAAAGTTGCATGCTCGAGTACAATACATGTTTGCCTGGGATTCGTGGTTATGAGATTAGGAGATGACGAGGATAGATGGCCTGACAGAGAGAGATAATGAGTGTGTATTCTCTTCGTGGTTTGAATGTGTTCTTGCATCCCTTTCGTGTGCATGGCTTTTCTTCATGTTGTTAGTCACTGTCTGTACGCCTTTCACATCAAATATATTGCCTTTCGCTCAATTGTATTGATATTCACTGAATTCCAACATGTATTGCAAAAACACATAGATCAACTATTTTAAACAGTGAGGGCGCACGGCCTCGCGTGGTTGGTTCCTACCCTTGCAAGCCTCTGGGAGCATGGAGACAATACACAAAGGAAAAGGCATGTACCTCTTGCGGCAATTACAGGGAGCCTCTGTGGAGAGGCATACCTCACAGGTGGGTTCCCTGAAACATAGAAACCCCACCTGATAGACCATGAGACGCGCACTTAAGTGCTGCCAAGGGTGGTCAAGCAGTGGCCTAAAAAAGGATGTCAGGCCTCGAGCTGTGAAGTTAAACTCAATTGACGGCAATTGAACAACCAGAAAGGATATGAGTAAGAATAGAATGCAATGTGGGGAATGAGAAGTGAGGGGGCTGCCAGGAACAGGGTTATAAAGGCAGGGACCAGCCTGGACCAGGAATCCAGCTTTTGAAGACCGACGGTACATTACACGCATTAGGCAATATGTACACGATTTAAGGCTAATGCATTACACTGCCAGTTTGGGTGAGAAGTGATGCACCCTAAACTTAGCATCACTCCTGCATTGCTCTATGTTGACACTTACCATGCAATAATGCATTAGAATGACAGTATAGCCTGGGTTTGCAGGTGTCACAGAGGCAGGTGTACCTTGCTGATTTTCATCACTCTCAGATGGAGCTGGGGACTAAGACTCACATCAGTAAAACCTCACTTTTATTTTTGGTGACGAATCTTAATTTATCCTTATTTTTCTCACTTCAACCGGGTTTGAGGAGCCATTGGGGTGACATGAAAGAGACGGCGAAAAATTTGAGAAAAAGGCCACTTGCCCTCTGAATTCTACTTTATTGCTCTTAAAAGTCACTTACTAGGCATTGACCGACAAAAAAAGCAGTAATAATAGCGCAAACGGCGTCACATTGTCCAATGCAAAGTACAAAACATTGGTTAAAATAGAGCAAATGGTGACATGTGAAGTGTGAAGTGTAAAAAAGTGGTCAAAATAGGAAGAAAGGGCAGTGATGTCAAGAGCGATGGTGGGATAGGCAAAATGCAATGGTTTGAAGACAGGCGCCACACAATTGGAAACTCGCAGTGAGCAGTGCAGAAGTGACATCTATAGAATGATATCAGCTTGTCAATAAAGGTAAAAAGAATCAATCTTCGTTACCACAGCATGGCGCGCCTGTCAACGGCCTCTGAGTTGTCATCATCAGTGCGAAAGTACTTCTGGAGGCCGACACCGCCCAATTTCTTCAGCAACTTCCGAGCCGTTAATGTTGTGGTCCTCATGTAGTTGTCTCCTTTCACCTTGATAGCAACTACATATGACGCAGTTGCTGATCCCCAGTTGTTGATGGAGAAGGCATTCTTGGTAGTGCTATCCTTGCCAGTGGCCTTGTTGAAGGTCTTCGGCGTCCGCAGCTTGCGCTTCATTTGTGCAGGACCCAGATCTAGGGTGTCCACATCAATGTCAATGGCATTGACACGAAGACGTTTGATGGCGCGCTCGAGCTGTTAATGAAAGTAGAATTATCAGTAATGTTACGCGAATGTACAGAGTACTTACTGAAGCTGCACAAATGCTGATAACACCAGTCATCCCGATGATGGACAGCACATATGTTTTAAGTGCAGGGACTTCAACATGCCCGAGAATGGCATGAAGATGAGCGGTTGCGAAGAGCTGCAACATGAATGGAAACCGGAAGGCTTGCATCGGGTCTAGGTTTTCCATGTCCTCATAAATGAAAGTGAAGTCCTCCAGAAGCGCGTCAGCAAGCATTTCTGGATCAGTGTCAGCATTCCTAGTGAAAAAATCCATCATAATAGCCAGTCCCGTTGATCCAAAATTGCTGTGCCACTCTGTGAGACGTTGGGTGGCCTGATTGAGATTGTAACCGTTAGTAATAGTGACAGAAAAAAAGTGTAACTTACAACACCAAAGACAGACCCTTGAGCGGTCACCTTGTAATCAAGATCTGATTCTTCTGAATACACGACATCATAGATGGATTGGAGTGCCTCGACCAGAGGAGCATCTAAGAATTGCCAGAGGTCATTTTGATTCCCGGCCCACAGGTAAAGGGTTGGGAGGAACTGCTTCGGCCACCGCTGATCTTGGCAATGAGGAGGGAGATGATAGTTTCGGTAGCTCAAGCACGACTTGTATTGCTTCTCAATCCAATAGCCAGGTGGGGCTGTGAGCATTAGTTGTGCAGTGCTGGCATCAGCATCCTCTTCAGTTTTCACCTTCTTTGCAGGTGGTTGCATCTTTGTGGTGGCTGACTGGAAGATGACGATGGCAGTCTGTCAGAGAATATAAGTTGTGATAATCATTAATAAAATAAACTTACTGAAGAGGTCAAACGCACAGCCTTCTTCATTGTATTGGCCATTGTGACAGGGCCTGAAGGGACATCAATAACCTCAACATCTGATGTGTCCTCGTATGGGGTACTCTCCAAGACGAGGGCGGAGGATTTGGTATCTGCAAGCTTGCGCTTCTTACTCTGATGGAACAAGATTCCGTCACTAAGGCTGCCATCACTGTCCACCACCTTGGACATCCTGGCATCTTTGCCCTCAAACAAGTTGTCCTCCGGGTCCACCAATGCATCCTCCGGGTCCATCGGTGTGTCGATCTCACTATCCTGTAAGTCCTCTGTTGAAGACAATGCATCCTCAGGCATTGCATCTAAGGTAATGTATATAATTGGCTTTGTGCATTAGAATTAGAATTTATTACAAACCATCTAGTACACACCTTAACTGAAGACTGCTTCCCCTTTGTCTTTTGAATGAAAGCATCCAAATGTTCTTGAGAATCATCCAACTCGTCATCAAAGCCGCCAACAAGAGCCTCGGGAGTGTCAGATGCATTAGCTGGAGCAGGGGGGGCCTTAAATTTGGAGGACTTGGTAGTTACGCTCAAAACTGATGTAGCGCGGGAACTGGATAAAGCACTGCTTGGTGGCCCATGCGCCAATGACAAAGCTGAGGCAGTGGTATGAGACTTAGAAGCGCTGGAAGTCTTGGATAGTTCGGTTGCGTCCGGTGAAATATCAGAAACCCAACCATTAATGTGCCCTGTCAATGAAAACTTGGGGTTGGTCCTGAATTTTGAGGTCAAGTTAAGAAAAAAAAGAGTTGATTCAGTCAGCATCAACATCATGTTTTTCGATAAACGAAAAGACACACGTTGTGGTAGAAGACTTTCCTTTCTTGTCGCCAACACGTGGCCCCTGAGTTGACTCAACCTTTCCCGTGAGTGAGCCTCAAGCATTGTTGATCGCGTCCTTGAGAGACGTTTTGATGGCCCTCTGGTTCTTCTTCTTCGTTCCATCCTCAATGTTGGTGTCCTGGTTGCTTTCTTCTTGGTCTTCGACGGTACCAGCCTTGGGTGAGTCAGTATTGGTGACACTAGTAACACCAGCACTTCCTCTGCCAGGAGCTTCTTATCTGCTGGTTTGGCAGACACTACTTTTTTCTTGACAGGGCGAGCACGGGGTTTGACTGGTTTTGGTTTAGTCGCCATGTCTTGTTCCTCTGCCTCCTCCATCTCCATCTGCATTGCAGCAAGCCACTGCAGCCCGCTCTTGAGCTTGGTGGGCTTCCTCGAGGATTTTGTTGTCCTCTGCTTTCTGGGCCTTGCTACGTCACGGAACCCGTCCTTGCACTGGCAGGTCTGGCAAGCCCGGGTGTTTGAACTTATTGTCTCGGCGAGTGCGGATTCCCTCAGTGATATCAGACATGACTGCTGACAAGTAGCAGATTCAATGAGTGCTGTGGCAAGCTTGAGATGGGCAAAAAAATGTAAAGGACAACATGTAGTTGAAGTTTGACTGCGAATTTGTAAGTTCCTTACTTAAATCAACCCCAAACTTTAAAGGTTCAATTCATTAGTCTAGTCATTTATGATGTCCTTTGCAACTGGGTCTGCATATGTACTGAATTGTCCTTAATTGAGGTAAGTTTGCTGTCTTTCTTTTCATCTTTGCTGTTTGCTAGAGCTCATATGGGTTTTGTCCACCTTTCAACGTGCAGATTTCCAAGCTAATATTGGCAATCCTTCCACCATTCAACGCACAGATTTCCTATTGGTGATTTTTCCTCCTTTCAATGTGCAAATCACCAGAACTGAACATTATTCTAGTCTAGTATTGCTGCAATGCCCAACAACATTCCACGTAGTCAACTATGCCATCGCGACCATAGTTCACTCCAACTACCATGCGGAAGTTGTCCAAGGTGGTTCAAAACTATCGCCGGGTGAACAAAACATCGCATTTCAGCACATCCCATCCTGCCAGTACTACCTCAGGACAACCACCAACGCTCTCCGGAACCCAATATACCAGAGCCCCATCTGCCAAGCCCATAGCCTCATGTCGACCACAATATCAACATGGGTGTGGATGAAGGATATGCTGACTTGGAGCACCAACATCAACCATCACCTCAACAAAACATCAATACTGGAATTTGTTGGGCCTGGGGATCACCTGTATCGAAACTATCATTTGGGTCTCAATGGTAAGTTCATTCACATGATTCTGTCACTGTGGCTGAATGTGATTACAGGCAGACCATGCAACGCGGATGGTATATTCCTCCTCCCTGGCACTCCACCCCCACCTTTGGAGAATGTAGCAACTGACAACTGGACACCCTTTCGCAATCATACAGAATTTGAAACGGCAGAGTTCTTGTATATGCAAAATCAGATGCCGGCAGGTCAAATTAACCGGTTGCTGGATTTATGGGCGTCTACCCTTGTGAAACATAATGACAAGCCACCATTTGCAGATCATCGTGATCTGCATGACATCATCGATAGTTCACCATTTGGGGACGTAAATTGGCAAAATTTCACAGTAACCTATGATGGTGAGAGACCCGAAGATGGTACCAAGCCATGGATGGATGACAAATACGAAGTCTGGTTTCGTGACCCACACAAAGTCGTGCGCAATATGCTTGCAAATCCAACGTACACCAGTGAAATAGACTACTGCACCTATCGAGAATATTCAACCGAGGGCGACAAGCGCCAGTGGAAGGATTTCATGTCTGGTGACTGGGCATGGGATCAGGCAGTAAGTGCAGTCTTCATCCAATAATGACTGCTAATTCTGTATGTAGGATGAAATAGCTAAAGACCCAAGCATGCTTGGCTCTACATTTGTCCCTGTCATCCTTGGCAGTGACAAAACAACGGTTTCAGTCAGGACGGGTAATAACGAGGATTATCTGCTATATGCCTCAATTGGGAACATTCACAACAATGTTCGACGAGCCCATCGTGATGGAGTAGCAGTCATTGGCTTCCTTGCTATGCTGAAAAGTGCGTTGTGGTGCGGGCTTCTATGATAATGACTAACTGATTGTTACAGCTACAAAGGAACATGCTGCTGAGGCAGTGTTCCAAAAATTCCGTCAACAGCTGTTCCACTCATCACTCTCCAAGATTCTCAACACACTGAAACCAGGCATGACAACCCCCAAAGTCACTCGTTTTGGAGACGGTCACTACCGTCGGGTTATATACGGACTAGGGCCATACATAGCAGATTACGAGGAGCAAGCACTGTTAGCATGTATCATGCGTGGTTGGTGCCCTAAGTATGTTTTGGTCATCTAGTATGTATCTTTGTATAAGTTACAATTTTTTTCGCAGATGTATGGCATCTTGTGAGGATCTCAACAAAGATGTGTTACGTCGTTGTCGTGAATACACAGAAGCACTCATTCAAGAAGGTTCCTTAGGTGACCTGTGGGATGACTTCGGAATAGTTGGGGAACTTGTAGTATGTGAATCACCGCACTCCTCGCAGCACCATTTTTAATGATCTTATGTTAACAGGCATTTACGAACGACTTCCCCCAAGCTGACATCCATCAGATGATCTCACCGGATATTCTCCATCAACTCGTCAAAGGAGCATTCAAGGACCACCTCATCAAATGGGTCGAGAAATACCTCAGACACATGCATATGAAATGAAAGGTGGATCAAATTATGGATGATATTGATCGCAGGTAAGCTTGTCTGCATTTAGATTACATAACATTACTCATTGTCTTAGAATTGCCGCGTCGCCTCATTTTCAGGCTTGCAACGATTCCCTCAGGGGCGTGGCTTCAAGCAGTGGACAGGAGATGATTCAAAGGCCCTGATGAAGGTAATTCATCGATTTAGTCATGCTATGGTCGCAGAACTTATTGATTCTTCAGGTCTACTTGCCTGCCATCGAAGGTCATGTACCTGTAGATGTTGTGCGCACCTTTTGTGTGCTTCTCAAATTTTGTTACCTAGTCCGTCGTAATATAATCACAGAAGACACTCTAGTCAAAATCAAAGACACACTCTCACGCTTTCACCATTACCATAAGATCTTCAGGGCGACAGAAGTGGTTCCTACCTTTTCCCTACCTTGTCAACATTCACTCAAGCACTATATCCAAAACATATGATTGTTTGCTGCACCGAATGGCCTCTGCTCATTGATTACTGAAAACAAGCACATCAAAGCGGTCAAGGAGCCATGGAGACGATCCAGCCGTTATAATGCACTTGGTCAAATGCTTGTGACCAACCAACAGCTCGACAAAATTTCTGCAGCGCGAGCTGACTTCACACGTCAGGGAATGTTAACTGGTACTTGCCTCTCAGCAACTATGGATGCCTTGGGTGGGTAAACAGTTTGTGAGATATCCTATATACTAATGTGCACAATAGTACCCACACAGCAGATTAATGAACTTGATGAAAATGTGGCAGCACCAGCACCAGCACCGGCACCAGTGCTTATCAGCATCGATGAGGACCTGGAAATTGATGATGGACCAATGGTTCTACAAGCTTATGTCCAGCTGGCAAAAACACGCCATAAGACTTCTTTTTCTTCCTTTTTGAATGTCCTAACAAACTATGTACAGAGGGCAAAAAACGCGCTCGAACTATTCCTGCACTTGCCGAAGAACTCGATATTCCTGATCTACCTGACCTCCTCAGACACTTCTTATTCCAACAGTTGCATCCTAAAGATCCTCGCGACCCATCTGATATACCCCTCGCCGAATGTCCCCTCTATCTTAGCAAAATCTCGGTCTTCAATTCCGCATCATCGAGCCCCTTCAGTGAATTCACCCGTCTCAGACAGGCAGCCGGGCGTGACAATGTACCAATAGAGACGGGTCACCCGGTGCCGGCCCATGGCAATAATTGTACAGTGTTAGACGAGTGGGCCGAGGGGGTGGAGTGTCCAAGGCAAACGAATGGGCCAGGTGTATATAGTATAGATGGTAGTAGAGCAATGTACTATATAGGAAATTATGAATAGTAGTAGTGAATCCAGTGTGTGATAGATGAGTGGGCCAGGAGGAATGGAGTGCAATATAGACGAGTGGGCCGGGGAACTGGGGTGTGATGGAGACGAGTGGGCCGGTAAATGAGGTGCAATGGAGACGAGTGGGCTGGTACATAAGGTGCAATGAAGATGAGGGGGCCGGAGAATAGGGTGCAATTGAGACGAGTGGGCCGGTATAGCAGGTGCAATGGAGACGGGTGGGCCGGTATAGCAGGTGCAATGGAGACGGGTGGGCCGGTATAGCAGGTGCAATGGAGATGGGTGGGCCGGTATAGCAGGTGCAATGGAGATGGGTGGGCCGGTATAGCAGGTGCAATGGAGATGGGTGGGCCAGTAAATAAGGTGCAATTAAGATGAGTGGGCCAGTATAGCAGGTGCAATGGAAGCGGGTGGGCCGGTATAGCAGGTGCAATGGAGACGGGTGGGCCGGTAAAGGAGGTGCAATGAGGACGAGTCGGCCGGTGTTATTGGGTGCAATGAAGACAAGTTGGCTGGTGATATGGGGTGCAACATGACCGGTTGCTTGTGGTAACATAGCACTCAATCCGGTGATTCCACTGGTGGTCTGACCATGTAACATAGTTAAGATTTGACAAAGTTAGGAGCCTTACAAGAGAAAGTCACAAAGTCAGAGGACATATCATATCTAGACCATTGTGACCGGGATTTTTCAACCGGTAGTTATGTGACCAGTTGCTTGTGGTGACATAGCACTCAGTCCGGTGATTCCACTGGTGGCCTGACCATGTAAAATGGTTAAGATTTGACAAAGTTATGAGTCTTACAACAAGAGAAAGTGACAATTTCAGAGGATATATCATGTCTAGACCATTGTGTCCGGTATTTATGTGACCAGTTGTTTATAGTAAAACATAGCACTCAATCTGGTGATTCCACTGGTGGTCTGACCATGTAAAATGGTTAATATTTGACAAAGTTATGAGCCCTACAAGAGAAAGCCATAAATTTAGAGGATATTATGATATATTGTATCTAGACCGTTGCAACCGGTATTTTTTGACCGGTATTTATGTGACCGGTTGCTTGTGGTAACGTAGCACTCAATCCGGTGATTCCACTGGTGGTCTGACCATGTAAAATGGTTAAGATTTGACAAAGTTATGAGTGCTACAAGAAAAAGTCACAAATTCACTGGCAGAGGATATATGATATCTAGACCATTGTGACCAGGATTTTTCAACCGGAAGTTATGTGACCGGTTGCTTGTGGTAACATAGCACTCAATCCGGTGATTCCACCGGTGGTCTGATCATGTAAAATGGTCAAGATTTGACAAAGTTATGAGTGCTACAAGAAAAAGTCACAAAGTCAGAGGATATATGATATCTAGACCATTGTGACCGGGATTTTTCAACCGGAAGTTATGTGACCGGTTGCTTGTGGTAACATAGCACTCAATCCGGCGATTTCACCGGTGGTCTGATCATGTAACATGGTCAAGATTTGACAAAGTCATGAGCCCTACAAGAGAAAGTCATGAATTTAGAGGATATATGATATCTAGGCCATTGTGACCGGTATTTTTTGACTGGTAGTTATGTGACCGGTTGCTTGTGGTAACATAGCACTCAATCCGGTGATTCCACCGGTGGTCTGACCATGCAAAATCATTAAGATCTGACAAACTTATGAGCCTTACAAGATAAAGCCACAGATATAGAGGATGTTATATCTAGACCATTGTGACCGGTATTTTTGTGAACAGTTGCTTGCAGTAATATAGTACTCAATCTGGTGATTCCACCGGTAGTCTGATCATGTAAAATGGTTAAGATTTGACAAAGTTCTGAGCCTTATAAGACCAAGTCATAAATTCAAAGGATACAGTGTTGTATCAGCTTATATCTGGACCATTGTAATCAGTATTTTTGCAACTGGTTGCTTGTGGTAATGTAGCACTCAATCAGGGGATTCCATTTTGCCCCTTTGATAGGAGAGTGTTCTAGCACTGTAAAAACGTATTTAGGAGTATATATTAACATATTCCACCACTTAGTTGACCCCCTGAAGGGTAGATAACAATATTATACCATATTTCTAACTGATCCTTGGGATGAGAAGTAGGTATATATGTAGTAAGGATAATATATGAGTAGTCTGGATCATTTATGCAATGATAAAGTAGGGGAAAACACCAAAAATGCGACAACTGCAATCTTAGAAGTTTTAGCCTGTATAGAAGGATTCTGTAGGTATCCTGATGTACCAACCTGGTGTACATACTCTAAATATGTCTAGGAATGGTCCCCATATCTTTCTGCAGCTGTGTTCCTGTAGGAAAACCTTTCCCAGAGGATGGACCACCAGGAGAGGGTGAGTACACAGCATCACAAGGTTTTGTCTGTGGATGTTAAGGTCATGCTCAAAGGAAGGAGAACTCAAAGGGCTTGACTACAGCTTGTGTGCTGCACCCCTCACCCGAGTATGTGCCCTTAATGTCTGAGAGGCAGGAGGGAAGTCCAACAAAGTCCAGAGGTTTCCGGAGGTCAGACACTAGGGGAGTTCGGCAGAACTCCAGAGGTTCAAGGAAGCCCAGAGTAAGACTGCTGTGGACAAGTTTGGAGTAGAAATGGAACAGAGGTAAACTACCCTAAGGTAGAGCTGGAGACACACTGGTCTAGATATAACATATCCTCTGAATGTGTGGCTTTCTCTTGTAAGGCTCATAACTTTGTCAACTCTTGACCATTTTACATGATCAGACCACCAGTAAAATCGCCGGATTGAGTGCTATGTTACCACAAGCAACCGGTCACATAACTACCGGTCAAAAAATACCGGTCACAATGGTCTAGATATAACATCCTCTATATCTGTGGCTTTATCTTGTAAGGCTCATAAGTTTGTCAGATCTTAATGATTTTGCATGGTCAGACCACCGGTGGAATCACCGGATTGAGTGCTATGTTACCACAAGCAACCGGTCACATAAATACCGGTCAAAAAATACCAGTTACAATGGTCTAGATACAATATACCATAATATCCTCTGAATGTGTGGCTTTCTCTTGTAAGGCTCATAACTTTGTCAAATCTTGACCATGTTACATGATCATACCACCGGTGAAATCGCCGGATTGAGTGCTATGTTACCACAAGCAACCGGTCACATAACTACCAGTCAAAAAATACCGGTCACAATGGCCTAGATATCATATATCCTCTAAATTCATGACTTTCTCTTGTAGGGCTCATGACTTTGTCAAATCTTGACCATGTTACATGATCAGACCACCGGTGAAATCGCCGGATTGAGTGCTATGTTACCACAAGCAACCGGTCACATAACTTCCGGTTGAAAAATCCTGGTCACAATGGTCTAGATATCATATATCCTCTGACTTTGTGACTTTTTCTTGTAGCACTCATAACTTTGTCAAATCTTGACCATTTTACATGATCAGACCACCGGTGGAATCACCGGATTGAGTGCTATGTTACCACAAGCAACCGGTCACATAACTTCCGGTTGAAAAATCCTGGTCACAATGGTCTAGATATCATATATCCTCTGCCAGTGAATTTGTGACTTTTTCTTGTAGCACTCATAACTTTGTCAAATATTAACCATTTTACATGATCAGACCACCGGTGAAATCACCGGATTGAGTACTGTTACTAGAAACAACCGGTCACATAAATACCGGTCACAATGGTCTAGACATGATATATCCTCTGAAATTGTCACTTTCTCTTGTTGTAAGGCTCATAACTTTGTCAAATCTTAACCATTTTACATGGTCAGACCACCAGTGGAATCACCGGATTGAGTGCTACGTTACCACAAGCAACCGGTCACATAAATACCGGTCAAAAAATACCGGTTGCAACGGTCTAGATACAATATATCATAATATCCTCTAAATTTATGGCTTTCTCTTGTAGGGCTCATAACTTTGTCAAATCTTAACCATTTTACATGGTCAGACCACCAGTGGAATCACCAGATTGAGTGCTATGTTTTACTATAAACAACTGGTCACATAAATACCGGACACAATGGTCTAGACATGATATATCCTCTGAAATTGTCACTTTCTCTTGTTGTAAGACTCATAACTTTGTCAAATCTTAACCATTTTACATGGTCAGGCCACCGGTGGAATCACCAGACTGAGTGCTATGTCACCACAAGCAACTGGTCACATAACTACCGGTTGAAAAATCCCGGTCACAATGGTCTAGATATGATATGTCCTCTGACTTTGTGACTTTCTCTTGTAAGGCTCCTAACTTTGTCAAATCTTAACTATGTTACATGGTCAGACCACTGGTGGAATCACCGGATTGAGTGCTATGTTACCACAAGCAACCGGTCATGTAAATACCGGTCAAAAAATACCGGTTGCAATGGTCTAGATACAATATATCATAATATCCTCTAAATTTATGGCTTTCCCTTGTAGGGCTCATAACTTTGTCAAATCTTAACCATTTTACATGATCAGACCACCAGTGGAATCGCTGGATTGAGTGCTATGTTACCACAAGCAACCGGTTACATAAATACCGGTCGTTGTTGCACCCCATAATACCGGCCCACCCGTCTCCATTGCACCCTATCATGCCGGCCCACCCGTCTTCATTGCACCCCATATCACCGGCCCACTCGTCTTCATTGCACCCCATATCACCGGCCCACTCGTCTTCATTGCACCCCATATCACCGGCCCACCCATCTCCATTGCGCCCTATAATGCCGGCCCACCCGTCTTCATTGCACCCCATATCACTGGCCCACTTGTCTTCATTGCACCCCATATCACCGGCCGGCTCGTCTTCATTGCACCCCATATCACCAGCCAACTCATCTTCATTGCACCCAATAATGCCGGCCGACTCGTCCTCATTGCACCTCCTTTACCGGCCCACCCGTCTCCATTGCACCTGCTATACCGGCCCACCCGCTTCCATTGCACCTGCTATACCGGCCCACTCATCTTAATTGCACCTTATTTACTGGCCCACCCATCTCCATTGCACCTGCTATACCGGCCCACCCATCTCCATTGCACCTGCTATACCGGCCCACCCGTCTCCATTGCACCTGCTATACCGGCCCACCCGTCTCCATTGCACCTGCTATACCGGCCCACTCGTCTCAATTGCACCCTATTCTCCGGCCCCCTCATCTTCATTGCACCTTATGTACCAGCCCACTCGTCTCCATTGCACCTCATTTACCGGCCCACTCGTCTCCATCACACCCCAGTTCCCCGGCCCACTCGTCTATATTGCACTCCATTCCTCCGGCCCACTCATCTATCACACACTGGTTTCACTACTACTATTCATAATTTCCTATATAGTACATTGCTATACTACCATCTATACTATATACACCTGGCCCATTCGTTTGCCTTGGACACTCCACCCCCTCGGCCCACTCATCTAACATGGTACAATTATTGCCATGGGCCGGCACCAGGTGGCCCGTCTCTATCGGCACATTGTCACGCCCAGCTGCCCATCTGAGACGGGTATATGTTACTGCATTATGTGCATCATCACGATTCTATGCGCCGAGTGATTTGAGCGGGATTGGTGGTATGCGTGTTGAACACATCTGTTCTTGCTCCATCTGGTGGAACGAGTACTAGCGCTATGACTGTGTTTTCGTCAACACAGACTCCAGTTTGCCTGGCATGCAGGGCCTCGAAGTCGCCCGTGTTCGTGCATTTTTCTCATTCAGGTACCGGGGCAGGTTATATCCCTGCGCTCTAATAAGCTGGTTCGACAAAGTTGGCGACACCCCAGATGAAGATACAGGAATGTGGATAGTTCGTCCTGGATATGGAGCAGACGATGCTCCAGAGTACGCGGTCATTCATATTGACTCTATTTATCGTGCTGCGCATCTTATTCCCATGTATGGCATGCAATTTGTGCCCCGGGAGCTCAAATTTTATCATTCATATGATGTATTTCAAGCCTACTATGTGAACAAATACGCTGATCACCATGCATTCGAGATTGCATTTTGACTTCACTTTGTTTTGGATAGCGTGTAGCTACTTAAACACAATTTGACTATATACTACTATTTTCTTTCTGAACATGCCTTATTTCTCTTTGCACCGACAATTTCACTTAGCCACTCTGTGGCGCCTTTGAGGACACCCAATTAACACTCCTTGTATTCATTTTCGCGCCAAAGCGGGTAAAGTGAGATAATAGCAGAAAATAGAAGTGAGGTTTTACTGATGCAGGATGTACTGTTTCGTACAGTTCAACACCTGTACAAACTCTGGATAGTCCTTATACGCGCGCGAGTCTCACGTGTCACAATTGCACAACGTTTTGATGGGTCTAGGTATGCCTGTCTGACGACAGCTCCTTCGGTGAACCCTAGCGCTTACCTTCTACTCCGTCATAATATAGATCGATTATATTCCCTCTAGTTGGCTCGCCTGGAGACTGCACATGGCACCACTTGTGTAGACGGCTGCTTTTGCCTGACGCTCATCTCCTCACCCTCGACTGATCTATCCGATATTCATTCCCCTTGGAACGGATGCACGAAGCACATACATTTCCTCCTATCAATATCATGTTCATCACCTCCATCATCATCTCGATCTTCTGTGGATGAAGCATTTGGATTTGGATGCACGCAACGAATCCGTGTTCAACCATCTCGACTGCACCATCGTCAAGATTGGCATTCCGGTGCCACCAGTGCAACTATGATCATCAACAAATCTCCATGCGCTCATCAGCGCCCGGAACACATTGTCCCTAATAAAAACCTGTATTAACTTGTTCCTCTACAACCGCAAACTGTCCTGCTCTACCGCCTCTCCTGAGGCCTGGATGGCCACTCTTGTCAAGCGAGACGTGTTTGAATTCTAACTTGTACAACAGACAGTCTCGAGAGCATAGTCATGATTGGATTGTAGGTAGCAAGTATATAATGTTTCGTGACAACAGAGTTGTGAATGAAATCCTCATGCAAACCCACAATGACCTTTGTGTAAGACCGAGGCACTCACTGCAGTACAACAAAGGGGAAGTACATATTAGTGAAGCAGTCGTGGATTGAGAAATAGTCAAATTCTGTGTGGGATGTGCGTAATCTGCATTGTACTGTACTTCTATGAGCGTATACATGCAAGGCACGACATGGGGGAGATAATATTGTCATGAAGAAAGTGCAGCCTTCGGTTCCTGGCACCTGTGCCATGATGCACCGTGTGCAACACAACTTAGGTCCAGCTGCAAGATGTTGTTGGGTATCACTAGCACGTTTCCCCGGGCGTATGTCGCCGGGTGGAAATTGAGTGGGATGCAGACGAGAAGTCGTCCTTCGGGACCTACAACCCATCCCTGCTCGTTCGGGCCGGAAGGTGCTGGAGTTTCAGAATCTTCGAGAAAGGAGGAGGCGGAATGAAGGGCATGAGTCGGGTTGGACGAGAAACAAATTGCGGGTGCTTCGAAGGGTTGGTGCTGGGTAAGGAATTCCAGATCCCACACCCGGATGGTCTTGTCAGAAGAACCAGACACACCATATTTGCCGTCCGGCGAGATTGCGACTGACCAAATATGTCCAGTGTGCCCTCGGATAGAGGCACCCACTGCCTCCCTGGTCTTCATATCCCACACCCGGATGGTCATGTCAGATGAGCCGGACACGATGCGGTCTCCATCTGATGAGATTGCAATGGAGTTAATGTAATCAGTGTGGCCTTGGAGAGCAGCGCCTAATGCCTCGCCAGTCCGAATATCCCACATCCGGATGCTCTTGTCGGCTGAGCCAGAAACAATGCGAAGCCCATCCGGCGAGATTGCGAGAGAGTAGACCCGATCAGTGTGGCCTTGGAGGGGGGGACCAACTGCCCCACCAGTTCCCATATCCCAAACCCAAATTGTGCGGTCATCTGAACAAGACACAATGTATTTTGCATCCGGCAAAATTGTGACAGATCGAACATGGTCGATATGCCCATCGAGAGGGGCATCCAATACCTTGCCAGTCTCCATATCCCACACCCAAACCTCCTCGTCATCTGAACTAGACACAATGTATGTCCCATCGCATGAGATTGCGACAGAGTTAACAAAGTCAGCATGCTCTTCGAGAGGAGTACCCAATGCCTCGCCGGTCCCCATATCCCACATCCGGATGCTCGTGTCCGCTGAGCCAGACACGATGCGACTTCCATCTGGCGAGATTGCGACCGACTGAACGGAACCAGTGTGCCCTCGGAGAGGGGCACCCAATGCCTCGCCCGTCTCCATATCCCACACCCGAACAGTCGTGTCGGCTGAGCCAGACACGATGTGATGTCCATCCGGCGAGATCGCAACAGAGTTAATGGTGTCAGTGTGACCTTGAAGGGTGGCGCCCAATGCTTCGCCAGTACTTGTGTCGGCATCCCACACCCGAACTGTCTTGTCATCTGAACCTGACACTATGTGATTGCCGTCCGGCGAGATTGCGACAGAAAAAACAATGCTAGTGTGCCCTTGGAGAGGGGATCCTAATGCCTCCAGAGTGTCCGCATTCCATACTCGGATTGTCTGGTCATATGAACCCGACAAGATGCAATCTCCATCCGACGAGATTGCAACGGAGAGAACTCCTCTGGTATGTCCCTCGAGAGGGGCACCAAATGCCTTGCCCGTCTCCATATCCCACACCCGGATGGTCTTGTCATGAGAGCCAGATATGATATGAGTTCCATCAGGTGAGATTGCGACAGATCTAACTGAGTCGGTATGGCCATGGAGAGGGGCGCCCGATGCTTCGCCGGTCCCCATATCCCACACCCGGATGGTCTTGTCATCTGAACCAGATATGATGCGCTTCCCATCTGGTGAGATTGAGACAGAGTAGACATAACTAGTGTGCCCTTTGAGAACTAATGCTTTGCCGGTCTCTACATCCCACACCCGGATTGTGTTATCCAATGAACCAGATACAAGGCGAGTTCCATCCGGCGAAATTGCGACAGACAAAACGAAGCTAGTGTGTCCTCGGAGAGGGTCACACAATGCCTTGCCACTCGCCACATCCCACACCCGGACTGTCTTATCCCATGAACCTGACACGATGCGCGTTCCATCCCGCGAGAATGCGACAGACGCAACACATTCAGTGTGGCCTTGGAGAGGGGCACCCAATGCCTCGCCGGTCTCCATATCCCACACCTGGATAGTTCCGTCCTCTGAACCACAGACGATGCGTTTTCCGTCTGGCGACATTGCAATCGACCAAACTTCGGATTGCCCGCAGAGTATCTTTTCCATCTGAGGCCACTTTGCGACATGGCCGGCAACAATGCGGGGGGTGCGAGGGAACTTTGTGGCGAACTTTTGAAATATTCTCGATTGGGTTGGGGCGAACGGCAGAGCAGACAGGTATAAATGAGGAGTGCTGTGTAGAATGGTGGATGCAAAGGTTCGAACGAAGCGCAGAGTGTCCCTGGCAGCGTCACGGATATGAGTATAGTCGACATGACCCTATGATCATCCCACTACTTGTAAGAATCTATTTGTCTTGAGAATAGGTTCGAGCCACGCACCGTGAACCAGTCTGATACAGACGTGAGGCACCCCACCCCCGAACCGCCAAGGCTTTTCATCAGAGACATCACTTCCAACCACCAAAGGAGGCGCTCTCCGTCGAAGAAACCTTCAATTTCCTGAGCGAGCGAGGGTTCAAGGGACGTAGCGCCCACATGTGTCCCCCAGAATCGACACGCATATGGTAGCTCAACCGGAATGGAATCTTTGACTCGTTTCTCCAAGTCAGGGACGGCAGAATTGGGTAGGTAAGAACTCTCCAATGAGCAGATGTTGAAGCGAAGTCCGCGCTCCATGACCCGAAGCGAGGCAAAGGCAAGGTCGCTTTGTATCGATGACACATCAATGAAGAAGTCGCGACTGCGCGATGTGTCTTGAAGAAAGTCGTAGAATGATGCGTGGAGGGGTCGTATGGGAACATGACAATCCGAGGTGCCAGTGACGAGCCAGCCTAGATGCACCATGAGCAGGTTCACATCATACTGGTCATCATCGCATGGGAAATGCTGCCGTATCACGTTCAAGGCAGAGATAGGAAGAGGCTCCGACGATGCAAGAATTTGCCCCATTACAGAGCGAAAGATAGGCATCGTTTCCTCGCGCATATCCTCTGGCATGATTTCTGCCAAGATCCGTTGGTACATCTCGTCCAACAACTGTGCTCCTTTGGCGGAGGTTTCAGAAAGCTCACGGAAACGGCTCATCGGGCCTCGGCTGACAGTGTTCCTACTCTTGATGTATTCACAAGCAAGACGAGCCCATTCGAATAGGCCATCAGATTTCTGAGCGAGTGTCTTGAAGTGAGTGTCATCGAAGATATTACGCAGATCTTTCAATCTATCGGAAAAATAAAGCTGGATGTCATGTTCTGTGGATGCAGATGAGATGTCATCCAGGGAGATGTGACGTATGTGTGGTACGGCGTGCAAAATCTGGTGAATGTCGTCCAGTAGACGTGATGTGACGAGAACACGGAAGTTTGCTGGGAGTTCGGCTAGTTGTGAGGAAGAACCGTTGGGCTTGCCGGCAAGTACATGAAGGATGTGTTCCCGGGAATTTGCGTCACCACTCTCATCCAACGCCTCGATGATGATCAACACAGATGCAGTAATGGCCGGGTGAATGTCGTCCAGTAGACGTGATGTGACAAGAACATGGAAGTTTGCTGGGAGTTCGGCTAGTTGTGAGGAAGAACCGTTGGGCTTGCCGGCAAGTACATAAAGGATGTGTTCCCGGGAATTTGCGTCACCACTCTCGTCCAGCGCATCGATGGTAATCAGCACGGGTGCAGTGATGCCTTTGGAAGCCTCGCCAAGTGGGCCTGCGAGCAACTCCTGCCATTGTCTTGAGATGTCGTTGGTGTGCTTGAGCTCATTGTTATTATGAACTGCACACGCCAATGCTTCCCGCATGATTGGATCGCAATCAGCTAAGTCGCGTGCGATGGTGGTGAATATCTTTTCGTGGCAGCCTTCGGTTTTCTTTGTGTGGTCGAAGCAGAAACAAGCCCGTATGTCAACGCGCTCATCCCAGTTGGCTATCGTATGGGCGATGGCTGATTTGCCTTTCCCTGCGGTGCCAGTCAACCATAAGACGCGCGGCACATCCTTCTCCGTGCTGTGGATCCAGCACTTGATTTCAGACAGGATGTCTTCCCGGGTACCTGGGAGACAATTCTTGGAGGTATTCCGTCCAGCACCAGCCACACACGCCATGCCACCAAGATCCGAGTCCTCGGCTGGATCACCAATCGTCAAAGTCAGACAAGAGCTCAGAGACCTTAAAGCCAACTCTTACAGAGACGATCAAGAGTTGTGGTGTTGTGAACAGTCACTTTATCTCAGAACTGCTGCATGAGATTATCGAGAACCTCGCTGTGCCTTTGGATCGTGGCCTCTGTTTCGTCGAAGATCTGTTTGCGCAATCTTGTCCCTTTAAAGAGAGACTGAGTCTTGCGCGAGAACGCGGTGGAAAGAACTCACAGAAACTCTTGACCTCCGAGTAACGGACGATGAAGTTGGCGGACTCTCGCATTTGTAGCGCGATTTTTGTACATATCTCTAGCTTGGATGCGATACTGGCTAATTGCTCTCCTTCCATCAGTAATTCGTAGACTTCTGATATCTTCTTGAGCAGACGGTCAACAGCGTCATCACGGACTGCCTGATCAAGAATCATCTGCCGCATTCTTAATAACCTGCAAAGTGAGAGAATATGGAGACAAGCTCACCTTAGACGCGCAGGTGAATATACTCAATACCGCCTGAACATAGGGATGGACCTGTACAAGAAGGTCAATGACGTACAAAATATAGATAGGCGCCTGTACATCTGCAAGTCCGTTAGCAATGGAATTGAACGTCTTCAACGGTCCAAGAATTCCGGATAACGTGTCGATCGCGCCAGGAACAGTTTGTAGTATGTTGGATGTTGAGGCTATATTTTGGGTCGTTCCTGAGATATTATTCATGCCCCCCAGACCCCTGGCGGCGTCGGTGAGTATTTCCTTCATAGACGTTGGATCAAGGTGTTTGAGCTGATTACGGAACTTAGTACATTATCGAAAGAGAGATAAGAGTTGGACTTACGTCTGCAGCGCGTGAATCGGAAGCCTGGTTTGGAGCGGGAACTATGAGTGAAGAATCCTGCAGCAACAATTATTACACACAGGGAATACACAGAGTTGAGATTACACATACCTGAGTTGTTTGAGAGGGTGGGACAGGTTGTATGCTGGAACCTGCAGCTGCGGGTTCAGGGTGTGGCAATTTTTGAGTGCTTGAAGCAGGATGGCCCTTAATGACCTTGCGGAAGAACTTGCAAACCGGCCCTGGAGGTCCTCTGCGAGATTCATCCTGTGAAGGCGGGAGGGAAGACGTCTAGAATAACATTGTTACATATAATCGGAAGATGCAAGTGGAATGTTCATTACCTCGATTTCACTGGGTCTTCTCTCTGGCAGATGCGGGTTTGAGCGGCTTCGGCCTAGAAATCCGAAGAGCCTCTTCTTCCTCTGAGGATTCATCGAGTAAGTTTGCTGAAATTCCTGAGCCTAAAGAGGTCACTATGTGCAAAAGGGACGATGAGGATGGTGGATGGGACGCAGGGCGGACAAAGGCGGCTGGCAGCCGCGTGTGCGGAAGCGAACATGTATTAGGAAGCGCCTATTATCACAATGGGCCGAACTGAATCGCTGATTGGTTGATGGTGGAATCTTATCGAAGACAGACCTACTCACAAGTCACAGGCTTGGAAGGCCAAACTTTATTCATGACTAGTCCTGGTAGTACAACATATCAGTAGGTAGTGGTATGAGTGAGAAATGAAATTGACTCACCAGCGTGATTAGCTGATGAATTGGATTGATGACCTTCCAAGCAACGCTGAAGGGCCGATGCACACAGAACTAGGTGAGTGAACGATAGAGATTCAAATAGTGCTTCAAACTTTCTACTGGACGTCGGAGACCTACAGTAATGCATACAGATTCCAGAAATATGCTGTTTCAAGTGACCGCCGCATCCTCTCCACCAATGGGATCACTCACTTCAGCGTTCAAGAAGCTTTAAGCATGAACATAGGCAAGTAGTGGAAGCAGCAACCTCATAATTGTTGGAGATGGAATTTCAAATCTAGTCCTGATGCCCCGCGTTGGCCGCCCCCTCCCCTTCCCCCCATTGTCACTAGGAATGTGTTTCAGTCGATTCAGACGTCCCGGGAATCACGATGCAGGCTAGCATGAAGACTAGTTTTGATATGGAGAGCAGACAGCAGCGTTCTAGTGTCTATCATCCGAAGCTCTGAGTCGACGAAGCCCCGCCTTTATTTGTGCATGCTTGGTTTTTACCCCGAAGAATCGACCCCGCTTTTATAGTTTCACCCTCAACTATCAACTGCCCAAGGTTTTAAGACTGCGCTCGTCCTGCTCTCATCCACAAGGTCACCTCATTCACCCCATTTGCCACGTCGAACATGTCCTCTAGCGCGAAGAAACGTCAACGGGAACCTGAGGACTGGGATTACGCTGATCTTAGTGGGCCAGACCCAATGTACAAGAGGACAGCACCAGCATGCATCCCCGCGTCATCATCTACCACCTTTAGGGTCAACACCACCATCAAGGGCCCCGATCCGAATCTAATGTCTTATAGTTCTACTTTTGATAGCAAGGCTCCTTATAGCTATCCTTACACCCCTCCTGCCACTGCCGCGATGACGATGCCATCTGTTCCATATATTCATCTTACAATTACGGTTACCCATACTCCCAACCTACCCATTCTCACGTGCAGCCTCTTCCTCCAGTTCAAAGGCCCTGCCCCCTCCTGTCAAGAAGAAAGACCCTAATGAGCCTATGTCGGCAGCACTTCAGTTCTGAACCTATACATAGATTCGAAGGAACCCAACCTATTAATAGCGTTGTCAAAGTCGAGTCTACTTTCGATCGTACCTTGCGAGTCTCTGTCACAAGCAGTCAAATTGCTTTAAACACGTTCCTGTTTGGGGAACAATTACCAAACTCCCACCGGTGACCGCATGCGGGAAGACGCGCCAAAGAAGCTGCTTCGTCCCGCAGATCCAAGGACGTTGAGTGCAGCTCAATTCGCTGCGGTTTATACCGTGCACGGGGCGTGGCGCCCATTTTTGGTGCTCGATGGGATGCCGTACCCAACGATCGATGATGAGTGCGTACCATGTGGGTGCGCGCATCTCATTGTGAAGCTGGATGATAATGGGGAGTTGTTCGATACAGTGATCGTTGTGGGCGCGCTTGGTGCACAAATCTGCTCGAATGATAAGTCGGAGCTCTTTAGGAATGGGATGCGGGATAGTGTAAGGCCTGTGGTGGGATATTGGTATTTCATCACCGGGGCGGGGTGATTCCTACTGTGCGTTGTTGTGTTGCTCGTACTTATTCTGCGTTTCTCAGCTTCGTGACATCTATCTTACGTGGAAGCCATTTTGCTTACTTGCTGTGATTTAGCAGATAGGATTACTGCCTGCCATGTTGAAAGTTTCAGGCTGTTCAACTCTTCCCAGAATACCGTACAACATCATCTTTGAATTTGAAGATCTATGTACTTATACTTGGCGAAGAAAGGATCTAAACAAGATTCTAAGCCAGGCTGATATGGATGAAGTTCTAGTAATAGACAGTTCCATGTCCACGCGATCATCCTCGATAAGCAAGTGCTTTCAACTGATTGCCTCGTGTTCCGTAGGTTTGTCATCTTCCCTAGTCTTACCTCAACCATCTGCCTGCAGGCTGTCTGTCTTCGCCTCCGTGTTATTGTATCTGGCCATCTACAATCTGCGAGGCTGTGGCAGGCTCGGTCACGAGGACTAGGTCGATCTTGCAAGACCCCCCTGATGACATTCTCGTCGTAATATTCAACGTACTGGACGAAGCGACCCTCATAGCATACGACAATGTAGGTCTCATTTTCACTACTGATCACATTTATTGACAAGTTTTCCTCTTCAGGTATCAGACCGCTTTCACGATATCATTCAGTCCGTTCCTCAGCTTGCGTACCGATTTTCTCTGAAAGCGGCTGGTATGAAAGAGAATGCTGTTCTCGATGAAGCTACCGCGTCTCAGCGTCTTGCCATGTTTCGAAATAACATTTGCGCCTGGCTGGAGCCGGTGGTGGTCACTATGTCACCTTTACGCTCTAATATTGAAGCTGCCTGGCAATGAGAAAATTAAAACAACGGACTCTTCGGTGATGTTCTCTGGGAGAGGCTTCCATACTTAGATTCGAAGGAACCTAACCTAATGATAGCCGGTACCGAACGTGGGCCGTGAGCTGCCATGAGTGCTTTCTTTTGAGGTACAGTTGTTCGCCATTATTCTGGGTGATCAAGCTCTTTATCACATGCACAAATATGCAGCTGAAAACGGTTTGAAACTGCAGTAAAAATGAGATGCGCTGTCGGAAAGTCGAGTCTATTTTCAACCGTACCTCGCGAGTCTCTGTCACGAGCAGTCAAATTGCTTTAAAAAACACGTCTGTTTGGTTTTGTCCAAAATAAAACGGGGGGTGAATAAGGAACAGTTACCAATCAGTATGGAGGACGGAAAGGCATAGCAAATATTAGGCAGAGCTGTTTCGAAGAATCAAACACTAGTACCCAGTCATTTGTTCGGTCACATGTTTAGGAGCCTCTGCGAGTACCGAAGCCATGTCGCTGCGGGTAGATATTCAAACCTGGGCTCAGGAATGAGGAGCGACTTGCGTATACAATGGTCAATCGCTATAACTTTACAAAATTCAAAAGCCATCACTAGCGATAAACCGTTCATCAAGCTTAAGGACAAGGCATGTCGATATTAATGTTGGTGAAAAAGCCAGTGGTCACGTTATCGTGCATCTTTGTCCTATAGCGCACTTTGCACCACATTATCACCCATTGAAGTACTTGCCACCCACCGATGACGCTTCTTCATCTCACCCGTCAAATTGAGTCATGCGTAGAAGAGGAAGGAGAACCCAAGCTTGATCGCCCCTCCCTCTGTTCAAATATCGTGAGTCCTTCATGGGCAAACCGTCAACGTTGTTGAACCTCCATAGGTGTTGACCTCACATCCATCGGTAACGAGGATCATCATTGCAGGTTCAAATTGAAGCTCCCGCAGCAGAGCACCCTCCTTTGCTCTACACTATTCACCAACCCTCCCTTCTCGCATGAGGACCTCCGGCACTCCCACGGAGGAGATCTCCCAGCTACTAGTACACCAGGAACTTGAGTTCATGCCCCGCTGGAAGAAGTTCGAACAAGGAGGAGCTCGAGTCTGCACCCCGCTGGTAGGTCTTCCAGCCCCCCTCCGCCCGCAACTGAAATCTTACGCCGCTTGACATTGATCACGACGACCTTCCTCCCGCGTCTGTCCCTTTACACCACTGCCCTGACAGCATGTGCAATACAATGGACGAAGCCGAAGATACAGATGAGATGTGTCCGCCCCACTCTTCGCTCGCTGTGCTGCGATTCAGAAGACAAGGCGCCAAGAAACGGGTCCCGTCAGCCGCGTCGCAAGTGATGGCTTGCAGGCAGTGCACGAGGCTTGGGAGGTAGGGGCGTTAGTGTGTACTGCGAGAGGTGAGGGGCGTGGCAAGTGAAGCCAGTCTTTCTTGTGTTTATCACCTTCGCTAATGCTTCGTTGGTTTGCAGGTGTCACAGAGGCAGGTGTACCTTGCCGATTTTCATCACTCTCGGATGGAGCTGGGGACTAAGACTCAGGATGTACTGTTTCGTACAGTTCAACACCCGTACAAACTCTGGATAGTCCTTATACGCGCGCGAGTCTCACGTGTCACAATTGCACAACGTTTTGATGGGTCTAGGTGTGTCTATCTGACGACAGCTCCTTCAGTGGACCCTAGCGCTTACCTTCTACGTCGTAATATAGATCGACTATCTTCTCTCTAGTTGGCTCGCCTGGAGACTGCACATTGCACCACTTGTGTAGATGGCTGCTTTCGCTTGACGCTCATCTCTTCACCCTCGACTGATCTATCCTTATATTCACTCCCCTTGGAACGGATGCACGAAGCACATCCATTGCCTCCTATCGATATCATGTTCATCACCCCCATCGTCATCTCGATCTTCCGTGGATGAAGCATTTGTATTTGGATGCACGCAACGAATCCACGTTCAAACCATCTCGACCGTACCATTCATCAAGATCCATTGATATTCTGGTGCCACCCAGGAGTGCAACCACGATTATCGACGAATCCCAATGCACTCATCAGCGCCCAGAACGCATCGGCCCTAACCAACGCTATTAACTTCTCGCTTTCCAACCGAAAAACGGCCTCCTCTATGGCCTCCCCCAAGGCCTGGATGGCCACCCTTGTCAAGCGAGACGTGTTTGAATTATAACTTGCACGGTGGAGTCTCGGGAGCATAGTAATGATTGGATTGCAGTATGCAGGTAGCAGGTATATAATGTTTCGTGACAACAGAGTCGTGAATGAAATCCTCGTGCAAGCCCACAATGACCTTTGTGTAAGACCAAGGCACCCGCTACAGTACAGCAAAGGGGAAGTACACATTAGTGAAGCAGTCGTGGATTGAGAAATCGTCAAATTCTGTGTAGGATATGCGTAATCTGCATTGTACTGTACTTTTATGAGTGTATGCATGCAAGGCACGACATAAGGGAGATAATATTGTCACGAAGAACATGCAGCCTTCGGTTCCCGGCACTTGTGCCATGATGCACCGTGTGCGAGACAACTCAAGTCCAGCTGTAGAGCATTCAAGTAGGGTATCACCAGCCTGCTGCCTGGGGGATGTATTACTGGGTGGAAATTGAGTGGGATGCAGACGAGAAGTCGTCCTTCGGGACCTACAACCCATCCCTGCTCGTTCGGGCCGGAAGGTGCTGGAGTTTTAAAATCTTCGAAAAAGGAGGAGGCGGAATGAAGGGCATGAGTCGGGTTGGACGAGAAACAAATTGCGGGTGCTTCCAAGGGTTGGTACTGGGTAAGGAATTCCAGATCCCACACCCGGATGGTCTTGTCGTCTGAACCAGACACGACGTATTTGCCGTCCGGCGAGATTGCGACTGACTGAATACATGCAGTGTGCCCTCGGATAGGGGCACCCACTGCCTCCCCAGTCTCCATATCCCACACCCGGATGGTCATGTCATCTGAGCCGGACACGATGCGGTCTCCATTTGACGAGATTGCAATAGAGTTAATCTTATCAGTGTGACCTTGGAGAGCGGCACCTAATGGTTCGCCAGTCTGAATATCCCACATCCGTACGGTCTTGTCGGCTGAGCCAGACACAATGCGAAGCCCATCCGGCGAGATTGCGACAGAGTAGACGCCGTCAGTGTGGCCTTGGAGAGGGGCGCTCAATGCCTTGGTAGCCTTGCCCGACCCCATTTCCCACACCTGAATGATCCCATCCCCGGAACCAGACACGATGCGAGTTCCGTCTGGCGAGATTGCGACCGACAAAACAGAATTAGAGTGCCCTTCGAGAGGCGCACCCAATACCTCTCCAGTCTGCACCTCCCACACCTGGATTGTGTGGTCATCTGAACCAGAAATGATGTGTCTACCATCCTGTGAGATCGCGATAGACCGAACCCAGTGCGTGTGCCCTTGAAGTGGGGGACCCAATGCCTCACCAGTCCCAATATCCCACATCCGGATGCTCGTGTCCCCCGAGCCAGATACAATGCGACGTCCGTCCGGCGAGATTGCGACCGACTGAACGAAATGAGTGTGCCCTTGGAGAGGGGCACCCAATGCCTCGCCCGTCTCCATATCCCACACCCGGACGGTCTCGTCGGACGAGCCAGACACGATGCGATGTCCATCCGGCGAAATCGCAACAGAGTTAACAGAGTCTGTGTGAACTTGAAGAGCGGCGCCCAATGCATCGCCAGTACTTGTGTCGGCATCCCACACCCGAATTGTCCTGTCCCATGAACCTGACACTATGTGATTGCCATCCGGCGAGATTGCGACAGAATAAACAGAGCTAGTGTGCCCTTGGAGAGGGGATCCTAATGCCTCCCCAGTCTCCGCATTCCATACTCGGATTGTCTGGTCATCTGAACCAGACAAGATGCGATTTCCATCCGACGAGATTGCGACAGAGAAAACTCCCTCAGTATGTCCTTCGAGAGGGGCACCCAATGCCTGGCCCGTCTCCATATCCCACACCCGGATGGTCTTGTCGTCAGAGCCAGATATGATATGAGTTCCATCAGGCGAGATCGCGATAGATGTAACTGAGTCGGTGTGGCCGTGGAGAGGGGCACCCAATGCTTCGCCGGTCCCCATATCCCACACCCGGATGGTCTTGTCGCCTGAACCAGACATGATGCGCTTCCCGTCTGGTGAGATTGCGACCGACTGAATGGATTTAGTGTGCCCTTTGAGAACTAATGCTTTGCCGGTCTCTACATCCCACACCCGGATTGTCTCATCCCATGAACCAGATACAAGGCGAGTTCCATCCGGCGAAATTGCGACAGACAAAACCCCGCTAGTGTGTCCTCGGAGAGGGTCGCCCAATGCCTTGCCACTCGCCACATCCCACACCCGGACTGTCTCATCATATGAACCTGACACGATGCGCGTTCCATCCCGCGAGAATGCGACAGACGCTACACATTTAGTGTGGCCTTGGGGAGGGGCTCCCAATGCCTCGCCGGTCTCCATATCCCACACCTGGATAGTTCCGTCCTCTGAACCACAGACGATGCGTTTTCCGTCTGGCGACATTGCAATCGACCAAACTTTGGATTGCCCGCAGAGTATCTTTTCCATCTGAGGCCACTTTGCGACATGGCCGGCAACAATGCGGAGGGTGCGAGGGAACTTTGTGGCGAACTTTTGAAATATTCTCGATTGGGTTGGGGCGAACGGCAGGGCAGACAGGTATAAATGAGGAGTGCTGTGTAGAATGGTGGATGCAAAGGTTCGAACGAAGCGCAGAGTGTCCCTGGCAGCGTCACGGATATGAGTATAGTCGACATGACCCTATGATCATCCCACTACTTGTAAGAATCTATTTGTCTTGAGAATAGGTTCGAGCCACGCACCGTGAACCAGTCTGATACAGACGTGAGGCACCCCACCCCCGAACCGCCAAGGCTTTTCATCAGAGACATCGACTCCAACCACCAAAGGAGGCGCTCTCCGTCGAAGAAACCTTCAATTTCCTGAGCGAGCGAGGGTTCAAGGGACGCAGCGCCCACGTGTGTCCCCCAGAATCGACACGCATACGATAGCTCAACCGGAATGGAATCTTTGACTCGTTTCTCCAAGTCAGGGACGGCAGAATTGGGTAGGTAAGAACTCCCCAATGAGCAGATGTTGAAGCGAAGTCCGCGCTCCATGATCCGAAGCGAGGCAAAGGCAAGGTCGCTTTGTATCGATGGCACATCGACGAAGAAGTCGTCACTCCGTGACTCATCTGTGAGGAAGTCGTAGAAGGATGCATGGAGGGGGCGTATGGAATCTGTGGCGGTGAGAAGCGAGCTGAGTGGCCCAATGACCCGCTCTACTTTGTAACGAGCACGCTCGTCGGGAAAATGCAGACGCATCTCGGTCAACGCAGCCACGGGAAGCGGTTCACATGACGCGATAATTTGCCCCATAACAGAGCGAAATATCGGGAGCGTTGTATCACGCCAATCTTCTGGCATGCTGTCTGCCAAGATGAGTTTATACATAGCATCCAACAGAGGGATTCCTTTTCCAGTTGTTGCAACTACGGCTTCGAAAAGCTCCATCGGATCTGGGCCCACTGTGTTCCGATCGCTGATATACTTGCAGGCGAGACGAGCCCATTCAAAGAGGCCATCAGATTTCTGAGCAAGTATCTTGAAGTGCTCAGCGTTGAATGGGCCTTTTAGCATGGTGGAGATGTAAGATTCGATGTCGCGTTCTGCAGACTCGAGAGCGATTTCATCCATAGAGATATGATAGACGTGTGACGCGGGTTTCAGGGCATCCGCAATGTCTCTGAGTGGACGGGAGGTGACGATGATACGAATATTTTCCGGAAGTTGGGATGGTTGAGGGGAAGAAGTGTTCGGGTCACTAGCAAGCAGACGGAGAATTTGTTCTCGAGTTTCAGCGTTACCACTCTCGTCCAACGCATCAATGGTTATCAGGACGGGTGCAGTGATGGCCTTCGATGCCTCGCCGATAGGTCCTACTATTAATTCCTGCCATTGTCTTGAGATGTCGGTGGTGTCCTTGAGCTCGTTGTCATCATGAACCACACGCGCTAATGCTCCCCGCATGATTGGATCGCAAGCAGCTAAGCCCCGTGCGATCGTCGTAAATATCTTTTCATGGCAACGTTCGGCTCCCCTTGTACGATCGAAGCAGAAACAAGCATGCATGCCCCCGCGCTCGTGAGCCCAGTTGGCTATCGTATGTGCGATGGCTGATTTGCCTTTGCCTGCAGTGCCAGACAACCATAGGATGCGCGGCACGTCCTCCCCGGTGCTACGGATCCAGCACTGAATATCGGATAGAATATCTTCCCGAGTACCTGGGAGACATTTCTTGGAGGTATTCCGTCCGGCACGAGCCACACACTCCATGCCGCTAAGGTCCAAATTCTCAGCTGAGTCATCGGGCGTTGAGTGTCAGATAAGAGCTTAGAGATTTTGAAACCAGTTCTTACCGATACGGTGAACAGTTGCGGCGATGTCAATAACGACGTGGTCCCGGAACTGCTGCATGAGATTGTCGAGAACATTGTTGTAGTTTTGGATCGTGGCGTTCGTGTCATCGAATTTGTGCTTGAAAGCTCTTGCCCCTATACAGAGTCTGAGTTTTAGGCGACAAAACGGTGAAAAAAACTCACAGAAATTCTTCATCTCTGAATAATGGACGATGAAGTCGGCACACACTCGCGTTTGTTGCGCTATTTTTTCATGTATCTCCAGCAAAGATGGAATATTGGCCAATTTGTCGTCTTTAATCAGCAAAGCATAGACCTCTGAGATCTTTGAGAGCAGACTGGAAACGGCGTCATCACGGACGACTTGATCGAGAATTATCTGACATCAAACATTCTTATCAACCTGCGAACATGAAAACATGAAACAAGCGTACCTTGGACGCGTAAGTGAAGATACCCAATGCCAGCGTTGCATAGGGATGGAGCTACCCACGAAGATCAGCCACGCGAAAAATAGACATAGAGATAAACACCCCCGTACAGCTGCGAGTTCGGTAGCGATGGAGTTGAATGCCTTCAAGGGTCCAAGTATCGCGGAGAGCGAGTCGATCGTATTGGGATCGGACGGTAAGTTGTTGGGTACTGAAGCTGCATCTTGAACGCTTTTCGAGCCACGTGCGATGTCTTTGAAACCTGCTTCGGCATCCGCGAGCGCTGTCTCTACAGGCTTCAGGTCAGATGGTGGTTCGGGCTGATGATAGATCTTAGTAGATTATCAAAAGGGAGATATAGAGGGTTCAGGACGTTGTGAGAACATACCTTTGGAATCGCTAAATTAGAAGCCTGGTCCGGAGCTGCTTCGGGAGCGGGAGCAATGGGTGGTGAAGGATCCTGCTGCAACAATCATTGCACACGGGGAATGCAGAGTCGAAATTGCACATACCTGAGTTGTCTGAGAAGGTGGGACAGGTTGTACGCTGGAACCTACAGCTGCGGGTTCAGGGTGTGGTGATTTTTGAGCGCTTGAAGCAGGACGGCGCTTGATGACCTTGCGCAAGAACTTGGGAACCGGGAGTCCTTTGCGAGATTCATGCTGTGAAGGCGGGAGAGAGGACGTCTAGAACGACATCATTACACACAACCAGAAAACGTAAATGGGATGTTAATCACCTCGATTTCACTAGGTCCGCTCTCTGGTAAATGAGGATTTGAGTGGCTTCGGTCTAGAAACCCGAAGAGCTTCTTCTTCTTCTTGTTCTGAGGATTCATCGAGTAAGTTTGCTGAAAATTCTCAGCCCAAAGACGTCACTATATGCAAAAGGGACGATGAAGATGGTGGATGGGACGTAGGGCGGACAGGCGTCTAGCAGCTGCATGTGCGGAAGCGAACAGGTGTTAGGAAGCACCCATTATTGCAATGGGCCGGACTGAATCGCTGATTGGTTGATGGTGGAATCTTATCGAAGACAGACCTACTCGCCTTGGAAGGACAAAGTTCATTCATGACTAGTCCTGGTAGTACGACCTATCACTGTAGGTAGTGGTTGTGAATTGAATGTTCTGAGTACTTGAATAATTTGGATCGTTCCGCTGCTCAAGTCGGGCAACTCCCTCTGAGTCTTACCAGCAATCACTGCAAGCACATATGTAGTAAGGCTGCTCTTCTTTCACAAATTTCTGAAATGTACTCGCAGTTCTATTTCCGCTTCTGCTCATGCAAACAACTGAATATATCCTGCAGTAGTTCTCCAAGTCCATCAAAGTTCCGGCTTGTGGTACCTTGACCGACTTCCTCTGGCACTACCCTTAAGGTTCATCCAGCTCTACATCCCTCCCATGAACCGCCACTATGTCAAGTCTTACCATGACTAGAATTCGCCTCCCTCGACCAGTGTTTATTCTCTCTCTGAAGCGTTGTTTGTTTCGTCATACGCCAATGCTCAAAACTTCCTCCTGAATCCGACCCACCACCACCTTTTCTTCATTCCCCACGAGCAGCCAAGTACGAACCAACCGCTGCTACACCTAGTCCTGCCACGACTAGAACGCCGATAGTCGCATCATGATGTGATACGTACACGACAACCACGAATGTGTGAGTCGTCTGTTACCATCTTTTCTGCATTTCTGTTCACATAGAACATCAGCTCAACACCTCTAGGTATCCACTTACTTCCGCCCCCACCAACACCAACCTCACCCACCACTAGGCGCCGTCGTCTGAGGCATCCTTCTCGCGTCATGTTTCTTCTGCGCATGTTGCTGCAGGACACACGAGTTCGATGGGAACTTTCACCCCAATTGTGTCATCTGGCGTTGGCACGCTTCCCCAGGTCGACCACGCGTTACCGTCTCGATCATGGTGGAAGCGTCAGTACCGAGAGTACCAGCTGACGGTGCAGGTATCGGTGTCGGCTGCGTCATTTCCTCTCAGCTCCCCCTCGCATCAATCTGCAAATGCCTTGTCCTGTGACTCCGATGCTGCAGGCTCGCCCTCCCAACAACCCGTTGGACGCGTCCATATTTGAGATGTACAACCACTACATTCCCTGGGTTCGTCAGCGCTATCAGCAACACCTTTGGACTCTCGAGCCTCGGACTCGTTCGCGATCAGGAGTTGCTGCAACTCCGGAAATATCAACCGTGTTTGGCCCGCCTTGGCTATCATTGAGCCCGTCGATCTCAGACACCGTCCGAACCTCCATACACTTAATACCGCCTTTCCATTTTCACCAAACTCGGCAGCCAGGGTATGGACTGGGAACCTTGTCCTCCTGACGAACATGTACTGTATACATTTTATAGCTTGATGTATAGCTTCGAATTTAAATCGTATTTCTGTGATATGTATCTGCCCAACGTGTCACCACCTCGACATACATGTGCGACCAAGGAATATTCCCAGCGTGATCATACCTAGATCATTGATCACATTTTTCAGGCGCCTAAAACATCTTGCGGACAACGTGATGAACGTTACATCAGGGCAGAGAGACTAGGGTGCTCGAAGCTCCACGAATTGATCCAGCGTCACAACAGCTGCTGGACGTCGGAGACCTACAGTAATGCATACAGATTCCAGAAATATGCCGTTTCAAGTGACTGCCGCATCCTCTCCATCAATGGGATCACTCACTTCGGCGTTAAAGAAGCTTCAAGCATGAACATAAGTAAGTAGTAGAAGCAGCAATCTCATCATTAATATGTTAAAGATGAAATTCGAAATCTAGTCCTGATGCCCTGCGTCGGCCGCCCCCTCCCCTTCTCCCCCATTGACACTAGGAACGTGTTTCAGCCGATTCAGATGTTCCGGGGATCACGATGCAGACTAGCATGAAGCCTAGTTTTGATATGGAGAGCAGACAGCAGCAGCGTTCTGGTGCCAATCATGAATCATCCGAAGCTCCGAGTCGACGAAGCCCCGCCTTTATTTGTGCATGCTTGGTTTTTACCCCGACGAGTCGATCCCGCTTTTATAGTTTCACCCTCGACTATCAACTGCCCAAGGTTTTGAGACTGCGCTCGCGCACATCCACAAAGTCACCTCATTCACCCTATTTGCCACGTCGAACATGTCCTCTAGCGCGAAGAAACGTCAACGGGAACCTGAAGACTGGGATTACGCTGATCTTAGCGGGCCAGACCCAATGTACAAGAGGACAGCACCAGCATGCATCCCCGCGTCATCATCTACCACATTCAGGGTCAACACCACCATCAAGGGCCCCGATCCGAATCTAACGTCTTATAGTTCTACTTTTGATAGCAAGGCCCCTTATAGCTATCCTTACACCCCTCCTGCCACTGCCGCGATGACGATGCCATCTGTTCCATATTCATCTTACAATTACGGTTACCCGTACTCCCAACCTACCCAGTCTCACGTGCAGCCTCTTTCTCCAGCTCAAGAGGCCCTGCCCCCTCCCGTCAAGAAACAGAGGAAGAAGAAGAAAGACCCTAATGAGCCTCCGCCAGAGAAACGCGGTGCAATGTTCAAGAAAAAGTGCCCACAGAATATCCTCGATCGCGTAGATAGGGTCATGTCACAAAGGTAACGTGTTTCTCCTGCGTTCGATGGAGCACATCATCAATTACGACCAAGATTTTTCATGGTCGACAGGAAGCGTACTGGCGATGAGCTGCGTGAGGAGTTTAGCGTGTTAGGCTCTACGGGTAACGTGCGTGCTCTTCTATTCGGTCGTTTATCGCGCTCACTTGATGATAGGTGTATGCTGTCATCATCGACAAAACGCCGTCCTGCAACTGCACGTCGCGTTTTCTTTCAATTTCAATTAGCCCCTGACTCGGGCGCTTCACAGGTCCGGACGCCAGCAAGGGCAATCACTGCAAGCACATAGTAAGGCCGCTCTTGCTTCACAACACATTCCTTTCTAATCATCTTACGTTAAGTTGTTTATCTTTCTGAAAGGTACTCGCAGTTCTATTTCCGCTTCTGCTCATGCAAACAACTGAATATATCCTGTAGTTCTCCAAGTCAATCAAAGTTCCGGCTTGTGGTACCAGAAGTCAGTACCTTGCTTGAATACTGCATTCGCCTACTAAACTATCACGTATAGAGCACTTCTCACATCAGAGCTTCACGACCTATTTGCGCATGCGCCCCCGGCACCTAACTCTGTCATCAATCAGCGCGCCCGAGACGCGTATGCACGCGCCACTGGCACGGCTACTGCCTCCTCTGAAGAGTCTGGCCCCGTGAAAAAGCGCCGTGCGCCTGGTCCGGAGGATGACTGCCCCATCTGCTACGAGAGCATGCATGGCGCAGACGGGAACACCCTCATTTGGTGCGAGACTTGTTCAAATGCAGTGCACAAGGAGTGTTTCACACAGTGTATGCGTCATTTTTGTTACCAATTTAAGCGTGATCATGATCCGTTGACGTAGGGGCTAAATCCTGTGGACACAACATCACTTGCGTTTTCTGTCGCTCTTCATGGGTCGATGTTAGCACAGGTGGGCAAGCCTCTGGAAAAGGCAAAGCGACAGTGTCGGAGGGCTACATTAACCTCGGTGCCGTTGCGGGTTTGAATCAAGAGCGCGATACCAGCTCCTGTGCGTCTATTTCCACTACTTCCAATCTCTTCGGACTTTCGCCTCGCGACCCCTTTCACCTTTTTTCGTAAATCATGAACGCCTATCTTATTCGATCTAACCATCACTTGCTGTAGATTATCATGGCGCCAGGCGTGGGTATCGGCACTATGGTTATCAAGATTATGAAAACCTCTTTTAAGCCAAAGGACCAAGTTTTATCTTTCATACATATCCGTGATCCTGGTGCCTGATGTGATCTATCATATCGTACATATCTTTTACAATCTGCGTCCCCTCCATTCACAGTACGATGCCACTAAATTTCTCTTGATTACTCTATATACGATCGCGCCTTCGATTTTGCCGCCCTAATCGTTAGTGTACATGTCAACGATCAGTCCTAGTACTACTAGTAGTCGTATCATCCCAATCTTGGTTCCCTCATGCCTGCCTCGAGGCGCTCTCCAGTCATTTTCCAAACTAGGACCGGTGCGTGTTCTTTGATTATCGTGTCTTCTGATGCACGTTTTCGCGCAGTTTTTGATGTTGGCGCAGTCAGGCGACGTCAATCGCTGGGTGACGTACAAGAGCTTTTTGTGCGTCTTTACATGCACCTGTACATGTGTTCTTTCAAATCGGACTCTAGATCTAGGCCGACAGTGACCTCAGCTAGGTATCCTCTAAATCCTCTAAGCTCTAAGGATCGTGTAAATAAAAGATATCACCAACTCGACAGCTATTCAATGAGAGAACTGAGATACAGCAACATTGGGACATTTATCCCTCCTAGTATATGCCTTGTCCTGCGGCGCTTCAGCATTTGCCAAGACTACAAGTCCCATATCATGCAACTTCAGCACGACAGCCAACACCCACGGCAAGCACTCTCCGAACTCATCATTCTGAGGTGCAGGGACGGACTGCGCTGCTTCCTGCAGCTGCTCTAGAGTAACGGGGCCGGGGCTGACGTCTCTGATGCAGAGGAACGACGAGATGAACATGTCACCCTCGATGCGCTGGACTTCCAGACGGGGGACAGGTTGCGCTCGATGCGGATGTGGACGAGGCAGCCGAGGTGCGGCTGGTGGGGATGACGAGTCCGACGTGTGAGGCGCGTGCTTGAGCGAATCCTGCGATTTATAGTGATCCTGGGGTGAAATCTGCGATGGACATTGTGTCCTTGGATGAGTGTGAGATCTTAGATCTCAGGAGTCAGATGTTGCTACTTCTGTTTATCGTTTATCGAGAACGAGCTGGTTCTGCCAGTGAAGTAGAGGCTATTAGATAGGCCTAAATATGATTCAGTGGCTGGTGCCTCGAGAGAAGGAAAGGCTTATTTCGCCTTCTTAGAGACTAACCCTCTTGTGTTTTAGGTCTAAGATCTGGATAACAGTGACCCGGCTTGCCGCATTGACAAGTACCACTCAGTACTTAGTGTTGCCAACTTGCAGAGTCGTCTGGCTCAGCGCTTACTTGCTGAACGATTTCGATCGGCTGACTACGCTCAGGTACATGTAGTAAAAACCTCGCCAGTTCATTGGATAGTATACAAACAACTGAAAATGATCATTCCCGTGGGTGACTCAGTGAATGAGATAAGTGGGAAGATCGAGCGTACGTCGCCGCCTATGAACATCTTGCGGGTTGAACACTCTCCAGTAAAACCCCTAAATCTGAACTGCTAGTTGGACGTGCGCTGTATGCCATAAGTGCGCAATTTTAGTCGTAAGCACCGAAGGGATGCAAGGAAGGTTCAGCCTTTTGAGGATGGCCCAAGCTGCGGAGAGATCACCCTGATCCGATCAAGACTGTATTATGTAATCCCGGAGCCTCTTATTCACCGAACTTGCCAAGAAGTACACTGCTGCTACCGCTGACTCCAATGCCATCGGATTTCGAAACATCCAACCATTCTTTGGACAGCTTCATTCTGTTGCAATTTCAGGTTTAACGTAGCGAGTTGAGCTCCGCGTGGAACACAGAAAGCCTGATTTGTATGTTGACCCCCAGATGCTACCTACCGCCGTCATAGTCTCGGGGACTGCGCACCTCCGACTGTGTTCCATCACGAGAACATAATTAACCATCTTATAGAGACTGAGCGCTCTTTGACCTACATGTCAGACTCTGACAGATGGGCCGAGACTGCTTTTTCCACCAATTCATCGACCCCGTCACGGGCCGTCCGACTATAAAAGTCATGCTGTATCAATCCACAGCTTCTCACCTTTTCTCTTGAACCATGCTAAATCTCACTTGGGTCCGGCGAATTCTGCTTCGAACTGACACGCAGAAAAAGCAACCGTCGTTCCTTGAACGAAAGCTTGGCGTGTGGCGCATACTAATCGCCGCTGATACATCATCATCGTTCAGGCTTCCCAATCTTCAGTTGGGTCTTTTATCGACACATCTCCCCCTCTTGACCCGCGCATGCAAGGATGTTCACGCTATCAGCCCTACATTGTTCTGGCTCGTGATACTTTCACACCTCTGGTATGCAATTGAACCCACGCTGTCCCTTTACTTCTCAAATCGCCTTCTACTTCTCGTGGGTGAACTTCTTGGCTTGTGCTTGACATGTATATTAACTGTTCTCGAAGATTCAACGCTCTATCTTGCAAGGCAAGGTTCATACAAGTCTGGACACAGATTTGTGTATAGCCATCATCGCTCGGGCTTCATGCTCTGCGTTCAGTGGATTCGTAGGCTGGTCTTCGTAAGATTCCGTCGGGATGTGGTCGAGCTACTTTGATCATAGGCATCAATAGGAACAATGTAAAGGATCAATATCGCGTGCTCGTTGAGTGCCAACTCAAAGAGCGGTTACTTCGAGGTATGCTCACGCCACCTTCGTCTCAACACCATTAAAGTGTCTCGTTAGCAAATCTTGCGCGTGATCTAGCAACATCTCAAGGTCGGTGGAAGCCAGATTATTTACAGAATGATGAGGCTCAATTCAGATAAAAGATAACGAAGCACGTCTTACAGCCGACCCTGGGAGAGTCTTCGACTGCCTTGGACAATTCCTCGAGTTTGGACAGGAGGTCTTTTCGTTTTTGCTCCAATTGCGGCTATTGCTGCATTTTCTAGGCTCCGAATCTGCGAGTGCTGGACCTGTTTCGATAATATTGTGTTTTTTTCCCCTATTATTACAGAATGTAATGAACGACGACCTCTGGACCAAAGGTTTGTTCTCATATTAACATTATGTAGACTGACCTGACATCCGTAGGTTACGTGACACAGGCAGTCAACGGCGATTACTTGCGCAAAGAGGCTTTGTCCTTGCTTGCGGACAACACATACAAAGCTGAGGTGATGGGAAGCAATTTATTGGGCTATCTGTTAAAAGGTTGAAGCTTGATGCGTCTTTGAGGTTCACAGTCACTTACACCACTCTGGTACAGAGTACCAGAAGGTGCATGATGCACTCAGTCACGTACCTAACGGGGATGCCGAGAATCTGTGGACACGAACAACGACTGCTCTGCCTGATATGTTTTCGAACCTCTGCAATGATGGGCCTGTCGTGAGTTTCTTCAATTTTATGCACGCATGTTCCTGATGTATTGTTAGCTCTATGTTGGGCTGTTGGCACTCATGAATCCAAGCCAGGTATCTGTTGTTCAGCTGGCTATGCTAGAACAAACTTCCGCGCGTCTTCGGTGGACGTTTTATGTCGCCACGAGCACCATTAGAGTTTGGCCGAGTAGATTGGCCAGCCTGAGGAGTGTTTATAGACTTCTCGATCTTGAGAACAAGATGAAAGACGGCTGCATGCCGTATTCACCAGCAGCTGGCGCTTCGGGCGTGTCGTTAGAAGTTCGGTACGAATTTCAAGTTTCCTGTGACTGCCCCTCTTCATCGTTTCACTGTCAGGAACGTATCTTTCAGCTATCCCGGCAGCAAGTCTGAAAGAGATGCATTGAAAAATATATCTTTTTCGATAAAAGGAGGTCAACTGGTGGTTATCGTCGGTGCGAACGGGTCAGGTAAATCGACCATACTCAAGCTTCTGACTCGCTGCTACGACACCGCATCTGGGACTGTCTTGGTTGACGGATATCCCATCCAAGACTATCGAATTGCAGATTTGCGATCGGTGACGGCCAATCTGGCACAGGATCATACCATATTCCCCCTCTGTTTGAGAGAGAACATCGGGATTGGGTCACCGTCGTCTGTAACAGACCTTGACAAAATTGCTCAAGCGGCAAAGTTAGCTGGTGCTCAGGGCATCATTGAGAACTTCACCGATGGATATGACACCGTCCTTGAACCTGTTAAGACGGCCTATCTCAGTTATGCAGGGAAAGGAAATGAGGCCTTAGAAGAGGAGTACGAGAAGATGGAGAAATCAGCTACCGTGTCTGGTACGTCTCGTCCTCCAATATGGTGCGTGTACTGATGATGTGTAGGCGGAGAGAAGCAAAGATTGGTTGCGTGAGTCTACTCAGCCCGCCTCATTGAAGCTTAACTAACTCGCTCAGCTCCCGGACCTTTATGCGTATGCTAGTCCGAGGACATCAAGCTTGTAACAGTCGACGAAGCCAAGCTCTGCCCTCGACCCAGAAGGCGAGTACGAACTATTTAAGCAACTCAGAGAAGCACGCCAAGGGAGAACCATGATATTCGTCACGCACCGTTTTGGGCATCTCACCAAATTTGCCGATCTCATCTTGTATGCATTCCTATTCATTGTCGCCTTACCTTCTGATGTGAACTATGAACCAAGGTGTATGAAGGAAGGGACCGTGGTTGAGACGGGAACGCACCAGGAACTGATGGACCGTCAGGGAGAATATGCCCACTTATACAATGTCCAAGCACAAGCTTTTACTTGAGAGTGGAGACTTATGGAGTCCTTGACGGTTCTCATGCAATTGAAGCTGGTATGCAGCCGAAATGTGCGATTGTGCCACCAACTTGTAGTAACTTCAATATACAACATAGATCAAGATTTGATGATACCTCAATAGAAATTGTTTGATTTTCCTAGGACGTTCTCCGAGTGCTGGCATTGAGCAGCGCAACAATTTTTTCTGTGGGACTGGCAGCTACACCGGGAGACTGATGAAAAAGTTGAGTCATGTTGGTCCAATGGCATTATACGTGGGTTGAAAATGTTGATGCTATCAACGGTCTTTGGGGTTTGTCCATTATGACGCGGAAGGGTTCCTAAGACATTCAAGAGAGACTAACGAGATTCGGAGGGACAAAGCGCAAGGTATTGAACCTCAAAGTACAGCACGGCCCCTACCATCATGATCACGATGGACGGCAGTTGATTGATTCACTGGACTGACAGTAAAAACAGAAGGACAAACAGGCCTGCTGTCGCCTTAGTCCTTGAACGGAGACTCGAGTGAGATGAATATTTGACACCTCGAGTAAAACTCGAGATGCATGGGTCAGCTCACGCTCCCCATTGATCATTACATCGTTGCTATTGAAGTCGTATTAAGGGCGTCTTAGAGGACCCCCAACAAGGCTATTGATATGATCCGCAATGAAGGACAGTAGTTGTATCCCACCGAAGTACGCTACGGGTAGCGCAACCAGGTTCGGACGTCCAAATGACCCATGTGGAAGAACGAGCGTTACGAACGCTCAGCGCTCATCGCCGAACTTGAAGTCTGGGGCAAGTAAATTCACGAACCCTTCTTATCATCTCCAATGACCCGGAACCTCACTGATTAGTGTCAAAATAAGTGTCAAAAATTCTGAAACACAGTCACAGGAACTCACGCGGAGTGAACGGCTCTCCTTTGGCTTTTCGAATACTAGTAAAATAAAGAGTGCCGGAGCCCTGATGACCCTTTAGACGGAAACTTAGGTCCACATTGCCTTGTGGGAGGTTGATCTGGGTGTGAAGTGATTGAGATGAAGTGAATGTCGCGAAATTAGTCATAGTCACCGAGCCATGTATCCAAGGGTCGCCATTCAAGTACCAGGCAGGTTCTGGTCGGATTGCATCTCCCAGCATCTCCTTCAGTTCTTCATTCTCCCTAACCGTCTGCAGTATTCGCTTCACAACAGAGCTCGATAGCTTCTCTTGATTCGTTGCGAAGAGTAAAAATGCAGCCCAAGCGGATACCCCGACGGTGGCAAATGCAAGAATGAATGGCCAACGTTTCTGCATTATTGGATGAGTGGAATGCGCGCACATGAATAGAATTACGATCTGCGAACCTGAACGTGAGGAAGATCAGACTTGGAAGGAGGTCTAGTGTAATATAGCCTTGGCTTCGAAGGTGCAGAGAACGTCTCGACATGAGGTTTTTCGGTAGGAGGAGGGGGTCGTGGTAGCTCGGTCACTGTCGCATAACTCCTTGATATAGCTCGTCCAAGGCTTCTGTCCAAAGTCGAGAAATTGCGGCCGTATCGGGTGATGGACATCATTTTCACGAACAAATGCCTCGCATCACTGCAGTGGGCGTAACGAAAACTCAGATATACGGCATGGCACAGCCACATCAGGTACGAAAGTTTAATTCCTTCTCCGCAACGCTCCGAAGAGTATATATACGATCTATCACGATTCACCAGATCCTCACCAAGTTTGAACGCTTGAGCGGAGTCTGAGGTCGTCAGATACACAATAGGATAGGTGTCAGATCATGAAAACTAGCGCATGTGGAGACACCATAATTTAGACGCAGACAATTAGGCCAGTAAAACACATCCAAGAATGATCATGAGACACAAATATGGCGTCTACAAACTTCCAGATAAATAGGAAATGACTAAAAACAGCGCTACACAGATTAACACCACGAGACACACCAGAACGCGAGGCAAAAATTGCACAATGGCCAATGCCCAACAACCATAGTCATATTCTTCTTGAAGGTTGCCTCACACTGGAACGTGCCTGAGACCTCTGCGATGCAGAGTGACTGCGCTGCTGCTGAAGAATGGCTGACCGGTCTGAACATTGGTGCCCCCATTCTCTTCCTTCGCACTTTCCAACTCCTCTAGAGATTTTGTTCATACGAACGAGCGACGATGTACAGCTCAGCGTTCGCGTTAAGCAGCCGACAGGCCACCGTCTAATGCACAGAAGCGCAAGTACACGATATAAGGCGGATTCAACCGGGTATGGCTTTATTATCAACAAAGCAATTATGAACAACACACTAGTACTATATAGTACCAGGAGCACGCGTACTGGGTGATGAAGTTAAAGAGGTGGGTATCCTGTGGTAGTTTCCCATCCATCCGGAATTGTCCAATCGGTGTTACACACGAAATCCCAGTCCGTGCTCTGAATGTTCTCCTTCTGCGCATCCACAAAATGCATGGATAGAGCACATCCCATCTGGATGTTCTCCACATCCTTTGAGATTGGTCAGCGGCACCACACCGTCGTTAACGATCACGCGAATTTGTGGGTCTTGTTCCGTGGCGCACGACAGGACTATGAGGATGGTCACGATCAAGTGGAAATCTGGAAGGGATTAGGGGGTTACTTACGCTGGAACTGTACATTAGTTGCGAATGGAGCAAGCTCCGCTGTCCTAAATGTGCGTTTCTCGGGCATATGATCAGTAGGCAATGGTCCCCATCGCCGCAAAGCTCGAAAGGTTCAACGCGGTAAGAACTGAACCAAGAGTCAGTACGTTTTCCGAGTTCGATTTAATCAATAAACCAACCGTTTAATACCACAACTTCGTGCGTCGCGTCTACATAAAGGCTGTGTCCGAAGGGGAACGTGACAGCGTTGTGAAGTGTCGCATTAGTGGAACTATTGTGCGTCTCAATTGGCGTTTGAGTGAGACGGGACACAAGCTCTTGCACATAGCCAATTCCTTCTCCCCTAGCAACAGGCGAGCCCCAAGCTACACCGTACCTGTGTCTTTCGGTCAGAATTCAATGTTTGGTAGCTTGTAAAGGAGGGTATGCACCATAAGTTGAGGTCGTATCTGGTTTGATATCAGTGGCACGTCAAACTACTTGGAAGAAGCTTCTCACGAATAATCGAAGCCTTCCCATTCCTTCTCTGTGAATAGTTCGCAGAACTTGGAATAACCAAGAGCAACTGTTTCGAACGCGCACAATTCTTGCATGGCGTAAACATCTTCGATGTCTAACTCCAACCCATCAAGATATCGTTGCACACGAGGAACGGTATCCTTGAGATAAACTTCTTTCCACGCATCGGCATATGGTTGGCCGCGGTAGCCCCGATGGGGAATGTCATTATTGGCGCAAGATCGATAGGGGGCAAGAGTATTGTTGAACTGACGTGCACGTATTAGTCAAGCAACTTGAAGTAGTCCGGACGGCTTACTCTTTTGGCCTCGATCATGATTTGTTGTTGATACTGGCCTTCGAGAGGGTAACCAAAAAATCCGAGAGCAAAGTTTTGCGCAGAGTTCAGCATCCGAGTTCTTCACGTGCCATCTTTAGAATCCGAATTATCGACTCTTGGAATACTTACTGGGACTCCGTTCTGAACACAGGCAAGGAATGTGTTTCGGTGAAATTCTGAATGGTATGGTCAAATAAAGAATAAAGTAGGAAGATATGGAAAATTCACCTTCAGTAGGAACCCGTATCTCATGCGCATTGACACCCCGAGATCGTCTATACAAATGTCACAATCTGCTATACGACTCGGAGGTGACAATTCCCTTACACAACTGAGACCTCCCAAAAGGCGTTAATCCTGACAATAATTGAGTCTCGGAGCTGCATTCTGATACGCATGATGGTTACCTTCGTTTCCTAGCTTATACGTCCTGTGGGCAGGAAGGTCAGACATTGGCTACCCTTTATCGCTCTAGATGAACTCACCAGTCGTTCAAAAATGAAAGAGGCCCAGTGGCCGTGACATTTTCCGCATACGTGTTCAACTTCAAGGCAAACCCACCCGGACCAGTACCTCTAGCTATCACGCAAGTCCTCTCTCAGAAGCTACTTAAAATTTAGATATGTGGTCATCTTACAGTAGTCAGCAGGGTATCGTGCGCCGTGACGATGCAGAAGATGCACGCCGGTGATGCTGCAGGTATCGGGGGCTTCGGGACTGGAATCAACGCCAAACTTTCCGCGTTGGATGGAGTACCACGGAGATAAGCTTCCCCAGCTGCGGAAAATATCAAAGTCCTTTGTTTTGTCTTTCATATTATCCTGGGAAAAACGCGTAGGTGATACAAGGTGCACCAGACCAGAATGCAAAGGATAGGCAGGAGCTGTAGCAGCTACGCCAGGCTCGGCACCTGCTTGTGTGGGACCTGGATAGCCAACACTACATAACTACAGCTCCAGTCTTGCAAACAACAGTAGCTGGAGAGGCACGTACTCGGATGGGAACATGGAGGGAAACGCGTTGGTGGGCTCAGCTGGAGGGTATTCATGCCATTCGGGGGTCCCTACGTGGGTAGGCAATAAAGCATTGAGGAGCGAAAATGACAAGCATGGTTGGTTGGACGAGGTATATTGTGCGACCACAGCCAGACATACGAAGAATCCTGCGAAGAAGGCAGCACCGACGCGTAGGAACAGTGACCGCGCACTACTAGGGTATGAGGAAGTTGATGAATCGTCGAGATAAACTCGACGCTGGTCATCCGTTCTCTTCACTTCGGGTATAAACATTGGGAGAGTCAAGTCGCGTCGCGAGTCCTGCACTGGCAGGTTGGGGTGAGGAGGTTCAGTCATGAGGAAGATTGTCGTACGTCCTCAAGTGGACTTACGAATGTAGTGATTGGATATTTATACCTCGGTGGCAATTAATTGAACCGAAAACATAGTACCACGGTTTGACTGCTCCTGGCATTAGCGATGAGTCCCGGACCTGGCTTCAAGGGGCCTGTCCTGGGTGGTTTGTAGGCCCTACATAGCCAGGGCTGAATTCAAAGTTTTTGCCGGGCCCGGCACACCACCTGGGATGCTAACCATGGGTTCACTCAATTTACTACAAATTCCAGACGTGTCGTGATGACTTCTCACACATTCAAGTTTAACGTCCATTTGACCAGATTGAATATTGAGATGGGGACAAGAAAACCTTGGGAGCTCCCATTATGCAACGAGATGCATGTTGCATTACGTGTCAGTGAAAGAGCACATGCGAATCTCTTTAGAGCGCACACGGCTGCCAACACGAATGCAGTATGGGTTCCATATTATTGGGTGACAAGAGATTACTAGCCTAAAACAGCAAAGATGAACAGACGGATTGTGCAAGTAAGAATAATGAGTACCTAACGGCCCCCGACAGGAGGCACACCACGTCCCCTTGGACGTCCCCCTCGTCGTCCATATCCACCCCAACCTCCAACGTAAGCGCCTGGGCCCATCAATCCTACACCCCCAGGCTCACCAAACGTAGCAACGTTGCGCTCCCTTTCTTCTTCCCTACGATTTCTGCCTCCGCCACCCCGCCGTCCACCGTTGCCTCGTGTTGGTGGCAGAGCAGCCTGTGTCGAAGATGATAGAGAATCGAAAAATGATTTCGTTGGGTTATAGGCTCCATCCTCCTCCTCCTTTTTTTCCGCTGGCGAGTCGCGATCTGAGGGAACGCCATTCTCATCATCGCCATCCTTCTTCTTTGGTGCAACCGCCGCCTTGTCGAACCGAGCGTTGGAGCTCTGGAAATCGAAATCGGTCGAAGGCACCTTAATGTCTGCTGCTTTTGTCTCCGCACCATGGCCGTGATGACCACGTCGGCCACCACGACCACCATGCGTGGGTGCACCATTGCTGGATCCGCGCAAGTCTCCTAAAGCGCGTTGAACTGTTTCCATTGAAGCAGCGGCGGTGTGCACCGGATTGACACGGGGGCCAGTGCTAGGACCTGGTGCGTCATTCGTTTGAACAACAGGAACCATCGAGGGAACGGGCGCATCTTGCACTGGCACAGGGGGAGGATAAACGGCAGCCTGAGCTTGTGGAGGTGGCGGTTGGGCTACGACAGGCTGCTGGTATTGAGGACCATATGCACCATACTGGGGTTGAGTTCCGGGAGCAGACGCCTACAATACTTAATTCTCATAGTTTGTTTCAGGTAAGGAACGAACTCACCCCCAACACTGCAGGGTCATCGTGAACACTACGAAGGGGAGTCGGCTCATCGACTGCGAGGTCTTTGACCTCAGATGCGCGAAAAATGATGTACTGGTATGGTTCTTGAACTGGAGGAATGAATTCTGAAGGCGGCCTGACGCGAATTTGATGTCAGATTACGCGTCGTTTGTGCAGGAGAAGGCGAGGCAGAAACTCGCGCGCCACAGAAAGGACAGTCGCTCACCTTCTCGACTCTGTACCCATGGAGAATACTAGCAGCCAATTAAGACCAACTCGATAACTGCATAAATTGAATCTCACCATTTGAGAGTTGGATCGTGGAGGCTGCAGGGTCGATACCCGCCAGTATTCCTCGATACCGTACATCAGAATGAGATATGAGAGAAATTGGTTTTCTGGGCAGTGCATCAGAAACAATAGCACAACGAGTAAAAATCCACGCACCCTATGAAACTCAGTGCCATGGTCGTCGTTGTCAAAAGCTAGGACTACAAGAAATGAGGTTGTGCAGTACCAGTACCGCCGCTCGAATTCGGCCAGCCTTTTTAATCGGAGCTTTAATTGATCAACTTGCTTGGCAACGAGGGATTCGAGATTCAACATTCTGTCATACTCGAAACATTGCAGGTCGACCAGTCATGATTGTATGAATCGTATACAGCAATCGTCATTAGTAGGAAAATAGCCCCTTCTTACTTTCTTACGAGTCCGAGTCATCGCACAGATTATCGAATCTGGAGATGACTCGAACTCATAAGACATCGTTCATTGCAAACACACGCATGCATTGTACAGTGTTGGTCCATACTTTGTATTTCTAGACATTCTTCTATCCGGAATGTGGAACCAACATGATTGCGAATGACACCAGTCCAGATACAGGAGGGACTCGGGAACAAACCGAGCACAGCTTCAACTTTGCGTGCTCTCCGGACTGACAAGCACCGAGGGATCGGAGATGCTACAGGGAAGTCAGGACACTAACCTACAGTCACGGTGCGATGCTAGTATATATAAGGGGAAATGCGATGAAAGGCTACATGTGCTACGTGATGCGGTCACGACCCATAAACTCCTAAAAAACGTCACGATCTCTCCAACCTCCCAGCTACCCCCTCTGCCTCTCCCTTAGCTTGTCCAAAGTCTGGGTCCAAAGCTGTCACACTCTTCTGTCTTGTATCAGCAGGTGTTACCACGACGTTAAGATGTGGATCTATTGGGTCCGACGGGGGACCAGACGTCGTAGTTGAAGTCGGCGTCGAAGTCGTAGCAGTTGTAGAGGTATCTGGGTTAAAGTTGCGGAAAGGGGACGGAGCTACTAAGGGGCGATGGAATCGAGCACGAAACTCGCTGGGGTGCGGTTGAGGATGTTCCCCAAACCCATTGTTAGACGGGTCGGCCATATCAACATTTGGAAATGGCGCAGCCGATGGTCCGGAAATAGAGCCGTCTGCGGCTTTGGCTGCAGCTTGTTGAGCATAGTGCATGCGACGCTAAGAATAAGTGAGTTATTTCGGCAGCCGCTGAGATATAGAGGCTCGTACTTGATGATCCCATTGATCAAAGGCTTCCGCTATGATTGGTTCCAAGGAAGCGAGCTCTTCGCTCGTGATTGCCAATGTCCTTAGCAGATGCTGTTTAAGAAGGGGGGCGCAGGAAAAAGAGAGAAGTAGTGTTGAAGCGAAATTTTGTCCACCAGTAAGTTGTGGAGGTGGGGCTGGAGGGAATGATGCGTCTTGTGGGTTCATTGAATGCGGTTGGTGCGGCATCTCATGGGGAAGCACCTGCTGATACTGGCCATCTCCGTTTACTCTGTACTCCTCCATCCCCTGCATCATTTCATTGGGCATATCCAGCCCCAGTTCCCGCATCTTCCGCTGTTTAACGAGACTCCGGTGTTTGCGTTGCCGTTCCCGGGCGGCAGCCCTGACTCTTTCGCGCCGAGAAAGCTCCTCAGGCGTCATTTCTTGACCGGTAAAAGTCGGAGTAGGTGGCTGAGATGGCTGAGGCTGGGGAAGAGCTGGAGCATCGCTAGGTTGTGTAAAAGCCATCATAGCATTGATGTTATTGACAGTACGATCACGCTCCCGTTTTCTGCGCTGCCGCTCTGCAGCTTTCTCTCGTTTTTGCCTTTGTTGAGGTGTCTCATTTTCTCGCGAACGTCTACGGGAAGATGAAACTGGCGTAAGAGTGCTCTGTGATGGATTATGATGAGCCCCTGGGTCCATTGCATGCATTGTCCGGATGTGACTGAGCCTTGGTTGTGACGCTTGTTACGGCGTCTTCAGCGGGGGTGACCGTGGTCGTGACAGAGAGTGACGAAGGAGAGACCAAACAAGGTTACACTCACATGTCATTCAACAGCATGCGTGAGAATAAGTTGCTTAAATAATCTAATACTTCGTTCTGCGGGCTAATCGAAGGCTAATTCGACACTAATATTCTGCCCGTCTTCTTCAGCATGCTTTCACGTCCTGGTCCGACACCTATCCACTCTATGGGCGTACCCAAGAAATTCTCGATGAATCCTATGTAACTCTTGCAGTTGTCTGGGAGGTCATCAAATGATGTTATCGAGCTTATTTCCGTCTTCCATCCAGGAAGTGTTACATAAACCACTTCAACTTTGGCCAGAACGTCAAGGTCGGCTGATGAATTGTGAATAATACTCCGCTTTGTCCAGTGGCTAACTTACCTGGGAAATATTGTATGTCCTTGCCATCGATCATGTACTTGACCGCAATCTTGATGTCCTCAAGTTCGTCCAAGATATCGAGCTTCGTCAGGTTGAGCGAATCATAGCCATTTATCAGGCATGAATGTTTCATGACGACAAGGTCCAGCCAGCCGCAACGTCTCCTCCGACCTGTGGTAGTGCCATACTCCTTTCCAACTTCTTGGAAGTGAACGCCAATGTCCTGAAAATATGTGAATACATAGATATATATTATTACAAGAAGACCAACATTAAGCTGCTCAGTTGGAAATGGTCCTCCTCCAACACGAGTGGTATATGCTTTGATAACTCCAATGGTGTGCCCGATCGCTTTGGGGGGTATGCCAAGACCAGTGCATACACCACCAATTGTGGTGGACGATGAGGTCACATAGGGATACGTGCCGAAATCCAAGTCAAGCATGAGAGCATTTGCACCTTCAACGAGGACCTTCTTGTGCGCTGCCAGTGCACCATGAATATATGCTACGCTATCGACAACGAAAGGCTTTAGTCGTTGTGCGAGAACCTACGTCATTGTCAGTGATGGTGTTTAACGGGAGAAAGGATGAGGAACACGACCTTATAGCGCTCAATCTCGCCCTCTGTGTCATATTCGAAATGGCCGTAGCGCTTGAAACGACCCTCCACGATCTTGCGAAACTTTTGCGCAAAGGTATCATGATCGAAAAGGTGATGCACTCGGAGGCCAGAACGAGATGCTTTCCCAGAGTAAGCCGGGCCTATCCCTTTTTTCGTGGTTCCGATGCTGCAGTTTTGTTAACAACACGAACGCATGAATAATCGAAAATTCATGCCTGGACCCACCGAGCTCCACCTCCTTCAGGCCATCCACAATCTGGTGGAAGTCGAACACAAGATGAGCTCTATCTGAAAGAAATATTCTGTCCGAACAATTCAAGCCTGTACAACCGTCATCGCTAAAGCATATCCGACCAGGATGAACCCCACCTTGCTGTTCCAGGGCATCGAGTTCATTAAAAAAGGAAGGTACATGGACCACAACTCCAGAACCAATCAGGCCCACACATGTTGGGTTTATAAGGCCTATCGGATTAATATATCAATACCATACAACCGCACCATGAGAATTGATCACGAACCGCTCGGAAGAAGATGGAAAGCGAAGGTAGTCTTCACCTTTTCAGGTCCAACAGGCACAACGATTGTATGTCCAGCATTATTACCTCCAGCACACCGCGCGCAAATGTCGAAGTCAGCCGATAAGATATCGACCAGCTTGCCTTTGCCTTCATCTCCCCATTGCGCACCAAGAACGACGGTGACTGCGATCAGGGTCGGTAATCAACGATCGGTGGTGCTGAACAGACTGACATACCGCTCATGGACAAAGGAGCTTCTGTGATAACTTAGAGCCAGTTAGCAGAGGCTGCGATGTGGAAAAGAAATGAGATTGACAACGGTTCAGAATTAGATCATCGTGATCTTTCGGAGAACATCAGAAAAGGCAATCCAGGTTCGGCTCTGTTGTCCGACGCAGATTTGTCAAAGTTCGTCAACGCTAACAAAGCTTGCAGTTGCTACATCGTTCAGCCTGAAAACATATGCCGTTTTCCTCAAACCCTATCAAACCCTCCCCGCTTCAGTCAAGGTTGAAGCGGCATCCCGCTCTATTTGGTGTCCCATTTCTTCTCATCATAGTTGGCGCCTCGTTCGGTCTTCAAACTTTCACGCAAACTCGATATGACCTCCAGGACCAGAAAGTCAAGCAGGTTTGACTTTTTCGTGCGGAGCGTCATCATGTACTTAATATTTCATAGATCAGCAATGAGCAAGCTTTGGGTCTCGATCGCAACAAGAAAAAGTTTGATATCAGGGAGGAATACTATGTGAGTTGTCGTGAACCAAGTTTCTCAAGGTCTCAATAGTGAGAACGCATTAGAAATTAAGCGCTTCTGGAGACCAAGACTGGGAACCTAAAAGGATTGCAAGACCCAAAGACTCTCCTCAATGGCCCAACGAACCTCCAGCCAAGTCTTGATATATCTTAGAATGTCGGCTGTGGATCGCCATCTCCTAGCCACTCAGCGTTCCATGTTCTTTACCCCACCTCGCCGAGTTGCGATATCACGGAGGAGAAACTTGTAGCGAGTCGATATCAGCCGGTCTCCGCTCGCAGGGCACACCGACCCTACCGCATACGACGATACGCGGATTAGATCTCAGGGACAAGTGTACTTTAGTCCTTTTTATTCTGCCATGCACTCAGTCTGCGCCTCTATTCTGATGATGCGGCGTTTTATTCCGGACTGGATACATATCAAATGTAATGACAATTCGTTTTCACCGCAGCAGATGAATTTCGACATATTAAAAACTCTATGGAGCTGGCGAGGCCACAATCTTTTATACTACTGCCGTTCCAGCAGTTGTCCACCTGCGGGTCAAAAATAAAATATGTTTTACCAACTCCTAGAAGGAAATGCGCGGCTTTATACCGACTCGATCGGATCGGAGCACATTTTGAGCGCTGAGCGTGAACGAGTTGTTTTTGATAGGCTGGCTACAAGTACTAATGTTCCGTTTGTTCATTGAAGTGCAATAATGGATTTTCATTTTCTGCGGAACTCGATCGAAAATCACTGCGGAAACGAGTTTTTTACACCAACCGTAATCCGAGGGAGACAATGTGTATAACACGACTGTAAACGTACCTAGCTCGTAATCAGACGTAAATCCGACATGTCGCAAATTTTGCTCGCTCGGTCTGAAGCAACAGATGTAAACAGACGCTTTTCCAACTTCACCAACACACTTTTTCGGACCTCCGTTTATTCTCTTCAGATACCTGCTATTCCACCACTATCCAGCCCAGTAAATTCAACTTCTCGATGTCTGCTTAGGGTAGACTTGAAGCAAGGTGAGTTTTTCGAAAATTTCGCTAAGTCCGTAACTCGAGCGCTATGTCAAATACTATCAGGCTCGAGTTGCCAGCTCATGTACAAGCTTTTACTTTTACCTTCGAAACGATGCGTCCGGGACCCACGGTGAGTACTAAGTGTATTTCTACGAGGCCACTACCATTAATCATTCTTTTGTAGAACGAGCTCCTTATCGGTGTGCTGTGCGTGTTCGGTCAGTCGTCTGACCTCTGTGACAAGATATGCAACGGTCTCATTCAAATTTGGCGACTGCTCAAGTGCCCCATTTCGCCTATTCACGTTCTGGTTCACGTGCGGAAGGTGAGTGGCAGGCTGTCGACCCATTGAATATAGCATCATAGCTTGATACTCCTCGCTTCCAGGAACAACAGATGGTGCCCGCGAAGATGCCTCACTACCCGAGTCTCCTGCGAAATGACGGTATGGTGTTTCGCCTCGAGAGGATGTACTATTTGAGCTGAAATTCTGTGGCACGCTACCAGCTCGCATGGACTGGACGGGTGTCTGGTGTGCACCGAAAAAAGGATACGGGGATGGCTGACGCATATCGGGTGAGTGCTGCGGACTGGTGGAACGAAGCCTGTTGTTTAAATGATCTTGGTACATAGGTCCCCCAGCGAATGCGCCGCTGGTGTTGTGGTCACCGTGCTGTCCATTGCCTGACTGAATCGCATCCAGTAAGTCGCTTGACTTTTAGTGGGCGATCTATAAGCTCTTACCATCTCAAATCGAGGTACATTACCACTGAAGTATGGATCGTGTTGAGGCGGCTGATACGACACTTTCCCGGCGACCTGGGGTATATTATATTGAGGATATGCTTCACCTGCCCCTACCAGTGCTGGCTGCTGAGAATCAGGAGCGGGAGCACCACTCGGGCGTCTCTGAGTCTGTTGGCCTTGGAACCCATACATTCTGGCGTGCAAGGTGGTGGGGGATATCAAGGACCGGGGAGCATATGTGGGGACCTAGCAGGACGAGTTCTTTGATACGGCACATGTCTATTCAGAATAGAAGCGGATCCGTTTATGCATAAATCCAGACATAAAGTAGACGTGCGGATCCTTATAACCTGGTCTGATACCGAGTTGGTTTAGATACTAAGGCAACAAACCCTATCCCTGCAAATCCCTAATATTCAGAGTCGGTTTTAGTTCTCAAACGAGTACCTTTTTCGATCTAGACGGGTAGGAATATGCTTGTTTGGCATTGTCCGTTTACATTCCGTTTACAGCCTCTAAACATACATAATTCCGATCCGTTCTAAATCTCGTTTCCGCAGTGAATGAAGATCGAAAATAAAATGTCGGCAACTTAGCATGAAGAGAAACAGTACAAATTACACTACCTGCTTATGTCACTCAACTTTGGCTTCGGTATCAACGAGTATTTTATCATATCGAACCTCTACCTGAGTCCTGACACGGAGCATTCTCCTTGTGCAGAAAGACCACTTGTTCAAGATAACAACAGCGCTGCATGATGACGATCCGAGTGGGGATATATCAGTAAACAATGTTGCACATCACAATGCCAGTAACTGTTGTAGGAAGTTACCTGTGAATCATCGAGAGCATTCCGCACTTACAGTAATATTCCCTGGGCTGTGGCTCAGCCGCGATGAGTTGCAGTTGCCCAGCAACTGTTACAGCCAGTAGGTTGGATCCGCAGCAACAAAAATCGAAGCTTCGTTATGTATCCCTGGAATGTGACTTCATAGTTGCCAATTCAGTGTTCAGTACGTCGCGCGAGGGCTTAGGCGCCACGACACATGACAAATAACCATGCCCCACGGAGCATATTGGATTTCATATGGATGGATGCGCACCTGGCAAACGAGCTTATCTATCGAAAGACGTGTTGCATATCACTTGGGTGCATGGCAAGCTTATCATTGCCCCGAGTGTCGAAGAGAGACGTTAGTCACAAAACGTCACAAAGATGGTCAGCCTGTTCGCAGTCTGCCGATCCCGAGCCCGCCCAGTGAACGCGAATGGACATTGAATGGAGTTGCAAGGTGACAGTCCAATAGAGCAGCCTCTCTGCTGGCAATCTGGACTCGATAATTTATTGATCAGCGGCAAGCCTTGTGTAGTAATGCCTGAAAGCCCTCACTGGTCTGGCGAACCACCTGTTCTCGAAGCATGTCAATCGATAGCCTCGATATTTTGACCTCTTGAATCCGTACCTCGAGAAAGTTCGGGGCATGAACGTTTGAACGTTCGAGCATCGGGCTCGCGTGCTCACTGCTCAGATAAACTAGTTTCCAAAATGACCAGCAGACTTGCCGCGGTAATAAACTCGGCAGGATCCGGCTCGTAACAGAGTTTTGGATATCAACCGACGAGTGTAAAGCTTTGATTTCGCACACCTGTGAATCATGATCGGCCGCGGTTGGGGTTAAGTGACTGTGAATAAGTACTGCGAATTTGGGAGCATCACCGTTCAACGGACGTGACGTACGTGCCACGCAATCCGGGGTTGCATATATGTAGACCATGACTTACATCTGAATCCTCCAACGTAACCTCTGGTAGCAATTCGAACTCGCAGTCGTGATATTATGGCAGCTCAACCTCCACCACCTAACCAATGGTTACCGTTTGACATGACGTACGTGGCACGCAGTTGGGCTCACATATTCATGCATCTGAATCCTCCAACGTAACCTCTGGTAGCAGGTTGAATTCACAGTCGCGAGCCAACCATATTATGGCAGCTCAACCTCCACCACCTAACAAATGGACATCGTGGTTGTCCCAGATTTATAGCTCGGGCAAGGGGCCGGTGCTCGGTACGGTCGATATGCAGGAAATCGAGGATAAAGCCCGCGAGATTATGAAAGACAACTCTAGTGCGTTTCAGTGTTCGGATGGTAAAGTTTAGCTTGAGCGAGTTTTGACAGTTGCATACCTGTATGCGATGAAGAGTGCGGGTACCTGTTCGACCGACGATGCTAATAGGAAGGCCTTTGAAAGGTGGAAGCTCGTTCCGCGCATGTTAAGGGACGCAACACTGCGCAATATTGAGGTAAGGGCCTTCGAAATGATAGCCCACGGACGTCCTAATATCTTCCGACAGACAACAATTTTGGGTATGAAGGTCTGCTCACCGATATTCATTGGACCAGTCGGCAAACTAGGCCTAGCGCATGCCGATGGAGAGCTTGCGGTTGCTCGTGCAGCTGCGGCAGTCGGCGTACCGATGATTTTGAGCTCTTCCGCATCGCGGTCTCTCGAGGATGTAGCAGAAGCGAATGGGCCGAACAGCCAACGGTGGTATCAATTTTACTGGTGAGTACCGTATCATGACATGGACTGAAATCCGACGATCACAGGCCTCGTTCTTCCGATGTGGCATTGTCCGTCCTCAAACGCGCGAAGGAAAATGGATACACTGGTCTCGTTATCACGGTTGATACGATGATTATCGGATGGCGATCGCATGACCATCGCATCGGATACAGCCCTGCAGGACATGGCTTCGGGGTTCAACAGGGTATGGCAGATCCGGTGTTTATGAAGCGTCATGGACTCGCCGCCCGCCATGAGCGTCCGAAGTTTCCATTCGATCAGGAAGATATCAGGAGGAGAGCAGCGGAAGGTGACGAGGAAGTGAAACAGTCGATGTTCCTTGCGAACCAGTGGCTTAGCGAGACAGGATCTGGGCTTTTCAGAACATGGGACGACCTTCAGTTCTTCAAGGACAATTGGGATGGACCTATCTTGCTCAAGGGAATACAAGCCGTCAACGTGCGCTCACCCGGAGTCGTTGCAATCTATCGCTAACAAAATCTCACCAGGATGCGGAGAGGGCAATCGATATGGGCATCGACGGGATTATTGTCTCGAATCATGGTACGTGCCGCTGTCGTCATTGCTCGTTGTGATGTTTGTTCGTTGTAGTTCTGAATTGGAATGCACAGGGGGTCGTCAAGTAGATGGCGCAATAGCCTCACTGGATGCGCTTGACATGATCATGCGTTCACAGAAAGTTCTTGGCGCTCAGAAATCGGGAAAACTAACTGTCCTATTCGATTCGGGGATTCGAACAGGCAGCGATGTAATTAAGGCGCTTGCAATGGGAGCGCAGGGTGTTTTAAGTGCGTGATCCTTCGTCCATTTGTTCCCATCTTATGCTTTTGGTTTAGTTGCCCGACCAATTGTCTACGGCCTGGCGATAGCCGGCCAAGGCGGGGGTGGAGCAAATTTTGATGCAGACCATTTGTGATTTGCACATTACGATGGGTTTATGTGGGTTCAGAGATGTGAAAGACCTGACAGGTAAACGGGATGAACTGTTGGTCAAGGTAGACTATGGAATAAGCGCACGTGGGTTGATTAAGTCGTCGATGTAGACCACCTTCTCCATTCCACTGGTCTCGATAATATTTAGATTCAGACTGTTCTTTAGCCTAACGGTACCGCTGTTCGTGTCTTCACTTTATCTCCAATCATAATCCAGGTATCTCCCGTTTGGAACTGAGAGTGAGTGAGGTGTTCCCGCGCCTCCTGGTCGTTAGTATGACTGGCCTGAGTGGCTGATGGGTCTCCAATAGATGATAGCTGTACATTGGGGGGGAAGTGGAGCAGAATTGATCCATCGATGAAGTTCTGTGCCAGATCATCATCCCGTAGACAACGCGGGCATTCAGGCCAGAAGTAATGTATGCCCTCGCAGCACACCAACGACCCGTCACAGTGATCCCGAGATGTTCGATAGGGGACCAATGGCCGTCCAGCCTGATAGCGTTCTGTCGCTGGCGGTAGATAATAATATGCAACATGAATTCTCTGATCAGCTGATTGCTGGCTGATTAGTAAGAAACATCTAGATTGAGTCCGCGGGACCTGCAGGTTGGTACTGCACCTCCTCCGCAGTTGATCGCATTTGGTGTCAGTCACATATCCGTCAAAGGTTAATTGTGGTTCACCACCTACATAATGTCATATCAGCAAAGTTCCCACTGCGGCTATGCGACGTACAGTATTTGACAACAGGATCCGACCTCTGCCGCAGCGAGCACATGCACGTCTGCCATGGTGAGCACCCTAAAATTCACGAAACATTGGCTAATACTAAGCCGTATACGATAGAGCTGTAACTTGTTCTCAACGATTTGCATCGGACCGCATCTCTACTCTCTACTATGCGTCTCCACTTCTCTACAGATCACGTTCGCAACAGCACCATTAGCAATGAACAGGGACAGGTGCTCTACAAAGTCATCACACCATTTCGCCCATTCTTCATGAAGGGCACCAGCACGATTTGGAAGATTATACCAAACGCCCCACCGTTGTACTCCAAGAGGAAAGCTGATGAATCGAACATCGAGTTTGAACCGGATGGGGAAGATCCTGATGGTGACCCTAATGTCACTCCCGTAGCCGAAGACATCCATGTAATTCAGTCTGACGGAGACGAAGAGGAAGAAGAGACAATCTTGGACATGCAAGATCATTTTGCACAGCTCGCGCAAATAGAATTCCACAAGTTTCAAACATCCTGCATTCGATGGTTTGGGCTTAATAAACTAGGACGAGGGGAAGTTTCTACGAAAGAGTTCATGCCAGCGCGTGGCATTACACGTAGGTCAGTTTCATATCATATTTCTCGGCTTGGTATGTCTTTGACAGCTTTTCAGATCACGTACCTTCTCTGGACCTGATGTCCGCGCATATCGTTGGCATCTTGGGATGAGAGTATGCAAGGTTGTACATCCCTCTGTCGTCTGGTGGGAGATTCTCTGACACTGCGTTAGCTCTATCTTGAAAGCGAACTCAACAATCCTGTTGCCCAATATCGCCGATACCGTTTGGGTCTTCTCTCTGGAAAACGCCCTCGATGTGGCTTTCTTGATATTAACCTGCCGAAGCCAAACCAGATCCATAATAGTGACGAGAACACCGACACCGACAACTATACTGATCACGAACTTGAACACACCTTGTGTAAAGATATGATCAGCCCCGAGCTTCTGGACACCATAATTGTTACATTCATATACGTCGAAAAATTAAGGCGAGAAAGAGAGCAAGCAGGGAAGAAAGACCTGAGGTGGAATTACTAGGTATGCTCGATATTCCGTTTCCGTTCGTTCTGTTACTGATCCTGCAACCTCTTTCCAACATTGGGATGATGATTTTCTTTCCATCACTTCGCTAACGATGCGTGCGACGTAGGTATTAGCTATAGTCGATTGGCCTCTACATCAGCATTCTCTTCCATAACACTCAATCCACGCAAGTGGTCAATATCCCCATACTTTAATACGACAACATCCACCTCTCTATGCTTCGCTCTTGAAACCGCCCTGTATTCTACTACGGATATACTGGTATTGCCTAACGTAGGAAGGCGTCTAAGCTTCAACTCTGCGGGACACGTAACGTCATTGCTGGAGATCATTGTGCGAAAGAGCGTAGCTATGAACGCCCCGTGCGATACAACGAGTATGTTCCGACATCGGCCCTCTGAAATGTCAGAGTTGGTGATCGAGGAGGAGATGTAAGTGACTATCGCCCGATTGTACCAAGTGATGCAGCGCTGAACAAGAGCCTCGTTTGTCTCTATCGAGGACAATCCTTTCGTGTTGACTGGCCCCTTCTTGCCTTGCATCTCACCCATAAACTGTCCAACAAATGAGTAACTTTGAAGTTGAACAGGATTGACGCCCAACCCTTTCTCGTAACGCGCTGTCCTGGACTAACTCAGCGCCAGAGTGGTACTGGAGAATCCTCTCGGCGGTCTACGATAGAGATATTGAGTATTATGTAGATCTGACTGCGCACTGTAATCACCACGCAGTTTCAAACGTCTGGTCTCACCTTAGAAGCTCTCTGGAGATCACTCGTGAAAGCTTTATCAAAGCAGACATGTCTGAGCGCCTCCGCAGTTATCGCGGCTTGTGCAAGGCCGGTGGCATTGAGTTGTGTATCCAGCTGGCCCTGGATGATCCCGTTGCTATTTGAGTCCGTCTCGCCGTGTCTTACGACAAACATTCGAGCGAGGACACTCCCAGTCATGGAGCTTATGAGGAACTAGGATTCATCGACTTGAGATTCGTTGTCACCGAAGTGACTCTATTACATAATAGGTCAGTTTGAAAGTGCCAATGCCCAAGTCGAATGACGGCAAAAGTTCCCTGGACATCGTTCATAAACTTCCACAAATTAATCAGTCATGCATTCCATGCCGCAATGTCTAGACCCCCGAGTCACTCAAGGAGGTGTATATACAGATAGTTCATCCGTCAACCTCGTCCCAATCAAGGCAAAGTCTATCATAGCAGTGCATTGATCTCGCTAACCACATTCCTGATTCTATCGTCAGGGAATGTCGGGAGAGCTGACATCACTTTTTGCAACTTCTGCAGACTGCGCAGAATCCAACGGAGTGCCGCGTATATTCCTCGCATACACCTTGATTGATGAGTGGCACAGTCTTGATACATGATATGAAACACTTACTACGTTCCCCTAAAGCGACCAGGGTGCGGTAGGTAACCTCTGCGTCATCTGTATTTGAACGTAGCAACTGGAAGGTTGCTTAGTTGACGGACGAGAACATGCTTCGGATAAGTACCTGAAGGACTAGCCCAGTGTGTTGGTTCAGGACGTCTCTAGCGACGGACGTTTTCTGGTAAGCGCAAGAGAAGCTGTTTCGACATTAGTTTTTTTTTCCCTGATGCAGTACAGTGAAGTACATACTTGAAGAGGATGGTCGCCAAAGCCACGCGCTGCACCTTTGTCAAAAGTGTGTAAGGTGTGTGACTTAGCGCTTCGAAAACCTTCTTTCTGTCAGAACCACCCATTTGACCGAAAAATGCAGTCACCCACCTGCGCAACCCACTGCCCGTCGTCCTACAGGAGTTCCCTCTTGGAAACAATTAGCTACCTGTACGGAACTAGTAACAGAATATTCGTTTCTTGAGCCTTTGACATAGCCTTCCCGCGTGATTGGACTTCAGTCCAATCAGATGCCTTGAACAAGCATGCGAAAAATCGCTCTCGTCCACCGGGGGCTGCGGAAGCATCTGCGCAATACTGCAGCTACCAATCTGCTAAGGTCCATCACTGAAAGTAGTCAGTAAGATGACGAGACCGCACGAAGGGATTCTAACCAGGGAAACGCTGAGACGCCGGCCATCGCTCCAGGAATCTGTATAATAGCGTCTACGTGAGAGCCACCAACTGACTGTAAGAGGGCTCCGAGAAGTTGTCGAAGTGACTTGAGAAAGATAAGTGAAGGCTTCTTCGATGATTACCAACTCTTCGGGGTATATTGCAAGGGATGCGGTGGACTATGACTGGGTTCAGAAGGTTGCTCAATGCAGCTTAATCACGTGCGTACGATTTCAGTTGCGTAGTGCTTCGTCAAATTGATACAACTTTGCTTGCATTGCTGATACATTAGCTTGTTTGAAAGATACAAACTTGGCCTGGTGAAATTAGCATTGAGCTGAACTATCGATAACAAAAAAATCTTACATAGGGTATGATTTTCGGAGGCTGAAGGTGACGCCGAGGGAATTGGAGGCGTAGGGGCAGGAGCGCCGCTGTACCGAGCCGCACCCGTAAAAGGATCCATATAAGACGTAGATGGAACTGGCGCTGCTGAGGGGGCAGAAGCCTGATATCTTGATGCTCCTGAGAGCAATTTAGTATATGCCGTACTACTGAACATCAACACTTACCGGTGTACGGGTCAACATATTCATTGCTGACGCCTAAATTGACTCCCGAAGTATTCTTCTCTATGAATTTTACAACTTCGTCAATGTAGTTCGTCGACAAATCATTCTGTTCTAGAAAGCGTTGAGCAGCTGCATATGGATTCTCTGCAACAAGAACACATTAAATTTATGCTCACAGAACGAGAGTATAAAATACGTGCCGGACACATTAAATGGGAGTTTCAACGGAGGTGCACCTTCATGCACATCGACGTCAAATACGTAATCATACTCCCTGCCATTGAAAAGCTGCTTCCTTCCAGAGCCGACCGCGTCCACAACATCGCCGATTTTCTGCCAGCTCGATGTTGCGCTATCCCACTACTCTACCTTAGGCAGATATCTCGCTAATTCATAAGTGCTCACCTGATGTGCCTCAACAATGTCGCCATTTTTGATCATTTTCACTTCTCCAGTTTTCTTACCTACGCAATTTGAATTTAGCCCCGCGGGATTTATATGATTCAGGCAGTAACCGCCAACCTGGATTGAGCAATGCATCTGGACCAGGAAGATCAGTTTTCTTGACATCGCCCACTTGCTGTGACGAGATTGCCTGGCTTGCGATATGATCTTCGAATGCCTTCAGCTCCGTTGCGCTGGCCCAGCGATCTTGAGATTCGCTAACACTCGAACGATACCGTCACTACAGCCACTGACAATGTCTCCGTTGGGCATTGTGGATACAGCCCAAACAGAGATCGCCGGATGAACGATCATTTGCACACATTCACCATCTGATGCTTGTGAGTGGATGACATGAGATCAAACACAATTTAGCAACACACCTCGCCACACCCTCACAGAGCGATCTTCGCCGCCCGATACTATTTCTCCATTCGGGAGCACAGACAGACTGTACACAAATGAGGTGTGTCCAGACAGCGTGTAGACTACATCGCCCTCCATTGTCCACACCTTAATCTCGCTAGCCCCAATCAACCATCCCAATTTGTCCAAAATAGTGAGAATAACTTACCTATCGTTGGAACATGAAGCAAAGCCTATGTCAGGTATTAGAGTCAAGCCACGAACCGCATCCTTATGCCCTTCATACGTCCGCATCATCTTGTGTTGAACCCAGTACTTGATGGTTCTATCCGCCGAAGCTGAGTGAAGGATCCGTAACTGAGCCACGAGATGGTGAACGGTCTCACGCACCGGTCAGAAATTGTTTGTCGTCAATGGCAAGGACTGCCCAAACTGCTTGTTGGTGTCCCTTCAAATCATACAGTAACTGGAAATTTTTCCAGACTTTTGCGGTTCTGTGTATTCAATATCAGAATAGTAACTTGCAGAACAATGTAATATTCTCACTTGTCCCATGACCCAGAGATGATGGTGCCAGATTGGCCAACATGAAGAGCACAAACATTATCAGTGTGTCCCACCAGCGAATATTCAGGGTCCTCTTTCTGTGCTGAACCTAGCGCAAAAATGTTGATGACCATATCTTGCCCCCCAACAACAGCGTATCCTGTCTTGGGTCAATGCTGCACGAGACGGCACTAATCACTGGCCAGCCTACCTTGCGGTGCTTCAGGCGATGGGAAAATGTATTGTACAGCATTGACGAATCTTGACCCAGCTCGTAGAATGGATGAAGGGGTAAAGGGGAAAGTTGGCGATGATCGTTTCCAGGAGATCGCGGTGGAATCTCGTGATGCTGAAAGGATGATACTGTCTGTCGGGGAAGCTACTGCACGAACCTATGAAAATTATGATCAGACGAATCCACCTTGCGAGAATTATTTGAAGGAATCTACATCAGATGAATGAGCCGATAGCGTGGCTGATAGCTTGTAAGGCATCGGACGAGCTCCTTCGCAGCGGTGCAGGGGAACTGGGAATCAAGCACTGAAAGTGGTGGACAAGAGGTTGAAAGATCAGATAAGGAAGGGCGGGCGAAGGGTCTTCACAATGAGGTGAAGGGCTATGTAGCAGGGCTTGTTTCAGAACAGTCGAAATCTAACCGGGTATTACATAGTATTATCGCATTGTAGGTGTTTCTTGCAGATTCTTGAACTTTCGTTGATTCATTCACGTATAGACAGTCAATTGCAAAATAGATGTAGCTACGTCGAACGCTAATATTTAAAAGACCGGACCAAAAATGATAATGGGCTATTCATGTTGTTGTGTATAAGTTCTAGACATCACGATAACTAATGTGCACCACACTAACGAGCCCTACAGCCGTAACAGCGACAGTAGGGAGATACGGAGGTGTATACTATGCCATGCACCATTACTTCATCTCCTGCGAGGGCCTCTCGATGCAGATCGTCGACTGTGGACTTGGTTAAAGCACGACGAATTGCCAAATCGTGAGGGGATGAAAAGAAGGTGTTAAACAAATGTCGTATTATTTATCATTTATTGAGTTTAGGGCAGGCGTTATGGATTTATCCACAAACACGCACCAAATCGGACGTCAATCGCTCGGTTAGTGGGGGTGCAGTAAAATTCAAAGTTTCGCCGTGATGCGGCTTTACCTCAAGAGTCAAGAAGCATGCGGAAATATAAGGCGGGGTGGGTCACCGTGAGTTCAACATAACACACCAAACTAGGGTGTTGTGAACGAGACAGGAAGGCGCAGATCATATGAACCCGGTGACCGTGGCATTACGTGAATAGATCGCAGAGGGCATTGCTTAGCAGTGATCTCAGGCTTTGTTTGGACTTCAAGGGTGTCGCCCTGAAACTATATCTGACTGATTCAAACTTGAAACGAGCTTACTTTGTACCCCTGAAGCTTATTTAATTAGTCTGCGTGAAAGAAACATGACCGACATGGATGCGACAAAATATTATTGAACCCGATAAATTCTCTTTCGAAGCAAGCAGCATAAAATAACGTCGTGCTGCTGTTAGCAACTTGCGAAATTCACATGGAAGCGGACAAATTCGATCGAATGATCCTAGAATTCTCAACCAGTAGAGGGAGTACACAACAAGAAGACTAGCTCAGAGCAACGAGGAGCGGCACATCGATATACAGGCTTTGGTAATGATTTTTACTTGAATGAGGACTGACCACAGCGCAGCGTCATGGGAAGTTTCAGTCGCAAAGATCGACGCCTGAGCCAATTGATATCTTGAGCCGTTTCTCGCGGCGCGCCAGATCAGTCGCAGCCTTGCGTTTTTCGGCTTGATGGACAACCGCCAGCGTGAGGACGTTCTGAGTCGCTTCTTGAGTTTGGGATTCGTCATCAGAGCAACCCTGGCGTGACGTGACCTCAGGACCTAAGTTGGAATCTGCAACCCCAGTCGAACTGTGTAGGCGTCAGCACATAATCAATCGGGCAGTGTGAGACAATGATGATCCTACGCCACTAAAGTTTGTTCTGCTTTGGATTTGCGTCGCGCCTAGTAGTGTTATCTCGTGTTGGCAACGTAGAATGATTGTAAATTGTATCTCTGACCGTATCAGATAGGCCCATAAGGCGGTTCTCAACTTCCGGAAGTGGGTCAAAGTAATCAGAATAGGCCTTTGATCGTTTTGCCTTGACGAGGAAGACGTATTTGGTTTTTTGAAGCTCCTTCTGCTTTTTGGTTTTAGTTTTCTTGCCCTTTTTTGCGTGGGAGCGGGTAACGCCAATGCCTAGTTCGTCAGAGACGATGCTTTCAACTGCAATAAAGCCTAGAAAGGGGTTTGCCTGGAAAAATCTGGTGAATACTGATCATACACCTACCTTCTTCTTCTAGCCTCGTCAGAAGTTGACCAATCAGTGCAGTGTCACACCCTTCAGTCATACATGAAATGAAAACAGCAGGGGTCAAAATCATATTAAACTGACCAATGTGCTCCCTGAATAGTGCCGCCGAGGAGGGCTGATGCACCTCAAAAATCTTGATGGCCCTCCTGAAAAAAGGTAAGTAATTATGACGCAAGGTAACAAGCCGACGTTTACCTGAAGAGGGCTAGGTCTTTGTATCGAGCGATCATGTCAGCATGAATCTTCCCCGAGAAGATGTCCCAATCGTGTGATCCGCGGAGACGACAATCAAGGCAAATAAATCGAGCAGGGAGGCGCTTGTCTCGTGCACCGTGATATCTAAGTGACGGTAAACGAAATAGCATGTATTAGGAAAGGAGATTTCGCGCACCCCATGCACCTACCCGACAGGTCTTCGTCAGAGGCTTGATCTGTACGGGAAACAGAAATGCGTACCAGACATGGAACCAACGGGTGCAACCACCTTCACACAGTAGAGAAGCATCGTCAAGCTTTCAAAAAGGGGAATTGGCTTGTGTTTCTTTCGAGTTTGCTGCGTACGCACCGATATCCCGCAGTCACAATCAACTTGGCCTTCATCTTTCAACCGCTCGGAGCCCTTAGAATGGCCGTTACGAGGAGGATTCTGTAAAACAGAGACGCCTGGATTGCGGGATGGTACAGACGCTTCCAGGGTTTGCGTCTCCATATCTATAGAAGATCAGTCACTTGGTGCCATGTAATACGCCACATGGAGGTCATACCCAACATCTCTGAATCAGGCGCCGTGGACATCTCATTCCTCATTCCCAGGAGATCCTTGAGGTATTGAGTATCAACCTCTTGAGTGGAGATAGCCGAAGCAGGGGAAGCAATGTCAGAAGCAGGCAATGAAAGGCCCTTAGGAGCAGGTATTGGTGAACCCATCACAATCTCCTGAGTGGCTGGGATCTGTTGGGTTCCCTCGATGTTATGAACAGCCTTTCTGATGTTCTGATGCGGCGCGTCAGCACGGTAAGATGAATAATTTACGAGTGACAAACCAGGTCTCCAACGCGCATCGGGGTCGACTCCGAGATACCACCATACTGTGCATGAGCGGCCGACGAAGTATCGACTTGAGAGAATGGTCGAACCCCTCCATCTTCGCTGCGTACGCCGACGGGGGCCATAAGCACGTCGCCACCGAACCTGGACAAAACAATCCCTTCGTCAATTACCATCTCACCCTCGGCATCCTCGTCTTCATCTACGCTCCAGACGATGTTGCGCTCCAACGCATCTTTCTTTTGCAGCTGTGCATCCTCTACCCTAATTCTCGCCTCTTCGACTGGAGTCAATTTCGGAGCTGTGTGCGATGTGATACCCGCGAATGGTGCATTGTTGTCTTCAGTTATAGAAGGAAGATACGACGATACTGAAACAACTTTCATGTCGACGCTGAACAAAAAGTGCATATGCATCCAGGTTGATGCGGCAGAATTCTTGGTGCTTACCCATGCCATCCTGCATTCACTCTGCCGATACTCGTTCGTTCCGGTACTTCACCCGCCGCATGGGTAGTGAAGAACCATCTATTAGCTTCAGCGTCTGCCGCCTGGAAATGAGGGGGCTGATAGTCATCTGGGGCATCTTCGTTGAAGAACAATTTGAAATTGCCGTAACGATTCTCTGCACGATAACGTTGCCGTCGAACTCGATAGAATAAAAGCAGTGACACGCACTCGGAAGGTTTTCCATCTGATTAATGGTGGTTATGAGCGACTTGATCATGGCCTGAAAAAAGTGCTTGAGAACGATAAGATTTCACGTGAGCGACGTTTAGTGCACCTTGACACTCCTTTTGACCTCCCCAAGAGTCGGCATCTGTCCCTTCTTGAGGGCCTCAGAAACAGGGTCTGAGCGCGCAAGAGACATCTTCGACATTTCATCTCCAAGAGTCATGATAGGTATGGCCGAGTCACTTCCGGGCAGCTTGTGGTACTATACGTCCCAAATCCATTCAGTACTCTGTATATGGAAATTTCGGAGACCCACATGGAAATTGAACGTGTAAGCCTCCACCAAGCTGGGTGAGTAGCATGTCAGAGAACGGCAACGGTTATAGGCTAAATTGACAAACTTGTTGGGGTCTTTACTGTCCTGCACTCAATTTCAGACAGGCGAATCTCCAAGTACATCTGAACTCACCAAGTAAATGCCGAATATAACTTTGCGAAGGTATTGCTTGTCTACGGCCTCGAATATACCGTTCTCCTGGCAAATCGTGGATATATGCGCGCCTATCGCGGAGAATGGGTGGATATATGCGCACTAGGTAGTCAATTATACGATCCCCTTCATTGGTGAAGCCTCGGTTAAGGGTCATGATTGTGACACCACTGATATTCAGTCCGGTAGATGCGTCTGAAGAGAAGGAGCCGGACGAAATGGAGGCTCTTCCATTGTGTTGAGATGAAAGTCGATCTATGTGTATACTTAGTTAGTGTTGATCGGTTATGTTCGTGAATACTCACATTCACCGAAGTTCTCGGCTGGTAGAAGACCCCTGAGATTATAGGTGAGATAAGAATTGGAGGACTAATAGGAAACACGCCTCAAGTATGCTATACATCCAAGACCAGCTTTTAGCAACGTCTGAACACACTCCAAACTCTGCTTGCTGCTTATTGTCTAAAGAACAATCAAGTCCAGGCTGACTGTAAGCATGCGCTTACTTTCATGTGATTAACGCGCCCTTCGTTGATTGGACACCGTGCCATAATTGTCGGTGTTTGGCTGCTAACGCTCATTCAGTATATATAGCTCACCGCTGATGTATCGATATCTTATCTCTTACCGTATCACCGAATCCCATACGCTCATCCACGTTACCGCTGTCTGATTGTCCGCTAGTGTTGATCGTCTACTGTGACGACCTTCCACTTTTTTTTAACGTCCAGCTGAGCGTTATCTGTTGAAGAACCGTTACGTCTTTTCCTTACTGTTATCCTTACCGTTCTCTCGAACCAACCGTTGGGTATTGACCGCCGGTCAACCCATCACCGTATAGACAACAAACTGCCTCCCCGCCGCCCTAAGATACCGATACCGCTGTCTGTCACAACGCGCAGTCGTGACAAACTTCTAGCGGTGCTCGCTGATATCCAACCAGTGACCACATCTACAACATCTACATTAACAACACCACCCACCTCTCCGAACTCGCCCTCGCAACCATCCCCCTTGACTTCTTGCTCCCATTCGCGAGTCGACACGCATATATCCACCGATTCTGACTCTACCGATTCCCACGCCTACAACACACCTACCATGTCAACCACACTGAAGGTTGCACGTGTTGAACAGACAGCCGCGAGTAAGCCGCCCCTTCTCACAGCGGGCGAGCTGACTCCAGAGGCACTACGCTCCTGGGAAATGGGTTGCACGCAGTTCTTTCTGCACAAGGAGGTGAAGGACGAGGAAATGGTAAAGAAGGTTGCTTGGGGAATGCAAGAGGCGGTTATCCAGGACTGGTACATTAACGACCGCGAGCGAATTGACAAGCTCACCTTTGCAGAGTATATGGCTGAAGTCCGCAGCTACTGGCTCCCTTCGGGTTGGTCCGACATTGTCCGACACAAGATGCTGGCATCTACTCAGGGACATCGCCCCTTCAACGAGTGGGCAGTTGACGTCCAGAGTCAGAACACCCTCTTGCGTGGGACGGCATCTCATCTTACAGAAGTCAATATCCGGTATCACCTTGAGTCCCACATGAATTCCGAACTCGCTGCTGATTACCATGCTGAACACATTACCGAAACGGATCTACGCAAGTGGATTGAGAAGGTACGCTTGCTCGACGAGAAGCGAATGCGCTATCTTGTTCGGCAGCGAGAGGCTGTAGATGCTGCCTTGCGCATGGAACGTGCACGCTCGAGCGGGGAGAAGAAGCTCACTGCGGGCACACGTTTCAATGCGAAGGCAGGGCAAGCTACTAGTGCCTCTACCACCACCTCCGCAAAGACCTTTACACGCCTACCCTCTCTCACAGATAACGAGCGCCAACTCCTTCGGGACAACGATGGATGCTTCAAGTGTCGCGAACCTTTCGCAGGTCACACATCCGCCACTTGCCCGAAAGGCTTCCCAGATGGCGCATCATATAAAACCCTTACAGCTGCTCTGATCGCTTCGAAGAAGCCGAAGAAGACGGGTGAAGTTGTTGCAGCGGTTGATGTTGAAGAACGACACACTATCGCAGTTGTGATGCCGTCAGCAGTGCTCGGTGATGGTACTGACTCTGGCGAAGAGTGCGTGGCTCCGCTACAGACCCCTCATCTGCGTTGGGACTGTCTCGTTGACGGGCCTGCTGTTTCTTCTTCTGTTGTTGTATCCGCTCTCATTGACCATGGTTCTTCTCTAGTTCTGATTGATGCAGCACTTGTCGACAAACTTGGACTACGCCGTCGCCAACTATCAAAACCGTTACCTGTTTCGCTCGCATTGTCTCACGATAATTCCTTTCTTCTCTCGCAATATGTCAAATTGTCTTGTTCGTCTCTCGATCAGAAATACACGTCTCGGACTGTACGTGCAATAATCGCACCGAATCTTTGTACTCCCCTGTTACTTGGAGGCCCATTCCTCGAACATAATCGCATCGTGATTGACCACGAGCTGCGTACCTGCATTGTAAAGGACCTGAACTATGACCTTCTTCATCCTCCTGCAGCTGTTGTGTCTTCTCAGCGGATCTCGCCGTCAGGCCCTCAATTATTTTGGATGAAGCATGATGTTGTCAACGAACTCAAGTCTGTCTTACCGGAACTCAAAGCTATTGTTGACGACGAATGCGAGCCGGTAAAGGGAGTTGATCTTGTGGCCGCTGTGCAATCACGCATCACCATGCTCGAATATCAAGATGAATTGAGTGCATTGGACGCCAAGCTGAAAGCGGAGTTCAAAGATCGCTTTCCGACCGATATTCCACACAACGACACAATGCCA